CCTTCCCTGGCCACCTAATCTAAATACACTCCCCGTTCACTCAGTCACTTCAGTGCATTTTCTCCAGATCTTACTACTATCTATTTGTGTGATTTGGGGTAGTTAATCTCCCCCACTACAGTAGACACTTGATGAGAGGAAGGATTGATCAGTTCTGTTTTAGGTCACATCCCACCTTCTGAAATAGTGCCTGGCACCTAGTAGATGCTCAATAAATCATGCAAAAGGAGAAAGGGATTGATAAAGACACCAACTGATTATCTACTCCAGCAAATTTTGGCCATTTCACGGCCTCGCCTGCCCTTCCTCCCAGGAACCAGGACATTAGGACAATTTCTCTTTTCTGCAAGGGCTGTCCCAGGAGCGACCCCCACACCCCCGCATGCCCTGGGCCTGGGCCGTCCTCCACACACCTGCAGAAAGGAATGTTCCAGCTTCATGAAGTTGGCGAGACTGGCCTTAGCAGCTACCAGCTGGGTGCTGATGTGAAAATGACGCTCCTCCACGCCCAAGGCAAACGTGCTCTGAACCTCACCCTTGGAGTAGTGTAGCTGCGTCAGGGAAAAAAAAACACACACGAAAGATCTCTTCATCAGGGCTCTGATGGAAAGTTTAAGCAGATGCTGGCTTTCAGCCGTGAGCTCTGCCTCCCAAAGCCCCAGGCCCAGGAGACCCACAGCTTCCTGGGCTGGAGGAACTTTGGTGAAGTAAGGGTTTGGAGCCTCAATTTAGGCCATCAAATATGGCCATGGCAACCATCTTCTGAGGCCCTCCTGCTATAACACTGACTTGAAAATATCTACCAGCCTGGCACCAGCAGGCAAGAACTCTAGTTGCAGTACCGTTGCAGACAGCAGGGGGTAGTCTAGCAGAAAGGACAACGCTTGGGCTTGTGCCAGCGTCAAACACACAGAACTCCAAGTGCGGATCCACCCTGGAGAGGCGAGTCATCTCCAGCTAGTTCCTTAACCACCCGATCCTCAGCCTTCTAATCCAAAACACAGGGATAAGGACATCTATTTTATGATGGGTTGCGGCATATTTGTGTGATTTTGGGTAGTTAATCTTCCCCACTGCAGCACACACGATGAGAGGAAGGATTCATCAGTTCCGCTTTAGGTCACACCCCACCTTCTGAAATAGCGCCTGTGAAAATTGTATTAAATAATGTGCTAACTTCCAGGTGGGCTCAACAGCAGAATCGCTGGGGGAAACTTACTAAAAATATAGATTCTGGGCTTCCACTTAAAACCTACAAAAACAGAGTCTCTGAGAAGAGGTTCAAGAGCTGGTACCTTTTTTTTTTTTTTTTTTTTTAAGATGGAGCCTCTCTCTGTCACCCAGGCTGGAGTGCAGTGCTGCGATCTCGGCTCAATGCAACCTCTGCCTCCTGGGTTCAAGTGATTCTCCTGCCTTAGCTTCTTGAGTTGCTAAAATTACAGACGTGTGTCACCATGCCCAGCTATTTTTTGTATTTTTAGTAGAGACGGGTTTTGCCATGTTGGCCAGGCTGGTCTCGAACTCCTGACCTCAGGTGCTCTGCCCACCTCAGCCTCCCAAAGTACTGGAATTACAGGCTCCAGCCACATCTGGCCAAGAGCTGGTACTTTTAATGAGCTCACCAGAGATGCGTGATTACATTTGTGATATATATCCCTGTCAAAAATCTTCAATCTGAATCTTGTCTTCAGCAAACAATCTGACAAATCCACATTAGGAGAATGTTTTCCGAAATAACTTCCTGGACACTTAAAAACTGTCAATGCAGGATTTATTTATTATTATTATTTTTTTTTTTTTTTGACAATGACAGGGTCTGCTCTGTCATCCAGGCTGGAGTGTACTGTGGTGTGAACACAGCTCACTACAGCCTCAACCTCCTGAGCTCAAGCAATTCTCCTATATCTCAGCCTCCCGGGTAGCTGACACTACAGGTACACTCTGCCATGCCTGGCTAATTTTTTCATTTTTTTGTAGAGACAGGGTTTCCCTAGGTTGCCCAGGCTAGTCTTGAACTCCTGAAGTCAAACATTCTCTCATCTCGGCCTCCCAGAGTGCTGGGATTACAAGTGTGAGCCACTGCATCCGGTTGGAATTCTTTTTAAGGTGGTTATAGATAGTAAAATGTTTAGGGGAAATTATATTGATATCTGCAACTTACTTTGAAACATGTCCAAAAATAAGACGGATGGAGGAGAGCTATGTGATTACGCAAAATAAAATGTGCACAGGAAAATCTAGGTATGTGGGTGTTCACTGTGAAATTTCTTCCATTTCTTAGTGTCTGAAAAATTCCATAATAAAATGTTGGTGGGTGGGGGGTGCTGGGCGCAGTGGCTCACACCTGTAATCCCAGCACTTTGGGAGCCCAAGGTGGACGGTTCCCTTGAGGTCAAGAGTTTGAGACCAAGCCTGACCACCATGGTGAAACCCCATTTCTACTAAAAATGCAAAAATTAGCCAGGTGTGGTGGCGCATGCCTGTAATCCCAGCTACTCCAGGCTGAGACAGGAGAATTGCTTGAACCCAGTGGGCAGAGGTTGCAGTGAGTCGAGATTGCATCACTGCACTCCCACCTGAGTAACAGAGAAAAACTCCGTCTCAAAAAGTTAAAAAATAAAAAGACAAAATAAAACACTGGGTAAGGAAAGGTAGGGTGTGGAAGGAGAATGTTCTAGATCAGGAGCTGGCTTTTGGGTCAAATGTGGCCCACAACCTGATTTTGTAAATACAGTTTGATTGAAATGCAGCCATGCCTATTCACTTACATATCGTCTAGAGCTGCTTTTGTGTTACAATGACAATTCTGAGTAGCTGTAACAGCGATCATAAGGCCTGCAACCCCCGCATTTCACTTTACAGCCAAAGTTTACAGACCTCTGTTCTAGATTAAGAAAATTCAAAAGACATGGCAAGTACACACGCTGTGCGATCTTGGCCTACATCCCAGATTTAAAACAAAACAAAACAGTTTTTTGAAAGAACGTTACTGGGAAAGCTGGGAAATTTTATACAGGCTGTACATTAAATGAAGGTATTACTTCAATGTTCAGTTTCCTGAATGCTGTAATTATTGTGTCAAATCAGAAAATACCCTTGTTACAGGAAAGAGTTGAAGTATTTCAGAGTAAAAAGGTGACGTCTTCAGAAACACCTCTATATTCATTCTTAATGATACAGAAAAAATGTGTGTATGATACAAATTTATGTAACATAGATGAGAAATATGGAAAGATATTAACAATTGATCAATGTCCGCTGTCCCACAGTAACTTTTATATAGGTTCAAATGACTCAAAATAAAACTTGGAGAAAAACTAAGCAGCTCCCTGAACGGAGCCAGGTGTGGTGGTACCACCTGGAGTCCCAGTTACTCCGGAGTCTGAGGCGGGAGGATCACTCACACCCTGGAGCTTGAGGCTGCAGTGAACTATGATCACGTCACTACACTCCAGCCTGGGTGACAGCGGAAGACTCCGTCTCAAAAAGAAATTTTAAAAATAAAAAGTAAGGCCGGGCATGGTGACTCACACCTGTAATCCCACCACTTTGGGAGGCCGAGGTGGTGGATCATTTCAGGTCAGGAGTTTGCAACCAGCTGGGTAAGATGGTGAAACCCCATCTCTACAAAAAAAAAAAAAAAAAAAAAAAAAAAAAAAAAAAATTGCCAGGTGTAGTGGTGCGTGCCTGTAATCCCAGCTACTCAGGAGGCTGGGGTGGGAGAATCGTTTGAACCTGGGAGGTGGAGATTGTAGTAAGCCGAGATCATGCCACTACACTCCAGCCTGGGTGACAAAGCAAGACTCTGTCTAAAAAAACAAATAATAAAGAAGTTCCCTGAATGACTGTGCAGTTGTAGCAAAGTATAGGGAACTCCAAAATCGTGTGTAATGTGGCAGAGGACCCCAGCACATAGCACGTGCTCTGTAAAGAAAGTCGGCCTGGGCCAGGGCTCGGAGGGTGCCTAGCAAAAGACAGTGGCTGGCCGGAAAATGACGTGACCAGTCGGCAGATGTGACCATTCATGCATGCACTCACCCATTCATGCCCCGTTTTTTACTGAGCACCTACTATGCGCTGGGCCCTGTGCCAGGCATGCCCCCCAGAAGCTCCAGATTTGGACACGGACAATGACAGCTCAGAGGGACAGAGGAACCTGGCCTAAGTCTAATGGGCCCTTCTGTCCACTCCCAGGACCCTGCAGTTTCGTGCAGAGCAGAAACGGGGGTGAGGCTGGCTCAGCTCAAACAGCTGCATCATCAGCTCCAGCCTCTACAAGTGTGCCAGGCTGGGTGAGGCAACGCCTCCCCCATCTCCGAAAGGGCTCGTGGGCCTGGCTGTGGGCCGGCCCAGGAATGTAAACCTGGTCTGTTTGGGAAAGCTGGAGCCAGAGGTTTCCGAGGGTGGCCCACGGGACCTGCCGCAGGCTGGTGGACAGATATGCGCTTGTATTAACATGCCCTACAGCGGCCTGGCCCCTCCCACCTCGGGCCGAGCATCTGGAACCAGTTAGGAGCCAGGCGGCTGGGGCACACACAGTTACCTTAGCTGAGACTGAGGCTGAGCTGGGGCAGCGGCCCTGGAGGGAGGGGAGGCGATGCCGGCCTGAGAGCAGCAGCTCTTTGCTAGAAGGAAGGAAAGAGAGGGCTTGAAGCTGGCAAGACGCCGCCTTGTCCAGTGCCCCCAGGGCCAGGTTGGGACCAAGTCAACTTCCCCAAGAGAGGGTCAGAGAGCCAGGATCACATCAGTGGCTCAGTGCAGGGCTGTTCACACACCCTGAGGCCCAAGGGCCATACGGTGTCCTGTTAGGGCTGGACTGTGGAGCCAGGTGACCTGGGTTTGAATCCCAGCTTGGTCTCTGCCTAGCTCTGGCACCACGGGCAAGCATCTCGGTTGCCCCTCTCTGAGCCTCAGTTTTCCCATTGGTATCAAGGGTTCAGCCTGGCTCTGGGCTGCAAGTCTGCCATGAGCCCATCCATGAGCTTTCTTGGGTTGGTCCCAAGCAGGGTCTGGATAACAGGATTGTGACCCCCGGCTGCCTCCCAGAGCTCCTCACATAGCTCCCCTTCCCTCAATCCCTCAGGCCAGGGTGGGAATCGTCTCCATGTTTCCTTTTCTTTTTCATTTTCCTAGAGACAGGGTCTTTCTCCGTCACCCAGGCTGGAGTGCGGTGGTATGATATCTGCTCACTGCAGCCTCTACCTCCCAGGCTCAAGTGATCCTCCTGCCTCAGCCTCCCAGGCAGCTGGGACTTTCACAAGCATCACCACATCTGGCTAATTTTTAAGACTTTTTGTAGAGATGGGGGTCTCATTACGTTGCCCAGGCTGGTCTCACTATGCTGCTGGAGCTCCAGGGCTTAAGGAATCCTCCCACCTCGACCTCCCAAAGCACTAGAACTTCCAGGTGTGAACCACTGTGCTAGGCCTGTGTAACCCCAGGGCGCTGCACGTTCCTTTCGGGTTCCTCTCTACCCCCGGGTCTCAGCCTTGGCACAGCAGACGCCCTGGCTCATGGCCTCGCGGTCGTGGTTGTGTCCTGCGCACTGTAAGATGCTTAGCAGCACCCGTGGCCTCTGTATGCTGACCCTCACAGCGTCCTCCTCCCCACTGCAGCAACCAGAAACTCCCCAGACAGGCCGCAAGTCCCTGGAGGCAGTGTGGGGAGAGTCGCCTCTAAGTGAAAACCACTGGCTTACCCCCTCAACAAGTGGCTTACTCACCCCCTCCCTAGCTGCTGAGATCTGAGCACTGGAAACTGGCTGGTGGCCGCTGACGTAATATACGCGGGAGACCACCAAGCACCTTGCCAGGCCCCCAGCCCTAAGGGCAGTCATAATCACTAGTAAGGGTCTAGAGCCTGGGATGCACTTAATATCTGAGACCAAGAACTCATCAGTGCTCTGCCTGGAGAGGTTGAGGGATTTTTACAGCTGGGTGACCTTGGAAAAGTCACTTGCCCTCTCTGAGCCTCCCTGCCCACCTCGGTGCAGCAGGGCTGAGCGGAGGATTGAGAGGTGCTGCGACGAGCATGGGCACACAGTAGGTGCCCAGCCAATGGTTACTCCCCCCGCCTCCCCGGCTCCTGGTAGGTGGGGGCCTCACCTGACTGCCTGGTTCTGGCCATGGAAGTCAAGGACCAAGCTGGCCTGAGAATCACAGGTCAGACGCAGTGAGGAGCTCATCTCTTCTGCCGCCCACAGTCCTAGGAACACGAGCTGAGGAGGGAGCAGAATGCGTGGTGTGCAGGTGTAGACAGCCTGAGGACCCTCACAGGCCAGGTGGGGACTCCAGCCAAGCTCTACAGCCCGGCAGGTCCCTGTTCCCAAGCCCCGCAGGCCTGCCTCACCAACACTTTCATGGATGCTGAGGAGGCAAGGGATCGGCCCCTGTTGCAGCTTAAGATGGCAGTGCCCACCCAAAGGACAGCTGCAGCCCAGACATCGGCTGAGAACAGCTCCCCGGGGAGCTCCCTGTCACCTGGCCTTCGAGTCCAGGATAGAGTTTAGATAAAGTCAGGGGCATGGGGTATCCAGTCCACTGAGTTGAGGGGTACAGAGCTGAGAACCTTTGCAGGAGGGGCGACATCCTGGCCCCCTGAGCCCCCGGGAGCCGTCCCCTCCCCCACCGCAGAGTGGACTGGGGCAGGGGTTGCTGGGTAAGCTGAAACAGGAGTGTGCATGTGGAAGAAGCGTTGGCGCCTGCTCTGGAACACGCTCTGTGGCTCTCAGAGAAGGAGGGCCAGCCAGGCAGGGCAAGTTCATGCCAAGTGACAGAGGCCATGGCATGGCCCATGTGAGTTCCTCCTCTGAGGCAGGAGGGCCGCATGAGGAAGGATCTGGGTGCCAAGCCTGAGGCCCAATTTTGCTGCTTGCTTGCTAGGTGACCTTGGGCAAGTCACCCACACTCTCGCCTGTGACCCAGAGACGATGGTGATGATGATGATAGTCACTGTCACACCATCAGCATCACCTTTTTCATCTTCATCACAGCAAGTGCTTCTGAAGCATCTGCTCAGGCATTCGTGAGATTAACTCACTCAATCCTCACAGCCTCCATGTTACAGGTAATATCATCAGCCCCATTTTACAGATGAGGAGATGAGGTCACAGAGAGGCGAAGGAATTTGCCCAAGGCCACACAGCCGGCAAGCAGCAGAGGCGGGATCCGAACACTGGAGAAAGCTTGGTAAGGAAGGGGCCATCCTGCCTCTCTCTGGGGCACTGGAAGGATGAAACTAACAAACGCCGACGAACCCTTCAAAGGGGGCTGGCACGGGCCGGGCACTGGACAAGCAGGAGCTTTGATTCTGACCCAAGTGCAGAACAGAAAGACGGGTCAGAAGCCAGATGCTAATCCAGGATGCCCGTCCACACCAGCCTGTACCTGGGAAGGCAGACGCTGCGCAGCAGACCTGGTTATAGCGATGACCAATGAAGCCTTTGTAAACTGTAAAGTGCTGGGGAAACCCAAGGCCTGGCCCTCCCCATCCGCCCTGCACACAGCGGGTCCTCTGCACCCCAGGAATCGGACAGAGGGAACAGAATTTGGAGGGAGGTCCCCCCCATGCACTCCTTACCTGGCTGGAGAAGGGCAGGCCCAGCCTCTGCAGAGCGGGCACTGTGTGGCTGGCATTGGCCACCATCTGCAGCGGGCCGTGCAGTGGCCACACCACCAGGGCTGCCAGGCCCACGATGACACCACCGTCCCTGCCACGGAGGGCCACGCTGGCCTGGGTCTGGGACTCTAGAGGCAGAAAATGGCACGGGCTACTGACGACAGGTTCACCTCCCTTCCCAGCCCAGGAACACACCAGACTTCGGGAAAGGCGGTGCCCTGTGGCCCTCAAACACACCACCCGTGGGAAAGGGAAAGACTCCCATGGGGGGTTGGGTGGGGTCAACCCCGTTTGAGCCTCCTTGACATCATCTGTCATCATTTGTCCCTGAGGATCTAGGCCTGGGTGGCTCCTCCTTTCATTGAAGTTGAAGTTGCTGAAATGACACCTCCTCTAAGAGGCCTCCCCTGACTGCCCGTCTGAAGTCCTTCCCCATCTTTTGCTGCCAGGCATCCTCCATCCCACCTCCCTGGAGTGCGGTTCCAGGACAACCCAAAATGACCTCACTCGCTTACATACTAGGTACCTGCTCCCCTACTGCCACCCCACCAGAATGCCATCCCCCGGGCAGGGTTTCTCTTAGGACAGCTCCTGACACACAACAGGGGGTCAGTGAGTACTTTCCGAATGACTGGGGGGAGGCTGCTTCTCTGTAGGGATTCCTGGGGATTCTCTGAGCAGCCTGCAGAGGAATCAGCATGAGGTCTGCTCTTGATAAATGGCCACTTCGGCCTGATACCCACCTGCAGCCACCTGGCCCTGGCTGGAGGGTCCCATCCCTCCCATCACCCCCACAGAACAGGAGAGTGTGGCTCACAACGGCATTTTCTTCTTTGATTTAAATTCCCTCTTGTACACATAGAAACCCATCGGGTCCAGGAGCCACAGAGCAAACAGATGGCGCCTACTCTACGTCAGATGTCAGATTCCAGGTTCCCGTGGGGTGCAGCTCACGGCTCAGGCCCAAGTGACACTCAGCCAGGATCCAGCACCTCCCATCTGGCCAGCAGGGTGGATAAGCCCCACAGCTCTGAGCCTCGACTTCCTTCTCTGTAAGGGGGGCAACAGCCCATCTGCCTCAAGGGACAACGTCCAGAGAAAATGGGGTAACACATGAGAGAGGACCGCCTGTGGAGCATGCAGGAGGCCTCGGACACGCTTCCTTCCTTCCTCATTCCACACTCAACCACGTGTACCTACTATGTGCAGGGCAAGAGGAGGGAGGGGACATGATTCCCACACCCGGGAGCGCCTGGCTGTCAGAAATACCAAGAATGTTAACGACGGGCAGAAAGTGTCCCGGAGAGTAGGGACACCAGACTGGGGACAGCCACGGGAGGAGGGAGAGATCACTCCTGGCTGGGGGTGGCCACACCAGGCATCCTGGATCGGGAACTAGAGCAGCGTGGAAGTGTTCATCCAGAATGACCGCCCATCACTCCATCACTTGTCCCCAGAAAAGTCTGAGGTCAGCTCAGACTAGGGACAATTTCCTTGTGTGATCCAGTCCTCCATTCACCCCTCAGGAGGCTGAGGACCAAAAATAAAGTTTTTGTTGTTTTTTTAAATTTTTTTGAGATGGAGTCTCAGTCTGTCACCCAGGCTGCAGTGCAGTGGCGTGATCTTGGCTCGCTGCAACCTCCACCTCCCAGGTTCAAGTGGTTCTCATGCCTCAGCCTCCTGAGCAGCCGGGACTACAGGCATGCACCACCATGCCCAGCTAATGCTTTTGGAGAGACAGGGTTTCACCATGTTGGCCAGGCTAGTCCCGAACTCCTGACCTCAAATGATCCACCTGCCTCAGTCTCCCAAAGTGCTAGGATTACAGGCGTGAGCCATTGCACCAAGATCCCAAAATAAAAAGTTTGAGGCCAACAGAAGATGCCCTAGGGGACTCAAAAGACCCAGGGGTCCTGAACGGTCAAGAGCCAGGTCTCCATAATCTATCTGGGGGTCAGAGGGTGGTTCTGGGTTCAATCCTTGCTCCATCATCACCAGCTGTGTGGCCTGGGCCAGGTGACTCAACCTCTCTGAGCCTCCATGCCTCATCTGCAGAATGGGAACGGCGTTCCTAACCCTACCTCATCGGCTCATTCGCGCACGTTCAACACCTACTATGTGCCCTGCAGCAAAGCAGACAAAAATCATCCCTGCCCTGATGGAGCACACATGCTGGCGATTCTAGTGTAGACAGAATGAGAAACAATGGTATTTGTATGCTACACGATGTGGTCAAATGACAGAACTGGGGAGAGGGTGGGAGGGGATGGGGCATGGGAGGAGATGGGGAGGTGGAAAAGAGGCCTCCCTGAGATGCCATTGGAAAAACGCCTCGGGGAAGCGAGGGAGCCAGGCAGGTGTGTGGGGGAGAGGCATTCCAGACGGCAGGATCAGCCCGCGCCAAGGTCCTGGGGCAGCAGCAAGCCTGGTGCGTTAAAGAATAGAAAGGGGTAGAACAGGTGGGGCTGGGGGCCGGGAGACGAGGTGACATGGGGGAGGGGATGGGTTCTGCCGGCTCGCAGGCCCCTCTAAGAGCTGTGGCGTTCCCCTGTGTGATGGGGACAGCTGTACTGCACTGAGCCCTCGCGTGTACACAGCTTGCCTGGCGTGTATACAGTAAGTGCCCAGCCAGTGCTGGCTCCTCTTATTGCTTTTATCTTCCCCCCATAATGGGTTGAACCATGACCCCCAAAAAGAGATAATGAAGTCCCACCCCCCCTCACCCTCTGTCCTATGAAGATGACCTTATTTAAAAATAGGGTCTTGGCTGGGCACGGTGGCTCACAACTCTAACCCCAGCACTTTGGAAGACCGAGGTAGGTGGATCACGAGGTCAGGAGTTTGAGGCCAGCCTGAGCAACATGACCAACCCCTGTCTCTACTAAAAATACAAAAATTAGCCAGGCATGGTGGTGTGCGCCTGTAATCCCAGCTGTTCAGGAGGCCGAGGCAGGAGAAGCACTTGAACATGGCAGGTGGAGGTTGCGTTGAGCCAAGATCACACCACTGCACTCCAACCTGGGTGACAGGGCAAGACTCTGTCTTAAATAAATAAAGTAAGTAAATAAATAAATAAATGGTCTTTACAGATGGAATGAAGTGAAAACAACATCACATTCAAGCCAGATGGGTGTTCAACCCACTGTGGATTGTTTTATTTTGAGATAGGGTCTCATTCTGTCACCCAGGCTGGAGCACAGTGTTACAATCATAGCTCACTGCAGCCTCGACCTTCTGGCTCAAGTGATTTTCCCGTCTCAGCCTCCCGAGTAGCTCGGACCACACACACGTGCCACCACATCCAGCTAAGATTCCTGTGCACAACAGCTAAGATTGTGTTTTAAGCCATTCAGTGTGTGGGACTTGGTTGCGGAAGTCCTAGGAGACTAATCCGCCTGCCTTGGGAGTGAGGTCATTCATAGGCAAGGCTGTCCTGGTTGCCCCAGAGCCCAGGGCCACACTGGGCTTCATGGGGTGCCACCTGGGTCCAGGCCTGAGGCTGCTGGCTGCCCCAGGCATGGAAGAAGCCAGCTCCCCAGTCCCGGGGCTGTGTGCTGGGTGCCTTACCACTTATCTGCAGCTCTGCAAGCAGGGAGGCCTCGCCTGGGAGTCCCGCCCACAACAAGGCCTCACTATTGTGCCAACTCTGGCCGGAGAGCTCCAGGTGCCCGTCACGGTAACAGCAGCTCACAGAGTAGTTGAGAGATGTGGGTCCCATCAGGATGCGTCCAGAATGCTCAAAGCCCGAGCTGCCGTTGTGAATGTCCATGAAGACCTGGAATGCCACCAAGGAGATGCTGGGCTGCCCTGTGCAGAGAGCGAGCCAGCCCAGGGCAGGCTGGCACTGGCTCACACACACCCTGGGGTTATCAGTGCCATCCGTGTCCCTGCGGTGGGAGGAACTCAGACCCTCTTGCAGGAGCAGGTTTGATGACCAACACAGTTCCTCCAGCTAATTACACGTGAACCAACGAACCCACAGAGAAAAGAGAGAGAACCGATCAGGAGGTGGGGCAGGCAGGGGAGAGGGGGCCTGGGGAAGACGGCTAGAGCAAAACTTTGGGAGGAGGAAGACGTCCTGGCTGATGCGAAACAGGTTGGCAAACAACAGCCTATACCTTTTGTTGTAAATAAAGTTTTACTGAAATACAACTCTGCCTATTTGCCAGAGGTGTGTGAACCAGAGCAACTCCATCTTGAATAGGGGCTGGATAAAATGAGGCTGAGACCTACTGGGCTGCATTCCCAGAGAGTTAGACATTTTAAGTCACAGGATGAGATAGGAGGTCATACAAGATACAGGTCATGACCAGGCACAGTGGCTCACGCCTGGAATCCCAGCACTTTGGGAGGCTGAGGTAGGCAGATGGCTTGAGGTCAGGAGTTCGAGACCAGCCTAGCCAACATGGTGAAACTCCGTCTCTACTAAAAGTACAAAAATTAGCTGCATGTGGTGGCTCATGCCTGTAATCCCAGCTGCTCGGGAGGCTGAGGCAGGAGAATCACTTGAACCCAGGAGGCAGTGGTTGCATTGAGCCCAGATCACTCCACTACGCTCCAGCCTGGGTAACAGAGTGAGACTCCATTGCCAAAAAAAAAAAAAAAAAAAAAAAGAGCGACAGACACAAGTCATGAAGACCTTGCTGATCAAACAGATGGCAGTTAAGAAGCCGACCCAAACCTACCAAGATGGCTATGAGGGTGACCTCTGGTCATCTTCACTGCGACGCTTCCACCAGCACCATGACAGTTTACAAATATCGCGGCAATGTCAGGAAGTTGCCCTATGGTCTAAAGAGGGGGGGGCGCAAATAATCCACCCCTTGTTTAGCACGTCATCAAGAAATAAGCATTAAAATGGGCACCAGCAGCCCTGAATTCTTTCTTGCACAAGATCAAAGAACCCTCTCTTGGGTCTGGATCGAGATCCCTTTCCTGCAACACGTTCATGTCCTATGCCGGTGGCTGCTTCCAAGACACCATAGCAGCAGAACGGAGCAGCTGCGGCAGAGACTGCGGGGCCACAGAGCCCAAGACGTTTACTATCTGGCCCTTGATGGAAAACGTTTCTCAAACTCTGCTGCGAGATGTAATTCCCTCCCATGCCGCCCCACAACCATCTCAATATAAAACCTTCAGTGAGGCCAGGCGCGGTGGCTCATGCCTGTGATCCCAGCGGCTTGGGAGGCTGAGGCAGGTAGATCCCTTGAGGTCAGGAGTTTGAGACCAGCCTGGGCAGCATGGCAAAACCTCGTCTCTACTAAAAATAAAAAAAATTAACCAGGCATGGTGGTAGCAGGTGTCTATAATACCAGCTACTCAGGAGGCTGAGGCAGGAGACTTGAACCTGGCAGGGGCGGTGGGGGAGGTTGCAGTGAGCCAGGATCATGCTACTGCACTTTTGGCAAAAGCACAAAACTCCATCTCAAAAAAAAAAAAAAAAAAAAAACAAAAACAAAACAAAACAAAACAAAAAAAAACCTTCAGTGAAATCTCCACCACCTCTTCCACCATTATTGAAGGAACTACCCAGGCAGGAAGGAACAGGGATGAGAGGCAGGGAAGGGCATCTCAGGTCCCTGCGACCCAGAGACTGAGCCGTGGCCCATCCAGGACTGCATCTCCTGGGCTCTTAAGAGAAACGCAGCGTCTCAGGCCCCCCAACCAGACCAGAATCATACCTGCATTATAACCCCATCCCCAGTTGATGCCTGTGTGCTGGGTGTGCAGGGAACCCGTTCTACACAGAAGGCCACCTACGCTGTGGGACACCACAGGAGGCCCAGGTCTGCTGGGCTCTGACCGTGCGCCACCCACCCTCTGCGATGACAGCACAGGGCCTGAGGCTGGACTTGTCCCGAGTCTCAGGGGCTCTGCACTGCTGGCCAGCTCTGCCAAACTGTCCCCAACCACACTGGCCACACCCAGGCCTGCCTGCTTGGCCTCTGCTGGTGTTACTCTTGACCCTGATGGTGCCAAGGTCACACGGACCCCAGGCACACAGGCTCAGGGCAGATCCAGAGACTCACTGTGAGAGCAGAGAAGCCAGGGCTGAGCTCTCTGTTGTTATTCGCCAAGCGCTTCCCGGAAACCCAGCCCCAATGGGCAGAGCTGGGGAAACTGAGGTCTGAGCCCTCCACATAGCTGGCTCCCTAGACTTTCCCCCAGGGACTGGGAGTTCCCAGGGTCCAGTCAACCCTAGACCAGGGCTTGCAAACTGGTGGCCCTTGAGTGGGTAGGTTTTGTGTGGTCACTCTGGTATTTTTTGTGTTGTGTTTTTTTTGACGGATTCTTGCTCTGTTGCCCAGGCTGGAGAGCAGTGATGCAATCTGAGCTCACTGCAGACTCTGCCTCCCAAATTCAAGCGATTCTCCTGCCTCAGCCTCCAGAGTAGCTGGGACTAAAGGTGCCCACCCCCACACTCAGCTAATTTTCTGTATTTTTAGTAGAGACAGGGTTTTGCCACGTTGGTCAGGCTAGTCTCAAACTCCTGACCTTAAGTGACCTGCCTGCCTCAAACTCCTAGAGTGCTGGGATAGACGACATCTTATATAAGTCTGTTTATATGAAATTTCCAGAATAGACAAATGCATAGGGACAGAAGGCAGATTCATGGTAGTTGGGGACCAGGGAAGAGAGGATGGGAGGGATTGCTGATGGGTATGAGGTTTCCACAGGGGTAAGGCAAGTTCTGGAACTTGCAGGCACCAATGATTGTAGGATAGCATGAATGCACATAACGTCCCCGAGCTGTCTATTTGCAACGGTTTTACATTACCATATGCATTTTACTACAAGAAATGTGAAGAAATACATACAGCGTGGAGGCTCTGAGATGTGGCACACGCTCTGTAGTTCCCACACAGCCCAGGGACACATTTCAGTTCTCCACCTGGCCCCAAAAGCTTCGAGTTTGCAACCCCTGCACCCCACACACGAAGGCTGATCACTGAAACAGGGGAAGCAGGCCGGGCGCGGTGGCTCACGCCTGTAATCCCAGTGCTTTGGGAGGTTGAGGTGGGCAGATCACTTGAGGACAGGAGTCGGAGACCCGCCTGGCTAAGATAGCGAAACCCCGTCTCTACTGAAAACACAGAAAGTAACCGGGAGGGGTGGCAGGCACCTTAATCCCAGCTACCTGGGAGGCTGAGGCAGGAGACTTTCATGAACTTGAGAGATGGAGATTACAGTAAACTGAGGTCGCACCACTGCACTCCAGCCTAGGCAACTAAGCAAGTCTCATAATGAATGAATGAATGAATGAATGAAAAGAAACAGTGGCAAAAGTAGCAGCAGCTGTGATCATTGCTCGAACGCGCAGCAGGCAGCAAGGGCCCCGCCCAGTTTTACGCCACCTGTTTTAGGAGGCAGGGACTGCTACTCCATGGGTCAACAATGTGGACTGAGCACCTACTACGTGCCACGCCCCGTCTTAAACCTGGGGATACTACCACTAACAAAATAGAAATGGCGGAGCCCCTGTTGCTTAGATGGCAGTGCTGGGAGACAGGGCAAGGAGAAGGCATTGCACTTCCTGCCGGCACCCTCGGCAGAGAGAGCATGAAGCCACCTGAGCTAAACCGCGCCCCAGCCATGAGGTCCACCGTCCACTTGTCTCGTGGCCTGGACACGCCCGCCACCAGCCCAGCCGCCCAGGACAGAAGTGGGCTTGGAACCCTTGGGTCCTGGCTGACGTCTTCCTGTGCTTGCAGCGGGACCACTCGATGACTGTCAGATTGAGCTGACGCCCCGGGAGCTGGGAGTCCAGGTGCATGTCACCGGGGATATGCGGGTCTTTAAGGAAGGGGACCATGTGAGTTTCTTCTGGCAGCGACCTCAGCCCCTGGCCATGCCACAGGCAGCCCTTGTGATCAGGCTGTTTCAGCCTCCCTGGAGGGGCCCACTGTGTACCACAACCATCTTGCCCAGGACCGAGACCCCGTACCTCAAGAGGCTGCCCAGTGACGTCCCCTCGACAGAGTCCTAACAGCTGGGTGGATGAGGCGTCTCCGCTGCAGTTGACCTATGGAGACCAGTGGATGGGAAGGGGCTGGCTTCTTCCTCTGACCCCAGAGTGAACTGGCATTGGTGCCAAGATCCCACTTGACCCCACTGCCCTTTGGGGAAGCCACTGTGGGCAAATAACCCCAGAGAGAGGTTTGCACAGAGACGTGAGGGCAAAGCCACAGCATCATCATCAAATGAAGGGTCATAGAGCTCCCACCATGCAGGGCCTCTGTGCCAGGCAAGGTGCCAACTCGTTCATCATCTGAACCTCAGAGGAACCACGGGAGGAGGTGACAGATGAGGAAACGGAATCACCCAAGTCACGAAAAGAAAGCATCTTGCCTGTGGTCACACAGTCAGCGATGGTGCGGCCTGGCTTCAGGCCAGGAACCCTGGTCACTCACGGTCCCTCCCCCACCATGGACGGTTTAGTCACCCTTGGGGACAGGCACCAAGGTGGCTTCCTGCTTTGCATTTCTGAATACCGACGAACACAGCGGCGGGTGCGAGGCTTCTCCAGGGGAGGGGCCCCAAGGAGGACCTGAGGGGCCAGGGGCTCCGCTGTCTTCATTCTACCTGGCAGGGCCAGAGAACTCAGAGGCCACTGCCCCAGCTCTGCGGCCAGGCGTGGGGAGGAGGGAGGTTGGAAATGCAGATAGGAAGGACAAATGCACAGCAGAAGTGTGGGGAGAGAGAGAAAGGGGGAGGGAGAGTGTGAGGGGAGAGGAGGGGGGGGTGAGGGAGAGGGTAAGAAGAGGGGAGGGGAGGGAGACAGACGGGAGGAGGAGCCCGGGAGGGCTGGGAAGGCCGAGTGGGGGGAGGAGGGAGGGAGGATGGGAAGAAAGCAAGCCACGGGGAGAAAGGAGGACAGGTGGCAGGAAAGCAGGTGAAGATGGTAGGGGGAAGAGGGAAAGGAGAATGAGTGGGAAAATGGCAAGGAGGATGGGAGGAGGGAGGCAGGTGAGGGGGGAGGCAGGTGGGGGAGAAGCAGGTGGGAGAGGCAGGTAGGAGGGAGGCAGGTGTTGGGGGAGGTAGGTAGGGGGAGGCAGGTGGGGGGAGGCAGGTAGGGGAGAGGCAGGTGGGGGGAGGCAGGTGGGGGGAGGCAGGTGGGGGGAGGCAGGTGGGGGGGAGGCAGGTGGGGGGAGGCAGGTGGGGGGAGGCAGGTGGGGGGAGGCAGGTGGGGGGAGGCAGGTGGGGGGAGGCAGGTGGGGGGAGGCAGGTGGGGGGAGGCAGGTGGGGGGAGGCAGGTGGGGGAGGCAGGTAGGAGGGAGGCAGGTGTTGGGGGAGGTAGGTAGGGGGAGGCAGGTGGGGTGAGGCAGGTAGGGGAGAGGCAGGTAGGGAGTTACTAAGAAAAGAAGCAGAGACAGGAGGACAGCCCTGGTAGACCCCGCTTGGGCCCCCCAGCCCAGCAGTGCAGGCTGCAGTCTGGCCCATGCGGCACTGAGCCACTCACCTCTAGCTGGGAGGGCAGTGTGCCCTGTAGCCCCGAGAGGCTGTGGTGCAGCCCCAGCACCAGCCCCCGGCAGCCGCCCTCTGCCTTCCTCTCCAGGGCTGCGTGGAGCTGCTCGCCATCCAAGTTCACGGTCAGCCCGGCTGCCAGATTGTGTCCAACACTCTGGGCAGAAGCCAAGCTGTTGGGCGTCCCAGGGACCCACCATCCCCTGTGCAGCCCAGGCACAGCCCCCTCCTCACCTGGAAGTGCCCGGAGCCATCTATGGAGAAGGGCAGGCCCCAGTGCTTGAGGCTGGGCATGGTGTGGGTGTGGCAGAGGCTGGCATGGAGCTGGCAGCTCGGGGACTCGGGGGTCAGGCCCTCTAGGTAAAGGGCAGCGTCTAGCTGACCCTTCGCATTCCACAGCACCAGGCGTGCTGAGCAGTTGGCAGCCACGTGGGTGAGAAAAAGGGGCGCCTCTGCCTTAGAGTAGAGTTCTGGGGAAAGAGGCCAGCGGGCAGGGGTGGGCAAAGCCCCAGAGACCACGAAGCCCACTCCACCCCACTGAGTCAGGTGGGAACATGACGGGGGCCTGGCCAGCCCACCTGCTCTCTGGAGGGTCCCCTGAGCCCCACAGCTCCAGGTCTCACTGCCCCCCATACCCCAGGTTAAACCATACGAAACTGTCCACATTTCACACAAGTGATTTCAACTGGTCCGACCTCACAGCACCATCATCTCACACAGCCAGTGGCAAACCCATGTCCCCTAGGATTTCCAGCTCCCGCAGAGGACAGAGCCCAAATCTCAGAGGGAAACGAGGGGCTCTGATGGTGTGTCCTCCCTTCACTGCTGGACCAGCCCCTCCAGGCCTGGAGGGAACATCTCCGAGAAGCCCAAGCAGGGGCTGTTGGGACTATTTCATAGCTGCTGTCCCAGGGAGCGTCCTTGGGGTCCTGACTAGACCAGGCATCCACACTGCACGAGCTGTCCCACGGAACGGGTTGGGGTGAGGAGGCCAGATTGGGGGAGGTAGGCAGGGGGAAGCCAGGCGTGGCGGCGGGGGTGGGAGGCTCGTGGGGGTGGGGGGGAGGCAGGTGGGAGGAGGCAGGTGGGAAGAGGCAGATAGAGAGGGAGGGAGGGAGGGAGGGAGGGGAGAGGGAGGGAAGAGAGGCAGGGAGGAAGAGAAGGGGAGAGGGAGGGAGAAAAGAGAGGAGCAGGGGAGAAGGGGGAAGAGAGGGAAGGAGGGAGGAGGAAGGGGAGGGAAAGAGGAGGGGGGAAGGAGACGGGAGATGAGGGGGGAAAGGGAGGAGGAGGGGAGGGAGGGAGGGAGAGAGAAAGGAGGGGAGAGGGAGGGAGAGAGGAGGGGCTTGGTGGCAGCTGCCGTCACCATCTCATCTGAATCATGTCAATACCGTAACATCGGGTGTCCTGAACCTGCATGTTCTGGCTGAATCACAGCCCGGGGAAGAAGTTGCAGGTGTGCAGGGGAACCCAGTAGGGGAAAGAAACGAAGCTGGAATGTGAGCTGGGGGCTGCAGCCTCACTTATCCCCTCCCTCGGCCCCAGGACTTGGGAGTCTTGAAGAAAGAAGCTGTTCTGCCTGGACCACTCATCCTACCTGCATCACTCAGTGTGCTGATACCGAGCGTCAGGCCACCTGCACGCTGGCTGTGCCCGGGGCCCCAGGAGCACGCTCCACCCAGAGCCAGGCTGGCCGCGTGGGCACGGACGCTGGCCTGGGCCTTCAGGCTCCCCCTCTGGGCATGCAGCCGGCCCTTCAGCTGGAGCTCTTCGGGCAAGGCCTGGCTGCTGTTCTGGATGAGGACACAGGTCACGCTGCGCATGCTGGTGCCGTTCCCTGCCTTCTCATGCTTGTCCCGCAGGAGGAAACCCAGCACAGCTGAGTCAGCAGTGACTCTCAGGGTGCCTGCAGAGGGTGGGAGAGAAGAACCGAGCAGGGCGTGGCTCAGGGAACCGAGTGCTTTAAAATAATTTGGGGGTAGGAAGATGCTAGATTCATGATGTCACACTTGTAACTCATGCCAGAAATGTCACATTTGTAGGCTGGGTGCAGTGGCTCACGCCTGTAATCGCAGCACTTTGGGAGGCCAAGGTGGGTGGATCATGAGGTAAAGGAAACGAGACCACCCTGCCAACACGGTGAAACCCCGTCTCTACTAAAATACAAAAATTAGCTGGGCGTGGTGGCGCGTACCTGTAGTCCCAGCTACTTGGGAGGCTGAGGCAGGAGAATTGCTCGAACCCAGGAGGTGGAGGTTGCAATGAGCTGAGATCGTGCTACTGCACTCCAGACTGGGTGAGAGAGCAATACTCCCTCTCAAAAAAAAAAAAAAAAAAGGAAAAGAAATGGCACATTTGTGAAATCCATCAAATTACAGCAGTTCCCACAGGATACTCTGAAAATCAAGCAAGCTAATTTGCAAAGTAATACAGAAAATCTTAATAGCTCTGTATGTGTATGTTCTCCAAAAAAGTCCCACAGAGAACCTCCAGATGTCTTCACTGGTAGAGTCTATCAGACATTCAGGGAACATCACCACCAAACTCATACAAACTCTTTCAGAAAAGAAAAAAGAACAGAATCACCAACTTGGTTTATGAAGTCAGCATCAACCTCATACCAAACCTGACAAGAGCTTTGCAAAAAAGGAAAGTTACAACCCAATAGTGCTGTGAACACAGATACCAGATTTTTTTTTTTTTTTTTTTTTTTTTTTTTTTTTTTTTTTGACACGGAGTCCCGCTCTGTTGCCAGGCTGGGGTGCAGTGGTGCAATCTCAGCTCACTGCAACCTCGGCCTCCCAGGTTCAAGTGATTCTCTTGCCTCAGCCTCTGGAGAAGCTGGGACTATAGGCATCCACCACCACGCCCAGCTGATTTTCATATTTCTACGAGAGATGAAGTTTCACCATATTGGCCAGGATGGTCTCAATCTCCTGACCTCAAGATCCGCCTGCCTCAGCCTCCCCAAGTGCTGGGATTACAGGCATGAGCCACCGCGCCCGGCCCACAGATACCAACTTTCTTAACCAAGTATTGGGAAACCAAATTCGATTATATGCAGAAAGAAAAATACTTAGGAAAAAATGGAGGGAATTCCACTAAAGCAAGGTTGGGTTCACACTGAAGACCAATTTAATTCACTCTATTAACAAAATCAAAGTGGAAAACCATATGAATATGTACTAGATTCACAAAAGGCATCTGACTACATTCAACACCCATTCTTAAGAATTAATAAAAACTGGCCAGGCACGGTGGCTCATGCCTATAATCCCAGCACTTTTGGGGGCTGGGGCAGGCAGATCACTTGAGGCCAGGAGTTCGAGACCAGCCTGGCCAACATGGTGAAATTCTGTCTCTAGTAAGACTACAAAAATTAGCCAGGTGTGGTGGAGTGTGGCTGTAATTCCAGCTACGTGGGAGGCTAACGCAGGAGAATCACTTGCACCCAGGGGGCGGAGGTTGCAGGTTACAGTGAGCTGAGATTGCACCGCTGCACTCCAGCCTGGGAGACAGAGCAGGACTGTCTCTAAAAAACAAACAGAAAATCTGCAATCTCATAAAGAACATTATGCAAAACCAATAGAAAACATTAAAATTATTTGTGGAAATTTTGAACATTTTCCTTGTAAGACTAAGAACAAGGTGAGAATTTTTGCTCTTAGCATTTTTATTCAATATTATACTGCAGTTCTTACCCACTGAAGAAAAAAAAAAAAAAAAACTTTAGTGGCATAAAAATAACAGACCAGGCATGGTGGCTCATGCCTATAATCTCAGCACTTTGGGAGGTTGAGGTAAGAGGATTGTTTAAACTCAGGCATTCCAGACCAGCCTGGGCAACAAACGGAGACCATGCCTCTAAAAAAACTATTACCTGGGTATGGCGGCACGCACCTGTAGTCCCAGCTACTTGGGAGGCTAAGGCAGGAGGATTGCTTGAGCCCAGGAGTTTGAGGCTACAGTGAGCCACGATTGTGCCACCACACCTCAGTCTGGGTGACAAAACGATGCCCCAACTCAAAAAAAAAAAAAAAAAGAAAAAAAGGCATAAAAATCAAAATGGAAGAAAATACTCTATTCCAGAAAATATAAAGGGTATCCACAGCTCAATAAAAGACAACTTTTAAAATGGGGGAAAAAATTGATCTAACCTGTCTCAAAGGAAGCTACGTGAACAAATAACATACATGAAAACATGATCAACATCATTCATCAACAAAAAAAAATGCAAATTAAAGCCACAAAGACAGACCACTAGACATTTAAATGGTTATTTCTTTGAGACAGGGTTTCACTCTGTGGCCGGGCTGGAATGCAGTGACGCAATCGTGGCTTGCTGCAACCTCAACCTTCCAGGCTCAAGCGATCCTCCCACCCCAGTCTCCATGTAGCTGGGACTACAGGCATGCGCTACCACATCCCGCTAATTTCCACCATTTTTGTGGTATCACAGTCTGCTTATGTTGCCCAGGATGGTCTCAAACTCCTGGCCTCAAGCAATCCACCCTTCTCAGCCTCCCAAAGTGCTAGGATTACAGGTTTGAGCTACTGCCTCCAGCTGAGTTGGCACATTTCATTGCACGTGAATTTACATGACCAGAGGAAGGAAGGAAGGGAGGGAGACTAAGAGAAGGGGAGAACTGTAAGCAAATATTGAGCTTTAGTTCATGATGTGCGCACGAATCCGTTTAGGGGTAAGGTGTTCTGATGTCTACAACTTACTCTGAAGAGCATCAGTAAGAACATAGATGGATGTTTCACAGGACAGAGGTCTGGATACAGACCCCAAGACAGGCTTCCTGGATCTTGTGCAAGAAAGAATTCAGGGTGAGTCCATGGTAAAAAGCAAAAGCAAATTTATTAAGAAAGGAATAATGGCTACTCAAGACAGAGCAGCCCCCAGGACTGCTGGCTGCCTATTTTTAGGGTTATTTCTTGATTATATACACTCAACAAGGGTGGGTTATTCATGCCCCCCACTTTGTATTTTTTATTTATTTTATGTGAGATCGTTTCGCTCTTGTTGCTGTTATATGTAAATTTTTGGTGCCACAAAAGTAGCACTCGAATATAAATTTCCTCAGCAAACAGGTGTCCACAACCATGCCCAGCTAATTTTTGTATTTTTAGTAGAAGACAGGGTTTCACAATGTTGACCAAGATGGTCTCAAATTGCTGACCTTGTGATCTGTCCACCTTAACTTCCCAAAGTGCTGGAATTACAGGCGTGGGAATTACAGGCATGAGCTACCACACCCAGTCAAGGCAATTTACTTCTATAGAAGGGTGCAGCTTGCAGATGGAATCATGACAAGCACACAGCTGGACAAGGGAGAGGAAGGAGTTCTTATTCCTGACACAGATGGCCCCCGCTGCTGCGTCTTTCCCCTATTGGCTAGGGTTAGACTGCACAGTCTAAGCTAATTCCAATCGGCTATTTTAAAGACAGCAGGGGTATGAGCTGGAGTGGTGGGGTGGGTAGTTTGGCAGGAAGGACAGTTATGGAACAGTTCAGAGCAGGTGACCAGGGGTGACTCAGGTCAAAGCAGTGACCAGGACAGGAGACCAGACTAGACAGCCTGGATGAGTCAGGATGGAGCAGGGGATGGGGAACAGATGTGAACTACTGATTAGAACTGGTAGAAAAGGTCACTTACTAAAACTGCAAGGAAGTTAAACTTTAAAATAGAGAATTAAAGAGTAAGAGAGCTGAACATACTGACACATTGATTCTTTGAAGAGAAACTTGGAGTTCACTGTATCTAACACTGCCCAGGCTGGAGTGCAGTGGCGTGATCTTGGCTCACAGAAATCTCCCAGGTTTAAGCAATTCTCCTGCCTCAGCCTCCCGAGTATTTGGGATTACAGGCAAGCATCACCACATCCAGCTCATTTTTTTGGTACTTTTAGTAGAGATGGGGTTTCTCCATATTGGCCAGGCTGGTCTTGAACTCCTGACCTCAGGTGACACACCTGCCTCAGCCTCCCAAAGTGCTGAGATTACAGGCGTGAGCCACTGCCCCTGGCCCATACCCCTTTTTTTAGACCATATAGGGTGACTTCCTGATGTTGCCATGGCATCTGTAAACTGTCACGGTGCTGATGGGAGTGTAGTAATGAGGCAGACCAGAGGACACTCTCGTCGCCATCTTGGTTTTGGTGGAATTTAGCCGGCTTCTTTACCTGTTTTAGCAGCAAGGTCTTTATGCAATGTATCTTGTGCCGACCTCCTGTCTCATCCCAGGATTTAGAATGCCTTAACTTCTGGGAATGCATGTTAGATACAGTGAACTCCAACTTTCTCCTCAAAGAATCAGTATGTCAGTATGTTCAGCTCCAGTTTAAAGTTTAACTTCCTGGTCCTCTTCACCCCCTTGCCTCTAGTTTCAGTAAACAACTTTCTCGCCAGTTCTAATCAGTAGTTCACATCTGTTCCCTTGGTCACCTGCTCTGACCTGAGTCGTCCCTGGTCACCTGCTCTAACCAGTCCGGTAACCGTCCTTCCTACCAAACTACCCACTCCACCACTCCAGCTGGTACCCCTGCTCTCTTTAAAATAGCCAATCGGAATTAGCTTAGACTGTGCTGTCTAACCCTAGCCAATAGGAGAATGATACAGCAGTAGGGGCGACCACCGTCAGGAGTAAGAACCCCTTCCCCTCCCTTGTCCACGTGTGTGCACTCACTATTGCTCCATCTGTGAGCCAAATCTTCTATAGGAGTAAATTACCTTGCTGAGAAAATTTATATTTGAGTGCTAATTCTTTTATGGCACTGAAAATTTATACATAACATGCAGCTCAGTAGTTCTCAGCCTCTTTTTACCCAGCTCCCATTCAAGATGGAGTTGCTCTGGTTTACACACTTCTGACGGGTGGATATGGCATAGGGGATTAAGAAAATAACACAAAATGCAAACAATTCTAATAGTTAGGTGGGGGACACATGGGTGTTTGCCGTACAATTGGACTTTTGTCTATGCTGAGGGGGAGTGGGAGGGAGAGGGGCCATCTTTCAGGGACTCCCACAGGGTAAATCTAGGAAAACTGGGCACTGAAATAAATCATGATCATTATGGATTACAGAATACAACAGGAATCCTTGAGTCTGTACTGAGGTTAAGGAAGGAAGGAAAGGGAGGTGGTTATATGGTTTGGACCTGTGTCCCCAACAACTCCATGTTGAATCGTAATCCCCAGAGTGGGAGGTGGGGCCTGGTGGGAGGTGGCTGGATCACTGGGAGCAGATTTCTCAAAAACAGTTAAGCAGCATCCCCTCGGTACTGTCCTATGACAGTGAGATCTGGTTGTTTAAACGTGTGTAGTGGCACACCCCTCTTTCTCTTAATCCTGCTGTGGCCTGTGACGTGCTGGCCTCCCACCGCCCCCCCAGCCCCCCACCTCAAGAAGCAGATGCAGCATGCTTCCAGGACAGCCTGTAGAACTATGAGCCAATGTCTTTATAAATGACCCAGTCTCAGGTATGTTACAGCATTTCGAGTACAGACTAAGACGGAAGGGAAGGGAAGGGCAGAGGGAGTGAGCAGGGAAAGCGTTCTACCCTGAGCAATACATTATTATTATTTTTCGAGACAGAGACTCACTCTGTCTCCCAGGCTGGAGTGCATTGGTGTGATCTTGGCTCACTGCAACCTCTGCCTCCCGTGTTCAAGTGATTCTCATGCCTCAGCCTCCTGAGTAGCTGAGACTACAGGCATCCAACACCGCACCTGGCAAATTTTTTTTATTTTCAGTAGCAACAGGGTTTCACCACGTTGGCCAGGCTGGTCTTTAACTCCTGACCTCAGGCGATCCTCCTGCCTCAGCCTCCTTAAGTGCTGGGATTACAGGCATGAGACACCACACCTGGCCTCTAAGTAATAAATTTAAAAAAAAAAATTAGAAAAATCCCCATTTGGCAATCATCATAGTAGTAACAGACTCAGACCAGCGTCATCAGTGGACGCTAAACCTAGGAAGTTCACCATTCGATGAGACCACAGAATACTTCCAAGTATCTCACCACAATTACTTATTAATTACAAAGTAAACAACTGAGGGCTTTACAGCCAAGAAACCTAGCAGACCCCACCTTAATCAAGAGATCAAAGCTAATGTCACCAACGATGTAGAAATTGCCAGCAGGTGCCACCTGACAGAAGGGCTGCCTCATTTCTGTGGTGTCCTAGCAACAGACTTCCTTGAATGCAGGCATCAGGAAGTATCACTCAAACCCAGATGGATGGAGGCTGTTTCACAACATGACTGCCTCATACCCTGCAAAATGTCAGTATCGGCCAGGCGTGGTGGCTCACACCTGTAATCCCAGCACCTTGGGAGCTGAGGCAAAACTTCAGGTCAGGAGTTTGAGACCAGCCTGGTCAACATGGTGAAACCCCGTTCTCTACTAAAAATACAAAAAAAATTAGCCAAGCCAGGCGCGGTGGCTCACGCCTGTAATGCCAGCACTTTGGGAGGCCGAGGCGGGTGGATCACGAGGTCAAGAGATCGAGACCATCCTCGTCAACATGGTGAAACCCCCGTCTCTACTAAAAATACAAAAAAAATTTAGCTGGGCATGGTGGCACGTGCCTGTAATCCCAGCTACTCAGGTGGCTGAGGCAGGAGAATTGCCTGAACCCAGGAGGCGGAGGTTGCAGTGAGCCGAGATCGCACCATTGCACTCCAGCCTGGGTAACAAGAGCGAAACTCCGTCTCAAAAAAAACCCAAAAAATTAGCCAGTTGCGATGCTCTGTTCCTGAAATCATAGCTACTGTACTTGGGAGGCTGAGGCAGCAGAATCTCTTGAACCTGAGAGTCAGAGGCTGCCATGAGCCAAGATCGCTCCGCTGCACTCCAGCCTGGTGGGTAAGAGCAAAACTCTCTCATAAAACAAAAAAAAAGAAAGAATTATCATGTCTGCAACCTAGGAAAACAAAAGTCAGGAATAAAATCATAGAGTATACATATATGTACATACAGAGAGAATATGAACATGAGAATGATCGACGGAACGTAAAATGTTAGCGACTGATTAATCCGGGCAAAGGACCTGTGGGAGTCTTTGCACTATTCTTGCAACTTGTCTACAAGTCTAGTGTTACATCCAAATAAAAAGTTTTCTAAAAAAAATATGCCTGGAAACCCTGCATCCAACTCTCGCTCCTGGAGATAAACAATGTCTGTTAGCATATTAAAGGCTCTGACAAGTCCTGCATAAGGAACCCTATTCAGTTTTTAGTTAGCAGATTTTCTTTGTCAGAATGCATATTCATTTCTCACAAAGGGGAATCATCTATACCCCTTTATCTAAAACTGCGTATACACCAGTGTGCGATGCTGGAATTGGAACATCAGTGGACTTGGGTGGACCGAATCTACTCTGTAGTTCCATAGAAAGTGCTTGCCCTGCCCCATGGCATTCCCCAGGCCCTCACCCTCTCGAAGCGTCTCCGTCTGCTTCAGCTTCCCTGTGAGTGTCAGGAGGCGGGGCATTGCTGCCCAGCCAGCCACCGTGAGCCGGGTTCGGCTCTGGAAGGTCAGGACCTGGCCTCCCCTCCTTTCCTCAGATGCCTTGAGGAGCAGCTGTGCCGTGTTCTGGTCCAGTAGTGCCTTGGAAAACAGCCAAATCCTAGATGGTGAAGTAAGGTGGTTAAGATCAGGCTTTGTAGTCAGGCAAACCTGGGTTCCAAACAACAGGGTGACCTGGAACAAGGACATAACCTCTCTGAGCATCAGCTGCTTCTTATGTTAAGTGAGGAATAAAGTGGACATACTGATATTGAGCATTTTTTTGGAGGGCAGGGGAGACCCTCGCCCAGGCTGGAGTGCAGTGGCACGATCTCGGCTCACTGCAACTTCCACCTCTGAGACTCAAACGATTCTCCTGTCTCACCCTTCCAAGTAGCTGGGATTACAGGCCCCCGCCACCACACCTGGCTAATTTTTGTATTTTTAGTAGAGACGGGATTTCAGCATATTGTCCAGGCTGGTCTTGAACTCCTGACCTCAGGTGATCCACCTGCCTCAGTCTCCCAAAGTTCTGGGACTACAGTCATAAGCCACTGTGCCTGGCCTTGAACTGAAATCGATACTGATACTGACAGGTACTCACCCAGGTGCGACAGAATGTGTTTCCACCTATGGCCGCCCCTTCCCACACACTCTCCTGCAATGTGACTTTGCTACTCCTGCATTAAGATGTGAGATCTCTTTCCTCTCCCTTTGAATCAGGGCTAGCCTTGTGACCTGTGTTTTGGTCAATAGAATGTGGCATAAGTGACACTGTAGAACTTTCAACATAGGACCCTAAGAGCTGCAACTTTCATCTTCCAAAGGAATGCTTCCTCTTGGAACCCAGACACCTGGTAGGAAGTCTGACCGCCCTGAGACTGCCATGATGTGAGGAAGCCCAAGCAGCCACTTGAAAAGAGAGAGGGGGGGTTGCACGTGGAAGAGCAAAAAGGTGCCAGACATGGGAAGGAAGCCGCCACTCGGTCCTCAGCCCATGCACACAGCTGGCTGGTAACTGACTCATCTGAAGGCTGATGTCAGCAAAGAGTCCCAGAGAATGACCCCTGCTGATGCCACATAGAGCAGAACTGCCTAAGCCTTGTGGAAACTTGACCCAGAGAATCGTGAGCACACAAAATGGTCGTTCTTTAATCTCTAGGCTTTGAGGTAGCTCGCTATGCAGCAGTATGTAACCAACACACTCTCTGCCATGCACTGTGCGAAAGCCCTGTGAGTTCTGAGAATATTATGATCCCCAATATACAGACGAGGAAACAGGTAGACAGAGAGTAACACGTCCAAAGCTCCAGTAAGCAGTTAGCAGTGCCTAACACACAGGGCTGTTTAGGATTAAATGAACTCTGGAATACAAGGTGCCTGCTCCTGGGTCATAATGAGTGACCGATGTGTGAGAAAAGGAACACACTCGTGAAGCTTGACGTTAAACTGGCTGGAAAATTGGGGCAGGGGACACAGTTCCTATCATAACACAGTGAATTCCTTATGTGACACCGTGAGAGAGATTTCCCTTGAGCTTCACCACTAGGAACAAGATGAGCTGTGCATTTCGTGGTGCACAGCTGTGGAGTGTGTGTGTGCACTTCCTGAGGGCCAATGGAAATACTACTACTTTTGGTTTCTCTCTTTGCATTGGCTGCTAGGAAACTCACAGCCAAATCTTCAGCTGAGCTCTAAAAAACACAGAGGAACTCATGGCATCCATTTTGTTTGCTGATACTACTTTGAGCATCTTCCCATTTTTTCTATTTTTCTTTTCCCTTCCCCCAACTTCCTCGTGTATCTTTTTAAAATCTAGAACAAGGGCTGGCAAACTACAGCTTGTGGACCAAAACTGGCCCACCACTTGTTTTTATAAAGTTTTATTGGAACACAGCCATGCACATTATTTACGAATTGTCTGTGACACTCTCGTGCCTCAACGGCAGGGTTGCGTAGCTTCAACAGAGACCACACGGTCCGCCAAGGTGAAAATATTTACCATCTGGCCTTTTACTGAAAGTCTGCCAACTCCTGACCTAGAACAAGGTACGTTTTAATAATTTGCCTCAAATCCTTTTCAGACTGGGGATAAGGATGGACAGTTGGACAGGTGGGTTGACAGACAGCTGTAGTGTCAATTCTGAGGACAAGGTTATCTAGGACCATGTTCATGGCTGAGGGGCTCCTGAAATCCATGCCAAAGCTGGAACAAACCTGAGATTGCAAAGGAGTTTTTTTGTTTATTTTGTTTTTGTTTTAGTTTTTTTTTTTTTTTTTTTTTTTTTTTTTTTTTTTTTGAGACAGAGTTTTGCTCTTTTTGCACAGGCTTAAATGCAATGGCATGATCTCAGCTCACTGCAATCTCTGCCTCCCGGATTCAAGCAATTCCCCTGCCTCAGCCTCCTGAGCAGCAGGGATTACAGGCATGCGCCATCACACTTGACTAATTTTGTATTTTTAGTAGAGACAGGGCTTCTCCATGTTGATCAGGCTGGTCTCAAACTCCTGACCTCAGGTGATCAGCCCACCTCAGCCTCTCAAAGTGCTGGGATTACAGGCCTGAGCCACCACGCCCGGATCACAGAGGAAATATTTAATGGAGACCCAATTTGTACCAGAATATGCAGTACTCAAAATAGCAGCATAATATAGTGATATAATAGGAAATACATATTTAGTATCTGCCCCTAATCCTTGACACAGAGCTCCTAATCCCTTGGAAGTAGGGAGTCCCTTTTGTTGATTGGAGCATCTTTGGTTCTAATGAGGCGACTCTTGGTGGGTTCCTGGATAGGACTGGTCAACAGAAAGACCAAGCCATGCTTAGAGATCGGAACTTTCATCCTCCGAGAAGGGGAAGGCGGCTGGAGATTGAGTTAACAGGCAGTTGTGCCTACGTGTTGAAGCCACCACAGAAATCCCTGAACCATGAGGCTCACAGAGAGCTTCTGGGCTGAACACACAGAGGATGCTGAGCCTAGAGAGGGCAGGGAAGCCCAGCACCCCTTCCCCCATACCTTGCCCTGTGTGTCTCTTCCATCTGGCCATTCTCCAATCATAGCCTCTATAAGCAGTGAGTAAATATAAATAAAAGGTTTCCCTGAGTTCTGTGAGCCGTCTTTGCAAACGATCAGACACAAGATGGGAGAAGGTCATGGGGACCTCTAAGTTATAGCCAGTTGGTCAGGAGGCAGGGGAGAGCTCAGAAGCAGAGGGTAGACAGAAAGGGTCCATAGGAACCTAAGTGTGGGGGAGGATGCCCTCCTCCAGGAAGCCCTCCTGAGCCCCTCTAGCTCTCGAGCACTCACCAACCACAGTGGGCAGCCGAACCTAGGTTCTTCCATTGTGATGGGAGCAGTCATGGTAGATAACATGGAGAATTCTAATAATCTACAAGTAACAGTGTGTAATGATGTATTAAAGGTGGCTCATGCCTGTACCCCTGGCACATTGGGAGGCTGAGGCAGAAAAACTGCTTCAGGCCAGGAGTTCAAGACCAGCCTGGGCAATATAGCAAGATCCTGTTCCTACCAAAAAAAGTACAAAAATTTAGCCAGGTGTGGCGGCGAGCCTGTAGATCCAGCTACTAGCAAGGCTGAGGGGAATGGTGTCCACACTTGTGGGCAGTCTTGCACACTTAACCTGAGGGGGCGGATGTCACCTCCAGGGTCAGGACTCAGTTAATTTGTAGGACAACCAGTTAGTGGCTACCATAGAATTGCTTGCTAGGGAAAAAGACGCCCCGCCCCTGGTCACAAGGCCGCATGTCTGAGCACTGAGACGACAGTGGCAGGAAAGTCTGGCGTTTCGTTTGACACCTGCAGCAAAGAGGGTACCCACTGAGCATGCCCACTGGCCCTGGCCTGGAACTCACATGCAGCACTCAGTTCACCCACCCTAAGAAGCAGGGGGAGAAACTGAGGCACAGAAGGGAGAGTGGTCCCAGAGGCAGCAGTGGCAGAGCCAGGACTTGAACCCAAGCGGCCAACCCTGGACCCCCAGGCTCCTGAGCACCCCGCCATACTGGACACATCCGTACGTAAATATATACTCAGACGTGAGACCAGAGGGAGATGCACATTCTTTGGGGTCACTAGTGATTTTGTTTCATTCATTTTACATTATTACTATTATTACTATTTTAGCAACAGGCTCATTTCACTCTGCCACCCAGGCTGGACTGCAATGGTGCAATCACGGCTCACTGCAGCCTCCAACACCGAAGCTCAAGCAATCCTCTCACCTCAGCCTCCTGAGTAGCTGGGATTACAGGTGCACCCCACCACATCTGGCTAATATATATATATATATATATATATATATATATATATGTATTTTTTTTTATATAGAGATGGGGCCTTGTGATGCTGCATAAGCTGCTCTGGAAATTTCTGAACTCAAGCAATCCTCCTGCCTCAGCCTCCCAAAGCCCTGGGAGGGTGCCCTGCCCTTATGTATCATCTTTTAAGCCATCTACAATACATGCTCTCATAACAAAACAAAAAAGAAAGAAAGGGTAAAAGTGGAAAACTGAATGCCACCTGCTTTTGATGCCCTCAGTGGCACTGATGGGGCTGACTTGGGTGTCATCTCAGAGGGACCGAGAGGGACCTCTGAGTGAGGGTTTCCTATGTCCCGGGACAGGTGCCTTTTGCCCTCTGTGGTCTCCCCGCCTCGTCGCAGGCCACCTGGGGACCGTTACCTTGCTGGGGTGATCTTTCCAGACAGCTGCAGCCAAACAGCCCTGGGGGTGCCAAGGACAGTCTGGTGGAGAAGGACACTCAGGCCCCAGCCCCGGCTGCTCCTCCGAGTGTCCTGGCTGGCGTCGACCTCCAGCAGAACCAGCTCCCGGCCAGACATTTGCACAGATAGGGACCCGTTGAGGCTGCGCACTCTGTAGTGTCCAGCAGCTGCCTGCACCTGCAGGGAGGCAGGAGGAGGACAGGAAGGGTCTGTAGGATCCTGGGTGTGGGGGAGGGCTGCCTCCTCCTCCAGGAAGCCCTTCTGGGCCACTCCAGCTTTGAGCACTCACCAATCATGGTAGACAGCACACAAGCAGATGGAGGGAGGAAGGGGGAGATAGCCCACCCAGGCCCCAGCTCCGAGCCCAGGAGTACAGTCTCATCTTGACCTTTCCACCACATGTGAAATGGGGGTTCTTACTGTGAAATGGGGAAACTGAGGCTCTCAGAGGGTCACATAGGCGACGTGAGTCTGCCTAGGTCTAAAACCTGTGCCGGTGCCTGAAGGAGGCTGGTGGGGGAAGCAGAGGACATCTTTGCAACTCCTCCACAGAAAAGGAGGCCCCATCGAGTGCCTGCCAGGAACCAGAGGACCCAGAACTTCTGGGGTTCAAAGGGGATGGTGTCTAAGTACCCGAGTGGTCAGGCTGGGGTGAACACGTGGCTGGGCCCAACAAGGGTACTGAGGGGAGCAGTGGGGGGTGGGAGCAGAGAGGCCCAAGGCTCTACCAGCTCCGCGGGACCTGAGTCCCTCCCTTTCCTGATATGGGCCTCAGTCTCTCCATCGGCAAAGTGGGTTTAGCCCTGTGGTTCTCAATCCAGCCTGTGCATTACAATCACGAGAAGCCTTTTTTTTTTTTTTTTTTTAATTTTCTGAGATGGAGTCTCACTGTGTCACCCAGACTGGAGTATAGTGGTGCAATCTCAGCTCACTGCAACCTCCACCTCCTAAGTTCAAGTGATTCTCCTGCCTCAGCCTCCTGAGTAGCTGGGATTACAGACACCTGCCACAATGCCCAGCTAATTTTTTTTTTGTATTTTTAGTAGAGACAGGTTTACTATATTGCCCAGGCTGGTCTCAAACTCCTGACCTCAGGTGATCTGCCCACCTTGGCCTGTCAAAGTGCTGGGATTACAGGCGCGAGCTAACATGCCCAGCCCGGAAAGCTTTTAAAAGAATGCCTGGTGCCTCCATAGATGAACTGATAAATAAAATATGATACATCCACACAATGGAGTATTATCCAGTGCTAATATGAAATGAACGATTAAGCTGAAAATGACATAGAGGAGGCCAAGCATGGTGACTCATGCCTGTAATCCCAGCACTTTGGGAGGCCAAGGTGGAAGGATCACCTGAGGTCAGGAGTTCGAGACCAGCCTGACCAACATGGAGAAACCCCGCCTCTACTGAAAATACAAAAATTAGTCAGGTGTGGTGGTGCATCCCTGTAGTCCCAGCTACTCAGGAGGCTGAGGCAAGAGAATCTCTTGAATCTGGGAGGCGGAGGCCTTAGTGAGCCAAGATCATGCCATTGCACTCCAGCCTGGGCAAAAAGAGCAAAACTCCGTCTAAAAAAACAAAAAGACATCTAGGAAACTTAAATGTGTATTACCAAGTGAAAGAAGCCCATCTGAAAAGGCTGCATACCGTATTCCAACGCTGTGACATTCTGGACAAGGCAGAACCACAGACAGTAAAAGGATCAGGGATTGTCGGGGGGTGGAGTGTGGGAGGGATGAAAAGGTAGAGCCCAGAGGATTTATTTAGGGCAGGGAAACTTCTCTCAATGATGCTGTAAGGCAGATCCCTGACACTATATGCATCTGTCAAACCCGTGGACTGGCAGGGCACGATGACTGACACCTGTGATCCCAGCACTTTGGCGAGCAAGGCAGGAGGACTGCTGGAGGCCAGGAGTTTGAGACCAGCCTGAGCCACAGAGCAAGACCCCGTATCTCTACAAGAATTGAAAACATTAGCCGAGCGTGGTGGCGTGCACCTGCAGTCCCAGCTACTCAGAAGGCTGTGGTGAAAGGATGGCTGGAGTCTGGGAGGTGGACGCTGCCATGAGCCATGATCGCGCCACTGCACTCCAGCCTGGGTGACAGAGCAAGACCCTGTCTTAAAAATTAAAATTAAAGTAGCCAGGCACGGTGGCACATGCCTATAATCCTGGCACTTGAGGAGGAGGCTGAAGCAGGCAGATCACCTGAGGTCAGGAGTCTGAGACCAGCCTGGCCAAAATGGCGAGCCCTGTCTCTATTAAAAATACAAAAATTAGCTGGGAGTGGTGGCAGACGCCTGTAATCCCAGCTGCTCCCGAGGCTGAGGCAGGAGAATCACTTGAACTTGGGAGGCAGAGGTTGCAGTGAGCCGAGATCGTGCCATCACAGTCCAGCCTGGGCGACAGCCAGACTCCATCTAAAAAATAAAACAAAACAAAAGCAACTAAAATTAATCTCTGAGCCAGGTGCAGTGGCTCATGCCTGTAATCCCAGCACTTTGGGGTGCCGAGGCGGGTGGATCACTTGAGGTCAACAGGAGCTCATGATCAGCCTGGCCAATGTGGTGAAATCCCATCTCTACTAAAAACACAAAAAATTAGCCAGGCATGGTAGTGCACGCTTGTAATCCCAGCTGCTTAGGAGACTGAGCCACGAGAATTGCTTGAACCCAGGAGGCAGAGGTTGCAGTGAGCCAAGATTGCGCCACTGAACTCCAGTCTGTGCGACAGAGTGAGACTCTGCCTCAAAAAAAAAAAAAAATTAATGTTTGAACCCATTAGATGACCCAGCATCCAAGCTTCCAGGGAAACCCACCCCCACTCCCCAGTGAGTTCAGGGAATCGCGTGAGCTCTGAAGCCAGACGCCTGGCTTCCCACCCAAAATCTTCCTCTCATGAGCTCCATGATCTTGGGCAAGTCACACCACCTGTCTAAGTCTCAGAGCCACACCCACAAAATGGTACCACAGTGCTCCATACCCCACACCACAGCATCAAGAGATATTCACAAGACAATCCACAAAGAGGGTTTAGAACAGGACCTGCCGTGCAATCACTCCACAGACATCAGCTCCTAGAACAAATGGTTCATATGATGGCGTTTCCTCCCTTCTAAGAGGCCAGCAGCACTCAGATGGGCCGTGATCTTAGGGAATGCCACAAAAGCAAAAGGTTGCTAGTGAAACGGTGACCTGGGTCCTTGTGTAGATACATCCTGACCTCAGGGACATCAACCAGTGAAAGCTCGTGCCTCTCAGAATAAGCAGATCCCTCCATTCGGAGCCATTCTTCAGCTCCATTCAATTTCCTAAAACCCAACACAGGGAATACACAGCAGGTGTTTGAAAAATGCTGTCTGGGCTGGACGCAGTGGCTCATGCCTGTAATCCCAGTACCTTGGGAGACTGAGGGAGGAGGATCACATGAAGCCAGGAGTTCAAGACCAGCCTGGGCAACAGAGTGAGACTCCGTCTCTGCCAAAAAAAGAAAAAAAATACAAAAACTAGCCAGGTGTTGTGGCACATGCCTGTGGTCCCAGCTACTTAGGAAACTGAGGTGGGAGGATCGCTTGACCCCAGGAGGTCAAGGCTGAAGTGAGCCGTGATTATGCCACTGCACTCCAACCCAGGAAACAGTGAGATCCTGCCTCAAAAGAAATTTATCTTGAAATTTCTCAGGCTAAGTAAAGTGGCTCATGCCTGTGATCTCAGCACTTTGGAAGGTTGAAGCAGGAAAACAGCTTGAGGCCAAGAGTTTAAAACCAGCCTGGGCAACACGGTGAGACCCCACCTGTAATTTATTTTTTTTTTAATTGCTATCAAATTAATGGTCTGCCCCATACCTCCTGAGGGCCTCATCCCTGTCAGGATTTCCTATTTCCACCTTCATGCTCCTGAATTAGCCAATACCTAATTCCTGTGCAAACACCCCAAACACCCTGCTCAACGAAGCCGAGAACTTCTTTGGGGGCAGGGTTCTCTAGGGCTCCGGCTCTGGGGGCTTCCACCTGGATGTCTTTCTCCACCTCTTTGCTTCCACACTGGGCAAAATACACTAGGTCCATAAAGCCCTCCTGAAGCATTACCCGGCTTCTCCCAAGCCCAATACAGGGCACGGTTTGGAGGAAAACTCTGTTTCTGTCCATTTTCAAGAACGAAATACGATCCTTCATCCCTCCCCCGCTCCCCACCCGCCCCTGGAGGCTAAAAACGCTTCTCGCCTGGACAATCACTTCCAAATGAGGGATTTGGAAACCTCCCTGCCATATGTTCTTGGTTCTGCCTGACGCTACATGTGCGGCCTCCCTCCCCCGCGCCCCCATCCTGCCTTCCTTTCCCCCGATCACCCAGCAGGCCGGCTGCTCACAGACAGCCCTTGGCAGGCAAGTCAAGGTCATCCCTGAGGGAGCGACATCCATACCTGGAAGTTTGGAGGAAATGTTGGTCTGTGGGGATGTCTGAGTTGGAAGAAAAACGTGAAGTCGGAGTCAGATCTGTTCAGCTGGACCGAGACCTGCTGCGGGGAGAGTTGAAAAAGGGTCGCAGGGAACAGAGGGAGATGCAGAACCCCAGGCGATGGCTGCTGTGCAAATGCATCCCGGAATATGCCCAAAGCTCAAGCCAGAAACGCCTGTCCTCCCCAGTGTTCCTCAGCCCTAAATCTTACTCAGGCTACACTCCTGAAAAAGGATGCTTAGGAAGTAAAGCCCGGGAGGGGGGTGCTGGGAACACCACTCTGGGACCCCCTATTCTCTGGGATCCCCTATTCCCTGCCACGGTGCCTGTTCACACCTCCCACAGTCATGCCACCTCCTCCTTGACCCTGACCATGAACCAGGCACTGTGCTACCAGGTTCACAATGACCATCTCATTTAATCCTCCACACTGCTTTGCTGGCTTGGTGTTACCATCCCATTTTCCAAATAGCAAAACTGAGGCTCAGTGGTGTCCAGTATCTCAAGGTTACACAGCTCATTAACAATGAAACTAGGAAACGAACTTGAACTTATCTGACACTAAAAGCCCACTAGATTTAAAGCTCCTTGGAGATGGTAACAGAGATGGGGACGGTCACCCTTGCACCCCCACAATGGACATCACAGAGTCAGGCACACAGCAGAGACACAACCCATCCATGCTGAATGGACATGAACACATACATGGATGAACAAATGAACAGCCATGTATTTACTAAACTGCATTTCCTTTTCTTCCTGGACCTACAGCTAAAACTACATTTCCCAGCCTCCCTTGCAGCTAGGTAGGGTCATGTGGTGAGAACCCAGGCAGGAACGACCAACCTTTCGGCTTACAGGTCTGGCCCATAAAAACCTCCAGCCTAATTCTCCACTGTCTCTCCCTCCATCTGTCATCTAGGACAGAGCCACAAGGTGGGAAGGCCTGGATTCTGAGAGACTGCATGGAGCAGAGCCTCGCTGAGCTGAGACATGAATACTGACCTTTCACAATGAGGCAAACATTTGTTTACAATAGTCAATGCATCCTGACTAATCACACACACACACTGTAAAAATAAGGGCTGTGCTGTTGGCTTCCTAGGGTCACGTCTCCTGCCACCTCCTGACACACTCCAAACAAGGCACCTTCACTAAAGGTTATTAAAAACTGCCTCCCTAGCAAGGGAGCAGAATTCAGCCTCCTGACCTGGGATGTGATGTTGTGGTTGATGGCAGCTCGAGTATCGATGCCAAAATTGAATGCTCCTGGAGGACTCTGTCTAAAGATGATGCCCCCATCCAAGCTCAGGGCCTGCAGGAACCACAGCTGGGAAGAGACAGACAACACCCTTGACTTCACTAACAGCCAAGCTCTGTGTGGAGGTCACAAACCAGTGTCTGCCCAAGCTGGGGACCTGTACCTCGTAGGAATGGGCCAAGTCCAGGGCTAGGCTGTGCCGGCTTTCCCCGCGCTGAGATCTGTCATGATGCAAACCCTTTAAGTGCAGGACAACTTTCCGGTTGACTTTCAAAGTGGCCTCGACCTCCCTTTTCTTAGCCTAGGTGAGTGAGAACCAGAGGCACTGAGAGAGGTCCTGTCCCATCTCCACGTGCCTGCAGAGGCCACCCCGGGAACCCAGCAGTCCGAAGAAAGTGGTCCAAAGACTGGTGGGCTACGGAGCAGTCTACAGTCTTCCATTTATAGGGCAGGAAGTGGGGACGGGTACATGGAAATAATGGATTCCAATACCTACAGGGAAGATTAGCAGGGTGGGCTTGATGGAACTGTTAACACCTGTGTCTTCTTCAAAGAAAGTGCCCTGGGAGTAGTCTGTTTTGTTCACTGCCGTATTCCTAACACTTAGCACAGGCCCTGGCATGTAGTAGGTGCTCAATAAATATTTGGGCAAATGCAGAATCCCTAGTTACGGCCTGAAACCCCAAGGTCAAAGCTGTGCTAGAGTGAAAAAATGGGTAATTCTCTGTGGAGCTGGAAGAAAAATACTCATTCCACGATGACATCCATGTCTTCATCACTGAAACCTATAAATTTATGACCTTTCATGGCAAAAGAGACTTTGCAGTGTGATTGGATTGAGAATCTTGAGATGGGGAGATGATCCAGGTGGCCCTAAAGTAATCGCAAGGGTCCTATGAGAGGGAGGCAGGAGGGTCAAAGTCACATAGACTGGAAGATGCCACGGTGTTGGATTTGAAGGTGGAAGGGGCCATGAGCCAAGGCATGCAGGCAGCTTGTAGAAGCTGGAAAAGGAAAGAAAATGAACTCTTCCCCTGGAGCTTCCAAAAAGAACACAGCCCTAATAACACCTTGATTTTAGCCCCGTGAGATCCATTCTGGGCTTCTGAGCTCCAAAACTGTAAAATAAATCTGCGATATTTTAAGCCACTAAGATTGCAGTCATTTGTTACGGCAACCGTAGCAAACTAATACACAATCGCTCCATCATTGATTCACTCAACAACCAGACTCTGCCACAGGCCAAGTACACAGTAGCACGTTGCCATCTTTCCTACCTTTGTAGACTGAGAAGTGCAAAATGCCTGCTAAGGAGCTTTATGATTGTTGTGCACCTTTAAAGGGATGCTCGGTTTCACATTAGAACCAAGATGGAGGAAGAGAAACAAGGGTTCAAGAGGACCAAGACAAATGCGAAATGAGAAAAATGTTTGTCATTAAACACACACGGCTTTGTTTTGTTTTTTTGAGACACTGTCACTCTGTTGTCCAGGCTGGAGTGCAGTGGCATGATCTTGGCTCACTGCGACTTCCACCTCCCGAGTTCAAGTGATTCTCCTGCCTCAGACTCCGGAGTAGCCGGGATAACAGGTGCGTACTCCCACACCCAGCTTTTTTCCTTTATATATATTTAGTAGAGATGGGTTTTCACCATGTTGGTCACACTGCTCTCGAACTCCTGACCTCCAATAATCTGCCTGCCTCAGCTTCCCAGAGTGCTGATAGTATAGATGTGAGCCACCACGCCCAGCCTACACATGGTTTATAAAAAGAGCAGAGAGGCCGGGTGCAGTGGCTCACACCTGTAATCCCAGCACTTTGGGAGGTTGAGGCGGGTGGGTCACAAGGTCAAGAGATTGAGACCATCCTGACCAATGTGGGAAACCCCGTCTCTACTAAAAAATACAAAAATTAACCGGGCGTGGTGGTGTGCACCTGTAGTCCCCGTTACTTGGAAGGATGAGGCAGAAGAATCACTTGAACCAGGAGGCAGAGGTGGCGGTGAGCCGAGATCGTGCCACTGCACTCCAGCCTGGTGTCAGAGTGAGACTGTGTCTTAAAAAAAAAAAAAAAGCAGAGCGCCAAATTATACGATACGAAAGGACTGCCATTTACTCAGTCTGTTGCTGTCAGCTGGGATTTGAAGCCTGGTATCGTCACATCATCTTTTTTTTTTTTTTTCTTAGAAACAGCAGAAATCTGGATTTCACTCAAAATCTTCTGATTTTCAAATGTAGCAATTAATTTCCTTAAAAAATTTAAACGCTAAGCAGACCAAACAAAACCCATCTGCAGGTCGAATTTGGCCCACGGTGCCGGCTCTGCAATCTCCGGCGTACGAAACAGCAGACACCATCGGGAGGCATTTTGCAGGTGTCCGAGGCTGTCATCCTGCCATTCATTTTCCCCTAAAAGCTCTACGTCATCCCTGAGGAGACACACACACACGCAGCCTCATTTGACTAACGATGAAGGGTGCCCCAGAAGATGGGTCTCAATGCGCAACACGTGCTTGGTTCACCCTCCTTCCCAGGGGCTGGGGGACATCTTGCAAAAGACAAACAGCCGGGCATGGTGGCTCATGCCTGTCATCCCAGCACTGTGGGAGGCTGAGGCGGGTGGATCACCCCAGGTCAGGAGTTTGTGATCAGCCTCACCAAAATGGAAAAACCCCATCTCTACTAAAAGTACAAAAATCAGCTGGGTGTGGTGGTGGATGCCTGTAATCCCAGCTACTCGGGAGGCTGAGGCAAGACAATCACTTGAACCCAGGAGGCGGAAGTTACAGTAAGCTGAGATCACGCAGCTGCACTCCAGCCTCGGCAACAGAGGGAGACTTGGTCTTTAAAAAAAAAAAAAAAAGCGGGGGATAGGAGGGGTCTGTACATGAACCCAGGAGGTGGAGGGTTGCAGTGAGCTGAGATTTAATTATTGCACTCCAGACTCCAGCCTGGGCAACAGAGGGAGACTCTGTCTCAAACAAACAAAAAGAGAGAGAGAGAAGCAATGACCATCTTCCTTGGGGGTTTAGCACACCGCAGATGCTCCATAAATGCTTGCTGAAAAATACGGTGATCTCCCAGAATATCGACGCCTCCTAGAGGCGTCAGGAAGAAGCCTTGGACGGGGGTGTAGTAGGCATTTTATAATACTGCATTGTAATCTTCACAGCCCCTGCATAAGAGATGAGCACTACTGCTCCCATTCTGCAGACAAGGAAACTGAGGTCCAGAGACATGAAATAATTTGCCAAGGACACACAGGCAAAAACAAATTTCACCCTGGAGAGCCAAAATGTCAAGACCCTCATCCAGGCCCAGTGACTCTTATCTGTAATCACAGCACTTTTTTATTTTTTGAGACCAAGTCTCTCTCTGTCCCCCAGACTGGAGGGAAGCGGTGTGGTCTCAGCTCACTGCAACCTCTGCCGCCTGGGTTCAAGTGATTCTCGCGCCTCAGCCTCCCAAGTAGATGGTATTATAGGCACCTGCCACCATGCCCAGCCAATTTTTTTAGTTTTTTAGTAGAGATGGGTTTCACCATGTTGGCCAGGCTGGTCTCGAACTCTTGACCTCAAGTGATCCACCCTCATTGGCCTCTGAAATTGCTGGGATTACAGGCATGAGCCACCATGCCTGGCCTAATCCCAGGACTTTGAAAGGTAATGTAGGAGAATCCCTTGAATCTAAGAATTCAAGACCAGCCTGGGAAACAGAGAGAGATCTCCATCTCTACAAAAGATTTTTTTTTTTTTTTTTTGAGATGGAGTTTCGCTCTTGTTACCCCGGCTGGAGTGCAATGGCACAATCTCGGCTCACTGCAACCTCCGCCTCCCAGGTTTAGGTAATTCTCCTGCCTCAGCCTCCTGAGTAGCTGGGATTACAGGCACGCGCCACCATGCCCAGCTAATTTTTTGTATTTTTAGTAGAGACGGGGGTTTCACCATGTTGACCAGGATGGTCTCGATCTCTTGACCTCGTGATCCACCCGCCTCGGCCTCCCAAAGTGCTGGGATTACAGGCTTGAGCCACCGCGCCCGGCCAGTCTACAAAACATTTTTAAAATGAGCTGGGCGTGGTGGTGCACACCTGTGGTCTCAGCTACTCAGGAGGCTGAGGTGGGAGGATCACTTGAGGCCAGGAGGTCAAAGCTGCAGTGAGTGAGCGATGATCGAGCCCCTGGACTCCAGCCTGGGTGACAGAGCAATACCCTGTCTCAAAAGAGACCCTCTAACTCAGGAGTCAGCAACTACGGCCCCTGGTCCAAATGTGGTGTGTTTCAGTAAGTAAAGTCCTGTTAGGACACAGCCACGCCCATTCATTACGTAGTCATTACGTACTGTCGACGGTTCTCTTGAACCGCAATGGCAGAGTGGAGTCATCAAGGCCTGAACTGTGTGCCTGTGAAGCCTGGGTTCTTTCCAGAAAAGTGTGGTGACCTCTACTCTGGGTCCTGGCATGCAGTGGGTGTGAAATAGCATCATGGCAGCAACTATTCATTGAGCACCTACTGTGTACCAAGTCCAGTAGCTACAGTGGTAAAGTACTCATGGAGATCTTAAGTCTTCCAGAGTAACAAAGGAACCAGTGGCTGATGAATCACACAAAAATAGAACTGGGGCCAGGGCCAGGTACGGTGGCTCACACCTGTAATCCCAGCACTTTCAGGGCCAAGATGGGAGGATCAGGAGTTCAAGACCAGGCTGGGCAACATAGCAAGACTCTGTCTCTACTAAAAATTAAAAATTAAAAAAGGCAGGTGTGGTGGTGGTGGTGGTATGTGCCTGTGGTCCCAGCTACTCGGGAGGCTGAGGTGGGAGGATTACTTGAGCCTAGGAGGTCAAGGCTACAGTGAGCGAGACTGTGCCACTGCACTCCAGCCTGGGTGACACAGTAGGACTCTGTCTAAAAAAAAAAGAAAGAAAGAAACTGGAATTATGATTGGTGTTAGAAGCAAAAGATACAGGGCAAGCTGGGCCCAGCGGTAATCCCAGCACTTTGGCTGGGAGGCCGAGGCGGGGAGATCACTTGATGTCACACGTTCGAGACAACCTGGCCATTGCGTAACCCTGTCTCTACTCAAAATACAAAATCTAGCCAGGCATGGGAATGCACATCTGTAATCCCAGCTACTCGGGAGGCTGAGGCAGGAGAATCACTTGAAACCGGGGAGGTAGAGGTTGCAAAAAGGATATGAGGGCTCACTGGGGTAACCAGGGGTGTGTGTGAGGTGGTCTGGGGGTCATGTGAGAGGAGCTCAGCCCTACAAGATGAGTAGAAGGGAGGTGAAGGAGAGGGTGACAGCTCCAAGCACAGGACACGCACAAGTTCTGAAGCAGGAAAGAGCCAGGCGCGAAGAGGCTGGACAAGGGGAATGCAGGCCACGAAGTGGGGCTGAGGGCACAGGACTGGGGCTTTATCCCAAGAGAGGCTGTCACAGTTTGGGAGCCAGGGAGTAGCAGAGTTATGCTGGCCTTTATCCCTCTTGGCTGAGCGGGGCGGCTCACGTCTATAATCCCAGCACTTTGGGAGGCGAGGGGGATGGATCACGAGGTCAAGAGATCGAGGCCATCCTGGCCAACACGGTGAAACCCCGGTCTCTACTAAAAATACAAAAATTAGTTGGGTATAGTGACACGCGCCTGTAATCCAAGCTACTCGGGAGGCTGAGGCAGGAGAATCGCTTGGACCTGGGAACTGGAAATCGCAGCGAGCCAAGAACACACCATTGCACTCCAGCCTGGTGACAGAGTGAGACTCCATATGAAAAAAAAGAAAAGAAAATATCCCTCTGGCTGTCACATAGACTACTAGGGAGGACCAAATCAAACAGAGAACTCAGGCAGGAGAACCTCTTTTTTTTTTTTTTTTTTTTTTTTGAGGCCGAGTCTGGCTCTGTGGCCCAGACTGGAATGCAGTGGTGCGATCTTGGCTCACTGCAACCTCTACCTCCTGGATTCAAGTGATTTTCCTGCCTCAGCCTCCTGAGTAGCTGGGACTACAGGTACCCACAAACGTGCCCGGCTAGTTTTTGTATTTTTAGTAGAGACAGGCTTTCACCATGTTGGCCAGACTGGCCTCAAACTCCTGACCTCAGGGGATCTGCCTGCCTTGGCCTCCCAAAATGCTAGGAATACAGGCATGAGCCACCATGCCCAGCGTGGATAACTCTTCCACGGGGAAAGGGGGTGGCTGAGTCTTGCTCTGTGACCCAGGCTGGAATGCAGTGGTGTGATAACAGCTTACTGAAGCCTCAACCTCCTGGGCCTCAGCCTCCTGAGTAGCTGGGACTACACGTGCACACCACCATGGCTAATTTAAAAACTTTTTTTTTTTTTTTTTTTTTTTTTTTTTTTTTGAGAAACGGCGTTTCCATATGTTGCCCAGATGGCTCTCCAACTCCTGGCCTTTCGAGATCCTCCCTCCTCAGCCTCCCAAGTGGCTCAGACCACAGGTGTGAGCCACTGCACTCAGCCCGGAGAACATGTTTCTGATCCTACTGAGAGGTGACAGCAACTCGAACCAGGGCTGGCCGGGGTGCACAGGTCTCTGGGGTCTCCACTCTTACCTTGTGCTGATCCCAAGTAACCAGGCACCCCTCTGTGTTCCTGGGGATGGCTGTGCCATCGTATGGATGCGTCAGACCTGCACAGACCTGGGAGGGACAACCACATACATGTACACATGCACGCAGGGCGGTCGGCAGGCAGCTGGGGCCTTCCAGTTCCCAGGCCCTTTCCCGGCTGTGCCCAGATCCACTCACATAGGGGCGTCCGGCCTGGTAGCCCAGGACGACAGTCTGCAGGGTTTCCTCCTGGCCATTCAGGACAACCCTTGTCTCCAGGGAATAGCGCTGGTGTCGCCTGTCAGCCGTGAAGGTCCCCTGCAGGACGAGGCTCTGCGGGATGGGCAGGTGCAAGGGGTGCCTGGTGTGCGGAGAGAAAAACAGACCAAAGCCACTAAATCAGCTGGCAGTGTCGGGGACAACTGGGTCCCACAGTCTCAGCCTGGGCCTGTCACGAGCTTGCCGAGTTTGGAGTCTGTCTCCAACATCAGGACATAGGGCACCCCTGTGCTTTCACAATTTGTCATTCAGAACCCTTCACCATCTCACTGTGCCATCGAGGTGGGCATGGCTGGGGTCCCCGTCGCCATTTGACAGCAAAGACCCAAGGGGGTAGATGGCACACACCATCTGGTGTCACACAGACTGGGGCTGAAATCCAGGCACGGACTTTCACTAGCTGGGTGACCTTGTGCAAAGGACTGGACCTCTGTGCCTCAGTTTCCCCATATGTAAAATGCAGCTAAAATAACACTAACTGGACACAGTGATCGGGATGAGAAGTAACATACATGAAATGAATGTAAGCTCCCCAAGAGCAAGGGTTTCTGCCCTTCTTGTTCTCTGCCATTTTCCAGGTGCCCAGAAGAGCACTTGGTACATAATAGGTGCTCAATGAATGTACATGGGGCAAAAACACAAATGAAATCTGCAAATGATGTTGCTATTCCTTGTCATTACTGCTGCTGTTTAGGCCGTAGGTGACTTATCTACCACCACACAGATGCTCAATGCACAGCCTGGCGTCCAAGATGGCTCTGCTCATTCCAAACTCATGCTGCTCCCAGCGCACAGGGAACTGTCTTTTTAATGAGCTCTGTCTCTAGGAAATGAGAAGACTCTCCAAGCAGCCCCAGGCTAGGATGGTAAGACTGACTTCTGCCCCCACCTCGGCAACTAACGGAGGGGATAGGGATGTGGCAGCTTTCAGGGGAGGGGGCTCTTCTCTGGGATCTGGGTTCCATTCGGGCCCCAGCAGGTCAGCAGGGTTTCTCCAGGTAGCTCTACCCATCCTGTCCCCACCGGAGACCCTCCATGCTGGAAAAGGGGAAACTTGCAGGGGTGTCAGCCTAGGAGAAGGGGCACACGCACCTAAGGAGCAAGGTCCCCCGTTTCTGGTACAATGTCCTGTCTCGCCTCAGCTCCTCCAGCTCGCCCTCCAACTGCAGGCCCCGAGGCTGGCCATGGACACTTGCCCCCAGAGCCATCAGTGACACGTGGGTCTTCCGCGGCTGCAACAAGATCCAGGCTGAAGGGAGGGATGGGCTGACAGGACCAAGCCGCGACCCGCCTTGCAGGGAGGCAAGGGGTAGCCCCCCGCAGCCTGTCGATCGCCCCCAGAAATGACTATCTAAGAACAGCTGCTGAACTGGACCGCAGCCTCCAGCCTGATGAGACCACAGGAGCCCACCAGCTCCCCCCACAGCTGGACCTCCCTAGGTGGCCAGAGGGAACGAAGAACTTGGACTTCTCAGCTAAAGGAAGCCCAGCTTTGCTCCTGGATCTGTGCTAATGTGACTAGGGTCCATTTCACAGACTAAGAAACTAAGGCTTGTCTGAGCACGGCGACTCACCCTTGCAATCCCAACATTTTGGGAGGCTGAGATGGGAGGATCACTTGATCCCAGGGCTTTAAGACCAGCCTGGGCAACACAGCAATACCTCGTGTGTGCTTAAAAAGTCAGAGATTTCCTCCCCCTGGGATATCCTTTCATCTCCTTCCTACTTGGTGGACTTCTATTCATCCCTCAAAAACCCCTTCAACGCCATGGTGGCATGGGTGGCATGTGCCTATAGTTCTGACTACTTGGGAGGCTGAGTGGGGAGGATCCTTTGAACCCAGAAGTTGGAGGCTGCAGTGAGCTATGACCTCATTGCTGCATTCCAGCCTGGGTAACAGAACCAGACTGTCAAAAAAATATCTAAAAAAGAAAAGAAGGAAAAGGAAAGAGAGAAACAAAGAGAGGCTCAGGGAGGCCCCAGGTCACAGGCCAAGCCGGTGGCACAAAGCCCTTTTCTATCCCAAGCAGAAAAGGGAGAGAGGCAGGACAGCCAGGGGAGGGACTGGTTGGTCTCTTGACTACACGGGCCTCCCGGGCTCTCACCCACTCCCGGCGCCTGTAGGCCGCTGTCAGGTTGAGCTCCTGCTGGGCGCCTTTCAACCAGCAGTGCAGGATCTTACGGTCCCAGCTGTTCTCAGCACGGATCTCACCCTGCACTGCTGCGTTCCAGGCTGACTCGAGTTTGCTCCAGCTGTGGAAGAGGCTCTGTGCCAAGACCGTCACCATGGAAACCTGCAATGAGGTGGGGAGGAGGACCAAGGCCTTTAAATATCCTTCTTCCTCCCCCGGGATACCCTTTCATCTCTTTCCTACTTGGTGAACTCCTATTCATGCCTCAAAACCCCTTCATGCCATTTCTGTGAGACCTAACTTGACTGGTACAGGGAGGCTAGTTTTCTCTACAGGGCCTTAAAAAGAAAAAAAAAAAACAAAAAACAACAACAACAACAAAAAAAAAAACCTCCTCTCTGTTGCCCCAGCCCTGAACAGACATATAACTTCCTTCTCTCCTCTTCAGTTTGGGAATCTGATCTCACTGGGCTGCTATTACTAGCAGCCAGCGCGCCTGTACCCTGAAGGGCACAGACTCACGGGTGGTCTTCGGGAGTCCTAGGAAGAGCTGGGTGTGAGCTGGCTCGTTTCGGGGCTGGGGAGGTAGTCCACTTGCAGCCATCACTCGGCACAAGCCCTGCGTGGTAGTTGGTGCCCTGCTGGCTGCCATCCATCATTCACACAACTCAGGGGACTCACAGGGAGAAGTGGCCAGGACAAGACAGGGTTTGGGCATGGCTGAGCCTCCAACCCAGTACCAGAACTTCTCACCACCTTGTCCCATGTCACTGACCCTCGGTTCCCCACGGCCAACTTCCCCAGTTCCTTGAATGGCACTTCCATTCCACCAGATGCTTGAGCCAAAACCTCTGAGCTATTTATTTCCTTTCCGTCACTCCCCACCTCGCCACCAATCCATCAGCAAATCCAGCATCTCTAGGATCTGGTCACTCGCTGGCACCTCCACTGCCACCGCCCTGGGCCGGGCCGCCATGCCCTCCGGTTGGGTGAAGGATGGGAGCTGGCTGGTCGCCCGCAGCTTGAGCTCCTGTCTTGGCACCCTCTGGTACAGAGGCCACCTCATGGTCCCTAAGATTACCATCACCCTTGACTCCACCCTGATGCCACCCAGCTCTGCCTCAGAGGGCACTCTGCCGCCCTCGGATGAGCCCCATCAGGCCTGGACCTTCCCCGCCTCCAGGCGTCACCCAGTATAGGGAGACTGTCCATGCACCAGGCTCCTTTAGCCCTGCGGGTGACACTCAAGGGTTTTCTACAAACCTGTTCTTGCTTCTGTACCAAATGGCTTGCAGGGAAGCAACTTTCTGATAGTCAGTAGTCAGCATAAAACCGACTTAGGTCCTAGAAGTTTTCACTCTGGTTTTTTTTTTTTTTTTTTTTTTTTTGCAAAAGCCGAATGTCTGCCTACCTGTTTCCAAAGTACGGTTTGACTTGCTTTCCTATTTTATTTCTCTCCCCATCAGCTACTAAGCAGCGACATGGGAAATCTGATTTTCTTTTTTTAGTCTACTTTCCTATATCACCTAAGAACTAACTCTGAGGCCAGGCGCAGTGGCTCACACCTATAATCCCAGCACTTTGGGAAGCCAAGGCGGGCGGATCACCTGAGGTCGGCAGTTTGAGACCAGCCTGACAAACACGGAGAAACTCCATCTCTTCTAAAAATACAAAATAAGCCAGGCGTGGTGCTGCATGCCTGTAATCCCAGCTACTCAGGAGGCTGAGGCAGGACAATCACTTGAAGCCGGGAGGTGGAGGTTGTGATGAGCCGAGATCATGCCAATGCACTCCAGCCTGGGTGACACAGCAAGACTCCATCACAGAAATAAATAAATAAATAAAACTAACTCTCATAGCTGTAGAGACTAGGAGGGCCAAACTTCAGCTCATCTGTGAGCTGCTATCTGCCCACAGGCCTCAGCTTTTATCTGCCTCTGCACCAGAAAAACATATCAGGGGCCAAGGACCAGGTGTGTGCTGGGGGCCGAACACTGCTCACCCGGAGGTAGGTGGTAGCTGGAGTGTAGACCTCGATCTTGCCTTCCCTGGTAGGACCCTGACTCCTGCAGTCCACACTGACCACCAGGTCCTTTAGGGTCCAGGCCTTGCCCAATGTCAGCTCCAGGACAGCTTGGAACACAGCTCGGTGTGGCCAGTACAACCTGTGAGCTGCAGAGACCATCAGCCATGGACTATCCAGGTTCAAGTCTCCTGTAAGAGACAGAGAAAGGAGAGTCTGGTATGCGGGGCGGAGAGGAAGTTTCTAGCAGGCAGCAAGAGGTCCCCAGAGTCTCATCACAGCCGCGATGGGAAAAATCTCAAAACTGGAAGTGACTAGGCATGAGGAAACTTTCTAGGACATTGGCAATGTTGTGACTCATGACACGGGTACAGATCACACAGGTGTATCCATCTGTCAAAACTCTTCCAACCATACTGTGGAGATATACGCATTTCACTCTGCTTAATGAAACATATGCTGAAACGTTAAGAGTGAAATGTATCAATGTCTACAACTTACTTTGAACTGCGTGGAAAAAAAAAATAGGGCTGGATAGGTGGGGAGAGAGGTGATGAGTCAAGTGGGGTAAACTGTTAATAGCAGAACCTAGTATGAGAGGATGCTGGTGATCACTGTCCATCCAGCCAACTCTTCTGAAGGTTTGTAATTTTTTCCTAATAAAACACTGGATGGCTGGGAGCAGGGGCTCATGCCTGCAATCCCAGCACTTTGGGAGGCCAAGGCAGGAGGATTCACCTTGACTCTGGGAGTTTGAGACCAGCCTGGACAACAAAATGAGACCCCATATCTACAAAAAAATATATAAAAATTAGCCAGGCACGGTGGTGCTGGCCTATATTCCCAGCTACCTGGGAGGCTGAGATGGAGGCTGCAGTGGCCGTGATGATGCCACTGCATTCCAGCTTGGGTAAGAGAAGGAAACCAGTGCCTTAAAATAAAGAAACAACAAGAAAACACAGGTAGAAATGCTGAGGCCTGTGAAGAAAAATAATAAAGAAGGAATCTGATAAAAATGGCGGAGGTCAGCAAACACTTGTAGGAGGAAGTGACAATTTACCTAATACCTAAATGAAAGATAAGGGGGAGCTGATCAAAGGGTGAGGCCACCCACCCCCGCTCAGATGCAGGGACAATGACACAGTGAGGGGAGGGAAGTGGCGATGAGTTGAGAACAGGGAGACGCTGAAGAGTGGGCAGCCTGGTCCCTGGCCAGCTGCTCCCATCCCACAGGAAATGGGAAGACGGCACCACAGAAGAACAGAAGGCAGGCATGGATCCCTGGAGAGCCAAGTCCCGACCCAATTGCCTGACTGACAGGGAAGCTCACCAATCAGAACATGCTCCCACTTATAAATAGCGCCTCTTTCCAAACACCTTTAGAGTCTCCAATTAGATTTCTACTTGGTTTCCTGCATGGTGATGACGATCTCATTTCACTTTATAGATCACAGTTGGGACCTGGCAAACTCAGAACATCTGTCTGGTTGCTCCGTTTTTTTTGTTTTGTTTTGTTTTTGCTTCTGAGGTCCTGGTCATTCATTTACGTCTCATTACACTGGGCTGGGCCGAGAGTCACCCACTAGTGTAGAGATTGTTATTCTGTTACTTTCAGACAGAATTGGGATCCAGGTGCTAATTGTTTCCCAAGTTCAACATCTGGATCAGAATCAGAAGAGAGCGGCCACTGCTGCCGAAGGCTGGGAGGGGCTGCGGGAGGCTGGGGCTGCTGGGGAAAGCCAGGAAACAGGCTTAGGACTGACCACACATGGTTCATGATCCAGGGTTCCCCTCTGGGTACCCAAGGATCCTGCATGCAGCTAATGTGTCGGGGAGCCCACAGCGGCCCCTCAAAGTCAATCGGGATGACACAGGCCTGTGTTGGACCTTCGGAGCTGGAAGGACAGCTGTGTCTGCACAGGCAAGACCTGAAGACATGCTCTCCTTCCTTCTGTATCCCAGAATCCTGTGCAGGGCCCTTCCGTGAAGACAGGGCCAGGGCTGGCTCCTGGGTCTCTGGATGGCCTCATGGCTCATCCAGTAAAAGTCCTGCAAACTTGTCACCATCTGGGGACATTCCTGCCAGTTCTTCTCTATGCCCTTCTCCGTGAGACACTGGGCAACTGCTCTAGGCTGTTCATGATTCTTCTACCTCAACTCTCCACACTCAGGAGATGTCTTATCTTTTAGAAAGCTCTGGATCTCCAGTTACTCCAAAGGCAAATTAACTGGTATGATTTTTCTGGTTTGTCTCTCCTTTACTTCCCGAGGACTTCCGGTCTTTTTAGTCAGATGTCTCACTTTCTCTGCTTTTATTCCTGAGTTTTCTTCTGGGATCTTTTTTGCAGAAGTCTTAAGGCCTAATCCTAGGTTGGCAGAGAACCAGCGCTCACTCTGTCCTAAGGAGATCCAGGAGGGTCGAGAGGGCCCAAGTTTGGAAATGCATTCTCTCCTCTCTGTTGCGGCAGGTCTCCTACTCTCAGTTTTAGAAAAGGATTTTAAGGAGAATGGATGTTTTTAAACAAACCTTTAAATCTATGTTCCAGAATATGAGATCCCTAACTTCGCTAAATTGCTGGTTTGAATTAAGTCCTCAGGCAGCTTCTGAGTATACTCGAAACGTAATTACCCTGTTTGAAAACAGGACAACCAATATTTTCAGCAGCCAACTCAAACATAAGCACATATCCAAGGCTGGCTTAGCATTTAGGGGAAAGTCTCTAAGAGGAAATATAGAAATAAAAAGAAAAAAGCTCAAAACAGATTAAACTCCCTAAAATTCTATAACTTATACTCTAAGAGAAGACAATTGCATTCATGAAACAGGATTCTGTAAGAAAGGAAACAACAACAAAAAGAGCTCTTGAGGCCGGGTGTGGTGGCTCACGCTTGTAATCCCAGCACTTTGGGAGGCTGAGGCGGACGGATCACGAGGTCAGGAGTTCGATATCAGCCTGACCAACATGGTGAAACCCCCTCTCTACTAAAAATACAAAAATTAGCTGGGTATGTGGTGGCATGTGCCAGTAATCCCAGCTACTCAGGAGGCCGAGGCCGGAGAATCACTTGAACCCAGAAGGCAGAGGTTACAGTGAGCCAAGATCAACCCACTGCACTCCAGCCTGGGTGACAGAGTGATAATGCATCTCAAATAGATACATACATACATACAGACAGACAGACAGACATAATAAGCTCTTGAAAATGTAAGATAATCCAAAATAAAAATGCCGGCAGAAGGGCTGGCATATAAAGTCGAGGAAATCGGCACAAAAGGACAAAGAAATAGAACGAAAGAGAAACAAGGAGGCTGGGTGTGGTGGCTCATACCTCTAATCCCAGCACTTTGGGAGGGAGAGACAGGAGGATCGCTTGAGCCCAGGAGTTTGAGACCTGCCTGCACAACATACTGAGATCCCGTTCTCCAAAAAATAAAAAGGACAAAAAGGAAAACAGGTTTGAAAAGAGAAACAAAGAAAACATTAGAGGCTCAGTTTCTGAGGACCAACATCTAACCCAGAGGAATTTCACAGCAAAGGGAGGAAGGAAATTATTCAAGAAACTGTATGAGAAAATTACCCAGACACAAATGACATGTTTTCTAATTAAAATGCTCAGTACTAAGGACCCAATACGATGGCGGAACACAGGTCCATACCAAGTTACCTCGTAATGAGATTTAACACCACCAGGACTAAGATGAGCTCCTAAAACTTCTAAGACCGTGAGAAAATGGTCATATACAAAAGATGATGGGTCAGAAAGAGCCTCAGATCTCCAAATTAATTCAAAACAACAACGGAGCAATGCCTTCAAAATCCCCAGGGAAAATTATTTCCAACCTACAATTCTGACTCATTCGAGCTGCCCCAGTAGAATGAAGACATTTTAAATATTTAGGTCTCAAATGTTTGCATTCTGTTATGGGTTAAATTGTGTTCCCCCAAAAGATCAACTGAAGTCTTAATCCCCAATACTTCCCAATTAACTGGAAATCGGGTCTCGGCAGATACCATCAAGTCAGGATGAGGTCATACTCGAAAAGGACAGGCCCTTATCCAATACAACTGATGCCTATATTAGAAAAGAAAAATCCAGACACACACACATACTCACAGGGAGAATGTCATGTGACAAAATAGGCAGAGATTAGGGAGGACGTGGTTGTAATCCAAGGGACACCAAGCATCAACATCCATCACCAAATGCTTGGAAGAGGCAAGGGAGGGTTCGCCCCAGAGCCTCAGAGGGAACATGGCCCTGGTGGCTCATTGACTCAAACTTACAGCCCTCAGAACTGTGAAAAAACACATTCTGTTGTTTTAAGCTAACCAATGTAGTAAATAATTACAGAAGCGCTCGGAAATGAACACACATCCCATGTATACTTTCTTGAAAACTACGGAAAGATGTACTCCATCAAGACAAAGCAATAAAACGAGAGAGATGACACAGGTTTAAGCAAAAGGGGTTTGATCCAGAACAGAAGTGAAATAAATTTCCAGGTTGATGAAAAAGGGAGGCTGCAGAACCATAGCTGTGCAACTGGTCTACTTTAGAGTAGGACACAGGCTCCAGGAAGAGGGTCCCCAAGAAAAATATCAGAACTAATTGAAGTCAATAAGCAATCTGATATGTCTGACCATCTGGAAAAGAGTTTTGCAATGCTGCTGAAAATTCTGGGAGTAATTAGCAGGCAAAAATTCTAGAAGACTAATCAAATAGAAAAAGAAAGGCAATTATAAACTCCAGAAAAAACAAAAAGTCATCATCATAGTACACCGTATATCTCAGCTATTTAAGACATTTATAGTTACATTGGGTAAGCATAGAATGTAAACAAAACGTAACTCTTTTAAGAAAATGGAGGGAAATACATATTCAAAAGGGACACCAGGCTAAGAGTTAAATTCTTATCCTCACTAGTAAGAAACCTATGGAGAATGACTAAAGCTGAAAAATCAAGAAACAGCAGCATGATTATATTATTTTAAAAGATAGGGAATACAAACAGTAAAAAATGGCCAAAAGAATTTACAGTGCTTGCTGTTTTAAGCAAGAGTTGGGGTAGGGGCCAGGCACAGTGGCTCATGCCTGTAATCCCAGCACTTTGGGAGGCCAAAGCAGGTGGATCACTTGAGCTCAGTTCAAGAACAGCCTGGCCAACAGAGTGAAACCCCATATCCACTAAAAACACAAAACTTAGCCAGGTATGGTGGCACACACCTATGATTCCAGCTACTCAGGAGGCTGAGACACAAGAATAGCTTGAGTCTTGGATGCAGAGGTTGCAGTGAGCTGAGGTTATGCCACTGCACTCCAGCCTGGCAAACAGAGTAAGACTCTGACTCAAAAAAAAAAAAAAAAAAAAAAGACAAGGTAGGCAGATGTGATACAGAGGACAGAGGATGTATTTCTCTTATACCCTTTAATCAACTTTCAGAAAATATAGTGTAAGTCCATACAAGAGCAGAGAGCATAATAAGACGAGCCCCCATGTAACACAGATGGACCAGGCTTCAACAATGAGAAACTCACAGTCGAATTCACTTTTAAACTGGGTATCACTTCAGTAAAAAGAAAAATTGAAAAAAATGAATTCATGGATAAACTATGGTGGATTTTGTTTGCTTTGGTTTTTGGTTTTTAGCTTTATTGAGATGAAGTTTCACTCTTGTTGCCCAGGCTCCAGTGCATTGGTGTGATCTCAACTCAGTGCAACCTCCACCTCCCAGGATCAAGCAACTCTCCTGCCTAAGCCTGCTGAGTACCTGGGATTACAGATGCCCACCACCACACAAAGCTCATTTTTGTCTTTTTAGTAGAGACAGGGTTTCACCACATTGGCCAGGCTGGTCTCAAACTCCTGACCCTCAAGTAATCTGCCCACCTCAGCCTCAAAGTGCCGGGATTACAGGTGTGAGGCACATTGTCCATGCAGGTGGATCCAGTTTTTAAAAGTAAGGGACAGTGTTTCCAGACACAAAGACCCCTAAATGCAAAGGCACTGGGGCAACCCGATGCTTGACTGGCAGGGTAAGAAGTTGGGAGGTAATGATAAGCATCATGGGACTCATTAAAGATGAGGGGTTTTGTTTGTTTGCTTTTAAAATTAAGACAGGGTCCTACTATGTTGCCCAGGCTGATCTCAGACTCCTGGCCTCGAGAAGACCTCCCACAGTGCTGGGATGACACAGGCGTGAGCCACAGTGTCTGGCCCCATTTGAATCTTGAGTTAGGCTAGCAAATAAAAGGAAAAGGTGTACCACGGAAAAGGTACAGCTTGAGCAAAGGCCTGGAGGTCAGAAATCTGAGGTGCTGGCCAAGGAGGCCCCACAGCCCACACTCACCTTCCCATTTCCACAGGGTGGTCCGAGATGTGTCCTTCCACTGCCCGCCTGCCACAAACAGTGGCCGCCTGTTGTACTGCACCTTCAGGTGACTGCTGCTCTCCACGTGCGGCAGGCGGAGGCTTGAGTGGTACAGCTGCATGCGAAAATCCACCTGCCTCTCGGGCACCTGCAGCGCAAACTGGAGAATACCCACCCCCAGGACGTCAATGAGATCGTGCCATCCCCAGCCTTGATCGTGCCCGGGAAGTCGAGGAAGCAGTGAGCCGAGACTGCACCACTGCACTCCACATGGCCAAGGGGAGTGGAACCTAACCCAGGCTCAAAAAACAGAAAACAATGACTGTAGGTAACGATGTGGAGAAATCTGAGGTCTCATACGATGACAGTGGGAATGTAAAATAGTGCAGCTAATGTGGAAAACGGTGCGACAGTTCCTCAAAAAACTAAAGATCGAATTTCCTTAAGACCCAGCAATGACACTTTCAGGTATATATCCAAAGGACTGAAAGCAATTGAAAAATTTGAAAGCATCAGGTATTTCCAAGCCCATGTTTCTAACAGCATTTATTCGTAATAGCCAAAAGATGGAAGCAATCCACATGTCCATCGACGGATGGATGGATAAACCAAGGGCTGTCTATACAGACAAGGGAATACTATTCAGCCTTAAAAAGAAAGGAAATTCTGGCCGGGCACAGAGGCTCATGCCTATAAACGCAGCACTTTGGGAGGCTGAGGTTGGTGGATCACAAGGTCAAGAGTTCCAGACCAGACTGGTCAACATGGTGAAACTCCACTCTACTAAAAATACAAAAATTACATGGGTGTGGTGATGGGTGCCTGTAATCCCAGCTACTGGGGAGGCTGAGGCAGGAGAATTGCTTGAACCTGGGAGGCGGAGGTTGCAGCAAGCCAAGATTATGCCACTGCATTCCAGACTGGGTGACAGAACAAGACTCCATCCCGGGGGGAAAAAAAAAAGGCTGAAGGAAGGAAATTCTGACACAGGCCACATATAGATGAACCTTGAGGGCATGCTAAGTGAAAAAAGCCAGTCAAACAAAGGACAGGCCGGGTGGTGGCTCACATCTATAATCCCAGCCCTTCGGGAGGCTGAGGCAGGCAGATCACCTGAGGTCAGGAGTTTGAGACCAGGCTGCCCAACATGTTGAAACCCTGTTTCTACGAAAAATACAAAAAAAATAGCAGGGTGTGGTGGCACACAGTGATAATCCCACTACTTGGAAGGCTGAGGCAGGAGAAACGCTTGAACCCACGAGGCGGAGGTTGTGGTGAGCCAAAACTGCACCACTCCTGTGTGGGCAATAGGAGCGAAACTCCGTGTCAAAAAAAAAAAAAAAAAAAAAAAGGATAAATAGTGTGCGATTCTATTTCTATGTGGTACCTAGAGTAGTCAAAAGCCCAAAACACAAAGAATGGTGGCTGCCGGGGACTGGGGGCAGGAGCGAATGGGGGGTCAGCATTTAATGGGTACAGTCTTACAGTCTTACTGCAGGTTCTGGAGATTACAGTGGTGACGGCTGCAGAAGAATCTAAATGCAGGTAATGCCACTAAACGTAACCATGGTTTAAACGGTACTTTTTACACAACGTATATTTAAGCACAATTCAGAGTTAATTTAGAAGACCATTTGCGGTCGGACATGGTGGTTCACACCTGTAATCCCAGCAGTTTGGGAGGCTGAGGTGGGCCGATCATGAGGTCAAGAGTTCAAGACCATCCTGGCCAACATGGTGAAACTCCATCTCTACTAAAAATACAAAAATTACCCAGGCGTGGTAGTACGTGCCTGTAATCCCACCTACTTGGGAGGCTGAGGCAGGGAGAACTGCTTGAACCTGGGTGGTGGAGGTTGCAGTGAGCCGAGATCGTGCCACTGCACTGCAGCCTGATGACAGAGCAAGACTCCATCTCAAAACAAAACAAAACAAGACCATTTGCAGGACTGGAGGTGAAAAGAGGAAAAAAACGTGCAAGGTTAAATGTGTGCTGTAGAAGAACCACCACCTGTTCAGCTGCTGAGCACACCACCCTTCCTAACTCGGCAAAAGAACCCACCCTCTGGGAAAACCTAAAAGCGAACTGCTGTTTCCAAAATGCATTTTGACAGCTGGAAATCTGTGTTTCCCAAGCCCTCCTTCCAGTCCTTGGCACTGTGACAAGCGTTTCTCACCCCTGGGGACGTGGGGCTGGAGATGCAAAAGGGCAAGTCACCAAGGCTGGGTTTCAGCTGCCAGCATCCTTGCAGCCAGGGCCAGAGGGCCATGAGGGGTTCCTCAGCTCCCACCATCCATGCTGGACTCACAGGGCACGGCTCTGCTGCAGTGGCCCAGCTCACCTCCACGAAGTGATTGCTCAGAGCGGGCCCCGAGTCATTCTTGAAGGTCTGGCTGACATGGAGAAGCCTCTTGTTGCCACTCTGGTCCCAGTGCTTCCCGTAGCTCGCCTCCAGCTGCGAGTGCAGGTGGCCCGAGTCCTCCTCGTGCCAGAGCTGGACCTGAGACACACATGAGCGGTGAAGTGTCCATGGAGGCCCCGCCCACCCAGTCCCCGGGCCCCCTCACAGCCACCCACTCCAGGAACATCAGTTTGGTTTTCTGAGGAGACGATTCTGTAGAAAGCACTATTTTGTTGTTATTGTTTTTTTTTTTTTTTGCTTTTTTTTTGAGATGGCGTCTCGCTCTGTCACCCAGGCTGAAGGGCAGTGAGACGATCTCAGCTCACTGCAACCTCCACCTCCCCAGTTCAAACGACTCTCCTTTCTCAGCCTCCTGAGTAGCTGGGATTGCAGGCACCTGCCACTACGCCTGGCTAATTTTTGTATTTTTAGTAGGATGGAGTTTCACCATGTTGGCCAGGCTGGTCTGGAACTCCTGACCTTGTGATCCACCTGCCGAAGGCTCTCAAAGTGCCGGCCTTGTTTTTTTGTTGTTTTTTTTTTTTTAATTTGTTTATTTTAGAGACAAGATTTCACTCTGTTGCCCAGGCTGGAGTACAGTGGCACCATCTTGGCTCACTGCAACCTCTGCCTCCTGGGCTGAAGCAACCCTGGATGAATAGACATAAGACTGAGGCTGAAGCGCCAGGCGTGGATCCATCGTATATGGCTATGCTATTGGGAGAAAGTTCATCTCTTTGGGGATGAGCTCAGGGTACTCCTATCACCACTTGCCCGACTCTGGTGCTCTCTCTGGATGTCCCAGCTGACCTGGCACCCACCTTGTGGCTGAAGGCCGGGATCTGTGTGCAGTGGAGCTCATGGCCCAGCTCCAGCCTGTAGGCGCCATCTGAGCCGCTCTCTGTCTGCAGCCTCTGGCTGGTGCTGCACTGGTGCGCTGGCTGCTTTGCCTGAGCTGTGAGGATCGATCAAGTGACCCCTGCCCTCCTCTGCCAGGCAGCCCTCCACCAGGGCTCCAAGAGGAGGAGGGCCCAGCCCAGCCCGGCCTCAGCCGTGTACCCTTGGCCCTGTGGCCTGCTTCAGCTGTCACTCCATTAGATCCTGTCCACAGGGAGGTCTTAAGAGATAGATGAATGTCTCAACAGACACATCTTTTTTTTTTAATGAGCAGGTACTAAGTCCTACTCAGAGCCCACAGAATGACTAATGGGAAATCCTGTGGTGACAGCCTATCTTAGCTCACAGAGCCACAGCCGCAGGAAACAGGGCAGGCCCTACCACCTCCACCTGCCCCGCAGCCAGGCATGCAGTGCCTTACCCAGGAGGCTGTACTGGATCCTCAGGGAGTTGGTCCAGAGCCGGCCCCGCTGCTGCAGCAGGCCAAGGACACGCAGCCCCGCCAGCCCTGGCACGAAGAGCTCAGCACTGAGGGCGGCCACCCACTGTCCATCCTCCTCCTTCCTTTCCAGCAGTGCTGCAGGGACAGACAGCAGGCAGGTGAAAGGGTCAGCCCCCAGGGACCAACACTCCCAACCCCAGGCAAAGAGGGGACTCGGGATACACCAGGGGCCTTGGGGTTGGGGGCTCCTTGAAGAGTCAACATCTGTGCCCTGCACAACAAGCCATAGACAGGCCTGATCACTGCTCACTGCAGCCTTCATCTCCCAGGCTCAATCGATCCTCTCACCTCAGCCTCCCAAGTAGCTGGAACTACAGACACGTGCCACCACACTTGGCTAATTTTTGTATTTTTCTGTAGAACCGGGAGTCTCACTATGTTACCCGGGCTGGTCTTGAACTCCTGGTCTCAAACAATCCTCCCACCTTGGCTTCCCAAAGTGCTGGGATTATAGGCGTGGGACACCATGCCTGGCCCAAAACTAAATAGAATGAAACAAACTGAATAGGACAGAAGATAAAGAATTAACAGGGCATCGTGGGATGTCGGATAAATTTCACCCTCTGAAGCTTCTGCTTCTGCGACACTGAAGGTCATCCAGAACACACAGGTGGAAATAGGCCAGCTGTTATGACTCCCAGACACCCACGTGAGGTGATCAACAGCCACTGCTCCAGGTACCCCCAAGCCCCGGCTCCTGTCCTTACCGTGGAATCTTCCAGAACCCGTAAGCAGCACACCCAGGCGCCACCACCCCGGCTCTGGCACAGGGCCAGCGCCTGCTCAGCCTGTGTGTGTTTTAAATGCCCCGTGTATTTTAGGTCAAAATGTTACATGTGTTTCTTATGGTGGGTGAGAATAAAAACAGCCCAAAAGCTGCTATTTTAAGGTTTGTGGGGGCAGGTGGAGGTTGGGGGAGCTTTTAGGGGCTCACACTGAGCCTGCGGCTGTCCTTAGATAGGATGTTGATATTGAGAAGCTGGGGTGATGACGACCATGAGGAGGCATTTGGCCTACACCCTAGCCTGGCCACGGAGGAGACGGGGCACAGGGGTCTCATCTCCTACCTCTCACGTGGGCCTGGTCACTCAGCACATGACTCAGCGATGCGGAGAAGCCCAGCTTGCTGCCCGCCTGCCGCGTGAGGTTCCCCGTCAAGACGACGGGGCTGCCCCCTGTCACCAGCTTCACCTCCAGCTGTGCCTGGAACCTCTCTGCCTCGCTGCCGATGGGTGGCTGCAGGTCACTCCAGCCCTGAAAAGGTCTCGGTGTCACCTGGGAGGACAGGCTTGGCCAGCAAGCCCAGTCATGATCATATAAGCTGGGACTAGAGAGTAGGCAGAAGACAGCCCAGCCAACAGCTTTCTATGCCGATCCTTCCCCAATTTTTGATTTTTCTTGAGACAGAGTCTCACTCTGTCACCCAGGCTTGAGTGCAGTGGCGGGATCCTGGTTCACTGCAACCTTCGTCTCCTGGGTTCAAGTGATTCTCCTGCCTCAGCCTCCCAGTTAGCTGGGATGACAGGCACACACCACAGTGCCCAGCTCATTTTTGTATTTTTAGTAGATATGGGGTTTCACCATTTTGGTGAGGCTGGTCTCAAACTCCTGAACCCAAGTGATCCGCCCGCCTTGGCCTCCCAAAGTGCTGGAATTACAGGTGTGAACCACTATGCCCAGCCCTTCCCCAATTTTTTAAACTCCCGGATTTCTCAAAATTAGAAATCTGTGTCACAAACTCAGAAATACAAAGGACTCCTCTTCTCTCCTTGACAGCCCCCTTGTTGGAGCCATCAGGAACTCAGTCGACCATTGCTATGGGATGTGACTCGAGACAACGCCATCTGCCACCTCCGCTGCGCCCCAGCTCCAGCCCTGGTCATCACACCTGTCTCACCGCAACATCCTCCTGGCTCTCCCGGCTCCCATCCCGCCGCTGGCAACTGATCTCCACGTGGTGACCAGACATGCTGACTGACGGCACACTAGCGTTTCTTAGAGTACAATCCAAAGTCCTTGAGAAGGCCAGTGAAGCCAGAACTTCGTTGGTCACTGGCGCACACACTGGCAGGTGGACCACAGGGACAGCTCACTACACTCCAAGGCCCCACATGGGAGATCCTCTAAAAAAGCCATCAGCAACTACAAATACCATGTCTGATGGCCCCGCCAACCTGCGGACACACCCCACACACCCCTCTGATAGCCACTAGCTGGTCAGTTCACCCAAAAGATGTCAAAACAATACTCACTATTACGAGACCGTCACGACTTAATGCCGTGTTTCCCTCATCCCCACGGGCGTGTGTGCAGATGTGTGTACGAATGTGTGTGCATCTGTGCACAGATGTATCTGTACATGGATGTGTGTAGATGTGTATGTATACAGAGATATGAAAATACAGATAGGTGTGTACAAATACATGGATATGGATGTGTGTGTACAGTGATGTGTGTACATGGATGTGTCTATGTGTAGACATGTATATACAGATGTGTGTGCAGATGTGTATAAAGACGTGTATATATATGGATGTGTGTATATGAATGTATGTGTACAGGTATGTCTACATGTGGATGTAGATGCTCGCGGCTCTTCCTGCTGACAGACACATCCTAGCGCCAGCTCTCTCCACTGTGTATCAGAGGCTGCGCGGTGGTGTCAGAGCTTCCTCAGGGTGCATGTGAAAGGGTGAGCGCAGAATCTCTCTCCCAAACCCCAACACTTTGCAGTTAAAGAGAACACTAGTCACAAATGTGTCAGGTCAGCAGGCATAAACCGGGGCTCTCCAGGCAACCCAGGACCCAACCCGCACACACCGCGGTAGGGGGTGCCAAACAGAACACTTCCCACACCAGCCTTAAATCCCACAAACTTTGAGACAAGTTGAACCCAAGCTCTGGCACTTTGCATTCATGAGCTCATCTGCCTCAGTTTCCTCATCTCATATGGGGTTACAGAGAGGACTTGAAGCGGAGATTTCAAGTCTGCTGGAACAGGCTCCAGAAAGTTCCGGAGCTCCGGCTGTTACTGTAATTGATGAGTCTGGGGTGGATAGAACTAGAATTTCTCCAAAGGCAAATAAACATTTCCAGGCCTCAAATAGCTCTATAGGGAGCGGCAGGAAGGTCCGACGGGAGGTACAGGCAATCTGTGCCTGCATATTTAGCAAATAAGATGTTCAAGGGCCCCTGCAGGTTCTGGAAATGAGGCAGAAGTCTCAGCTGTCAGGCAGGTGGGGCTTTCGGGGGAAGGTGGCTCTCCCTTAACATGGGTCTTCTCCCCACCCAGGCTGACAGCACAGGTGGAAATGGAGACAGTATTTATGCAGCAAGACATCCAGCCCCGGCTTCAGACACTCCACTCCAGGCATCTCTGAGAAGACACTGGAAACTGAGGCAGAATCGGGAGATCCACTGCTGAACGTGCCCAGCGATCATGCCTGGCAGGATCAAGTCTAAAGCTGCAATTTGTACTCTGGCTGGAGTGCAGTGGCACGATCTCGACTCACTGCAACCGCCCCCTTCCAGATTCAAGCAATTTCCCTGCCTCAGCCTCCTGAGAAGCTGGGCTGACAGGCATACACCACCATGCCCAGGGAAGTTTTCTATCTTTAGCAGAGACAGGGTTTCACCTTCTTGGCCAGCCTGGTCCCAAATTCCTGACTTCATGTGATCCTCCTGCCTCGCCTCCCAACATTGGTACACTTTTTGAAGTACCAATCTGCTTGAAAAGGGGATGGAAGTTTTAAGTCTTCTCCCCAGGATGGAGGAGACAGACACGAAACTTCAACACAGTAACAAGGGCCTCAGGTGACTCCCTAAGTTCCATCCAGGCACCCTTGGGTAAGATCCCTTGAAAAGCACCTACTGAGATGAAAATGAGCCTGGACAACATACTAAGACCCGTCTACACACACACACACACACACACACACACACACACACACACACACAAAAACAAGAAAAAAAATAGGAAGGCATGGTGACACAGGCCATGGTCCCAGCTACCTGGGAGGCTGAGGCAGGAGGATCACTTGAGCCCAGGGGTTTGAGGCTGCAGTGACCTAGGACCCTGCCATTGCACAGAAAACCTTGTAAAAGAAAGAGAAATGGCCGGGCGCGGTGGCTCAAGCCTGTAATCCCAGCACTTTGGGAGGCCGAGGCGGGTGGATCACGAGGTCAAGAGATCGAGACCATCCTGGTCAACATGGTGAAACCCCGTCTCTACTAAAAATACAAAAAATTAGCTGGGCATGGTGGCGCGTGCCTGTAATCCCAGCTACTCAGGAGGCTGAGGCAGGAGAATTGCCTGAACCCAGGAGGCGGAGGTTGCGGTGAGCCGAGATCGCGCCATTGCACTCCAGCCTGGGTAACAAGAGCGAAACTCCATCTCAAAACTAAAAAAAAAAAAAAAAAAAAAAAAAAAAGAAAGAAATGTCAGGGAGACGGAAAAGCCGGGGGGAAGAGAGGGGGAAAGACATGGGGGAAAGGGAGGGCAAGAGGTAGGAAGAGGAAGAGAGGGAATAGAGGGAGGGAGAGAAAGGAAGGGAAAGAAAAAAGGAAGGAAGAAAAGAGGAAAGACATGAGAAAAACCGATAAACCTCGTGGCCAGGGAATCCCGCGGTTGAGGATGTACTCTGCAGAGAGAACGGTGTTCACCACAGAGTAATTGTGAGAGACGAAACCTGGGGAAAGCCCGAGCACTTCGTTATGAAACTAGCTGAATACATTCCATTCCATGGACTATTACGTGGTCATTCGCACTACATGGGAGACGCCGATTTTTTTAGGTGGATGTATTAACTCCACGTGCTGATTGTGTGCATAGATCGTCTCGGAGAGGAATCACCAAAGAAACCCTAACAGTGGTTGGCTTTCAGGAGGGGTGGGAGAGCAGCTTTAAGGCCATACCAGCACCAACCAATAGAGCTTTTTGCAATGAGGACCATGTTTCCGGGCCATCTGCAGCTGTGGAGCACCCGAAATGTGGCCCACGCAGCCAGAGAATCAAATCCTTCATTTTCTTTGATGTTAATTCATTTAGATTTTTTTTCCCCCTTTTTTGAGATGGAGTCTCGCTCCATTGCCCAGGCTGGAGGGAAGCTGCGTGATCTTGGCTCACCGCAACCTCTGTCTCCCAGGTTCGAGCAGTTCTCCTGCCTCAGCTTTCTAAGCAGAGGGGGTTACAGGGGCTCACCACTACATCCGGCTACTTTGTGTGTTTTTAGTAGAGATGGGGTTTCACCATGTTGGTGAGGCTGCTCTCAAACTCCTGACCTCAGGTAAGCCACCTGACTCGGCCTCCCAAAGTGCTGGGATTCTAGGCGTAAGCCAGCATACCCGGCCTTAGATTTCAATAAACACATATGCCGCTGGCTGTCATATAGGACACTCAGTTCTATGCTCTTTCATAGCTTTTAAACTTTGAATCACTTAAATGCATTGCCTGTTTTTTTTCATTGTAGAACTTAATAGAATAGTATTTAGATTGAATTAACCTAAATGAAATCTACAATAGAATTTAAATTGCACCAGTGCGTGCTTGTATAAAAAGATTCCCAAGGGGTGGGTGTGTGTGTGTGTGTGTGTGTATGTTTCTTTTTTTTTTTTTTTTTTCCTCTGAGTTGGAGTCTCGCTCTGCCACCCAGTCTGGAGTGCAGTAGTATGAACTTGGCTCACTGCAACCTCTGCCTTCAGGGTTCAAGTGGTTCTCTGGGCTCAGTTTCCCGAGTCACGGGGATTATAGGCACGCACCACCACACCCAGCTCATTTTTGTATTTTCAGTAGAGCAGGAGTTACACCATGTTGGCTAGGCTGGTCTTGAACTCCACTTCAAGTGATTCACCTGCCTCGGCCTATCAAAGTGCTGAGATTACAGGTGTGAGCCAGCACGCCCAGCCGCAAAGATGTATTTTTGAGTAAAAAGAGCAAGGTACAAACAAAAAATAGGGAACAGCTGGGGGTGGTGGCTCATGCCTCTAATTCTAGCACTTTGGGAGGCTGAGGTGGGAAGATCGCTGGAACCCAGGAGGTCAAGGCTGCAATGAGCCATGATTGCACCACTGCCCTCCAGCCTGAGTGACGAAGCAAGACCTGCCTCAAGAAAATCAAAAATTAAAAAAACCAAAACCGAAGCATGATGATTGGGTTTTCATGCTATTGTATGATATGTGCCTTCCTCAAAACTTGTTACGATATCATCACATCACCCATCTGATGCGAAAAAGAAAAAACAAAACCCAGAAGCCCAAACTAAAAATATTTGCAAATCTATAGCGTTATGCGTTGTCTTGTGTCTCCCCGAAAGACGCTGAAGCCCTGCGCCGCAGGGTCTGTGGATGCGACCTTATTTGGAAATAGGCTCTTCACATGTGATCAAGCTGAGCTGAGATGAGGGTGAATCCTAATCCCGTGTGCCTGGTGTCCTTATAAAAAGGGACGTGTGGACACACACCTATAAAGGGAAGACAGTGTCAAGACAGGGACAGAAGACCACCTACAAGCCCAGGAACTCTGGAGGCTCCGAGAATCCAGGAGTGAGACCTGGGACAGACCCTCCCTCACAGCCTTCACAGGAAAAACAAACAAACAATCTAAAACCCCTTGATTTCAGACTCCTGGCCTCCAGAACGGTGAGAATAAACCTCTGTGGTTGAAGCCACACAGTTTAGGGTACTTGGTTAAGGCAGCATTGGGAAATGAATGCAAATTTCCTGGGGCGTGCATCAATACTTCTGAAGGAAATTTGGGATGTGGCATGCTTGAACTTAAAACTCATACCTTTCTCTACTCTGAATTCTTTTTTTGAGAGACAGGGTCTCACTCTGTCACCAGGCTGGAGTGCAGTGGCACAAGCACGGCTCCCTGCAGCCTCCGCCTCCTGAGCTGCAGCAATCCTCTTGCCTCAGCCTCCTGAGTTGCTGAGACTACAGGCACATGCCACTCTGCCTGGCTAATTTTTTTAAAATGTTTTATACAGACAGGGTCTTAACTATGTTGTCCAGGTTTATCTTGAACACCTAGCCTCAAGTGATCCTCCCACCTTAGCCTCCCAAAGTTCTGGGATTACATGTGTAAGCTATCATGACCGGCTTGCTTTTTGTTGTTGTTGTTTTTGGGATGGAATCTCGCTGTGTTGCTCAGGCTGGACTGCAGTGGCACAATCTCGGCTCACTGAAACCCCCCACCTCCTAGGTTCAAGCAATTCTTCTGCCTCAGCCTCCCGAGTAGCTTGGATTACAGGAACCCACTACCACACCCAGCTAATTTTTTAATTTTTATTACAGGCAGGGTTTCACCATTAGGCCAGGCTGGTCTTGAACTCCTGACTTCAGAGATCTGCCCACTTTGGCTTCCCAAAATGCTGGCATTACAGGCGTGAGATACTGCACCCTGAATTCTTAAAAGCATGTTTCTACATTATTAATATTCATTTTTAACATCAATGGCAGTGGGATATTAGCCCTTATTTTTCTTCTTTACGTATTTCTGGGTAACAGGAATTAATACTTGTTAAGTGGCAGGTAGAAGGGGAAGATCCCAGGGGCGGTGGCAGTAGGTAACGGGGCCCTGGGATGGAGCAGGAAATGCCCAGGGAGGTGGCAGGTGCACACACAGATGGGCCAAGGGCGTGGAACAAACCTTGATGTAGTAGACATCCCTGTCATCCAGCACCAGCTCCAAGTGACCCATGTGGGTACTCTCAAGAGCCTCCATCTTTCCTGGGTGGGGAAGAGAAATGAGAGTTTAGAGACAAGGGTTCCACATCTGGATCTGGCCCCTGTAGCCCCTCGGGAGGACCGCCTAGCCGTTTTCTAATCTCTGAGCCTACGGTTCAGAATCTATAAAATGGAGCTGGCTTTCGTGCTCATCTCAGGGGGTCACAGACAGACCCAGGAGCCAGCTCGCTGCAGGTGCCCGGCCCTGGGTGTGGTACCGAGCGAAGGGTGTGGTGAGCAGGGAGGGGACATTGTCATTACCGTCCAGCTCGATTTTCTTCCTGGGATGGAGAAGCTTGAGCCGGAACTTGCTCTGAGGCAAGCTGTAGCTGACGTCCACCCCGACATCCCTCGGCACTTCTGACCCGGGCGTGCCCATGAAGATGTGGGCTGTGGCTTCTTGAGGCAACCAGCTGTCCTTCTGGAAACAGCAGAGTCTTCAAGACTGAGAGTCTCCACCTCCACCCTTCAGACACTCATACTGTTGTCCTCACAGTCCCCCAACCCAGAATTTATTGGGCTTGAAAATCACCTGCAGACACTTAAAGCTCTGCACCACAGCCCAGGACGACGTTCACAGTGTCGAAATTTATTCAGCAAATGGCCAGGAAGAAGTGGCTGCAGTGCACACCCCTGGCACCCGGCACAGACCCCTCCCATCCATTTTTTTTTTTTTTTTTTTTTTTTTTTTTTTTTTTAAGACCGAGTCTCGCTCTGTTGCCCAGGCTGGAGTGCAGCAGCGCAATCTTGGCTCACTGCAACCTCCGCCTCCCAGGTTCAAAGGATTCTCCTGCCTCAGCCTCCTGAGTAAGTAGGATTACAGGCATGTGCCACCAAGCCGGGCTAATTTCTTTTATTTCCTTTTTTTTTTGTATTTTTAGTAGAGATAGGGTTTCACCATGTTGGCCAGGCTGATCTCAAACTCCTGACCTCAAGTGATCCGCTCACCTCGGCCTCCCAAAGTGCTGGGATTACAGGCACGAGCCACCATGCCCAGTCCCTCCCCTCCTTTTAACCAGCTCTGTGTCTTTATACCCCAGCTTCTGCAAGCTCTGCACCTCCTGGCTGTCACCTGAGGCCTCCAGAACATTGCCCTCCAGCACTGTAGCCAGAACTCCCAGCACCTTAGCCCAGAGGGGAACACACTCTGCAAGGACCTTGCGCTCCAGGGCTCCCCGTGGGACCGAGATGAGGCTACAACTTCACCTGAAATCGTACATCTCTCAGCATCTTTCCCCAGCCTGTCCTAATTTCTCCTCTCTTACTGGGTCCCCCAGAGCCTCAATAAATCACATGCCCCACAGTCTAAGACTTGGGTCTGTTTTTGGAAAAATGGAGCCTCAGCCACAAGCCGTGTTCCGAAATCCCACATCAGTGTACGCTCATTCAACACCAATGAGGACGCGCTGCTGCGTGGAAGATGAGTGAGCATGGGACACGCAGAGTCCCCAGCCACACAGAGCCTACGTCCTCGAGAGGAGGCACAGGACCACCAGACACTAGAATGGGCAGGACGGCAGCTGGCGGCGAGTGTGCTGACAAAGCGGGGAGGTTAGGGGCCCCGATGGGGACACTGGTCTAGACAGGGTGGCCCAGGCAGGCTGCCCCTGAGGGGTCCCATTTAAGGACACTTGAAAGGAGCGAGGGAGGGAGTTAGGTGGATATCCTGCGGAAAAGTGTTCCTGGCAGAGGAAACAGCCAGTGCAAAGGCCGTGGGGCGAGCACATGCCTGACATTGAAAAAGAGGCCAGTGCGTCTCCAGTGCAGAGAGTCTGAAGGCGAGACCGCGAGGGGAGGCCAGCGGGGGAGAGACCGCCAAGGGCCTGTGGGCCACAGCATCTGGCTCCTACTTGAAGAGTAACAGGAGCCACCGGGGGGTCTACACAGAGGAGAAGCACGATCCAGCTGGGATTTCAGAGGGCCCGTCTGGCTGCTGGTGAAGATGGTAAGGAGACCAGAGCAGGAGCTGGGAGATCAGACAGGAGACCACCAAGTGCCTCCTCTGGACCAGGTACTGACGACACAGTGGTAAATAACACAAACCCCGAGGCCGGGCGCGGTGGCTCACGCCTGTAATCCCAGCACTTTGGGAGGCCGAGGCGGGTAGATCGTGAGGTCGAGAGATCGAGACCATCCTGGTCAACATGGTGAAACCCCGTCTCTACTAAAAATACGAAAATCAGCTGGGCATGGTGGGGCGTGCCTGTAATCCCAGCTACTCGGGAGGCTGAGGCAGGAGAATTGCCTGAACCCAGGAGGCGGAGGTTGCAGTGAGCCGAGATGGTGCCATTGCACTCCAGCCTGGGTAACAAGAGCGAAACTCCAACTCAAAAAAACAAAAAAAAAAAAACAAAAAACCCGGAATCCGCTCCCAGGAACTGAGTTACTGTGAAGAAAACAGACATTAACCGATCAGCTTCACTAAGAAACAGAAGCAATCAAAAGGGAAGAAACGTGGCTGTCTTAGGTCAACTCACAAAAAAATGTGATGTGTTCCGGGATAACCAAGGCAGGCTTCCCTGAGGAGGTGACCCCCGAACTGAGATCTGAAGATTGATTCAGAGTTAATGAGCCACACAGCCCCAGCCAGAAAATCAGTCTGTGCAAAGGTCCCGAAGAAACCTACAGCAAGACTAGTGGAGCCCAGCAGCCCCAGAGAGGAGCCCCACCTCCGTTCAGGCGAGTTCAGGGCTGACCTGAGGAGACCCACAACCTGGCTGAGAAAGATGGGGCTGTGGCTTAGGGCCCACCTGGGGCTGCAGGGAACAGGCAGCTTCCAGCAGGTACCGTCGGAGCCCTGGGTCCTGCTTCTGTAGCGTCACGGCGGCGAACACAGGCAGTGAGAGCAGGTAGGGCCGGCCAGCTACCGGCCAGGTCACTCCAGCGCACAGCCGCCAGCCCCAGGCATAGGACACTGCAGAGAGAGGGAAGCAGGCAGCACTGGTCAGTGGAGACCCAGAGGGCTCCGGGCACAGGTGCCCACGGCGGCCACATCAGCAAAGAAAGCGCTTCTGTCATTTTTTCTGAGGAACAGCATTGTGTAGATGTGAATCCTGTGAGGCAGTGGTGAGCAGACCAGGCTTTCTCTACCTCAGCACTGCTGACATCAGGGGACAGATCATCTCATTTGGGGGTTGCCCTGTGCATTATGGGATGTTTCACTGCATTCCCGGGCCTCTATCCACTAGAAGCCAGTAACCCCTACCAACAATCAAATACTTCTGCAGATATTACCAAATGTCCCCGGGGTCAGGGTGGGGGTAGGGGGGCGGTAAAAGTGCCCCTGGCTAAGAACCCCCGGTAGACTTTTTTCTGAGCCTCAGTCATGCTCTGTTACCCAGGCTAGAGTGCAATGGCATGATGTCAGCTCACCGCAACCTCCATCTCCCTGGTTCGAGTGATTCTCCTGCCTCAGCCTCCCAAGTATCTGGGATTACAGGCATACAACCCCACGTCCAGCTAATTTTTGTATTTTTAGTAGAGACAGAGTTTCACCATGTTAGCCAGGCTGGTCTTGAACTCCTGACCTCAGATGATCCACCTGCCTCAGCATCCCAAAGTGCTGGGATTACAGGCGTGAGCTACCACGCCTGGCCCCTGGTAGACTTTTTAAGAGTGTCAGGCAGTAATGTGTAGAACACAGGCTCTGGAGCAAGAATGCCTCGTTCAAATTCTAGCTCAGCCACTTTCTAGCTGTGTGACCTTGGACAAATTACTTAACCTCTCTGGGCCTCAATGTTTCTTCTTCTTATCATTGTTATTACTCCCTTGACCCACAGTAAGGGCCACAATGTTTCTCCTCTTAAAATGCTAACAATTGTTCCTGCCTCATGGTGTAGCTGTGAGAATTAACGGGTCAGTAAGTGTTGAGAACACCACCTGGCCAACAGTAATGTCTTTGGTACTAACTCTTGCCCCAATTATAAAAATGTACTTGCTGTCCAGACGTGGTTGCTCACACCTGTAATCCCAGCACTATGGGAGGCCGAGGCGGGTGGATCACCTGAGGTCAGGAGTTCGAGACCAGCCTGGCCAAATTGGCAAAATCCCATCTCTACTAAAAATACAAAAATTAGCTGGGTGTGGTGGTGGGCACTTGTAATCCCAGCTACTTGGAGGCTGAGGCAGGAGAATCACCGGAAACCAGAAGGCAGAGGTTGCAGTGAGCCGAGATGGCCACATTGAACTCCAGCGTGGGCAAAAGAGCAAAACTTTGACTCAAAAAAAAAAAAATTTTATTTGTTGGTCAGACGCGGTCACTTACACCTGTAATCCCAACACTGTGGGATGAGGTAGGCAGATTACCTGAGGTCAAGAATTGGAGACCAGCCTTGCCAATATGGTGAAACCCTGTCTCTACTAAAAATACAAAAATTAGCTGTGTGCAGTGGTGGGTGTCTGTAATCCCAGCCACTCAGGAGGCTGACACAGGACAATCGCTTGAACCTGGGAGGCAGAGGTTGCAGAGAGCCAAGATTGTGCCACTGCACTCCAGCCTGGGCGACAAAGCAATATTCCAACTCAAAAAAAAAAAAAAAAGAAAAGAAAAGGCAAGTATTTGTTGCAGGAAATTAGAAAGCTCAGATTTTTAAAAATTTTTCTGTATTGTATGTTATACTTTCATAAGTTTATTTGAAATTCTTAATGCAACTTAAATACAAAAAAAGGGAAATTATCAAAAAGCAGAACTTGTTTCTCTTCATTAAATAGAGCCCTCCCCAACCTCACTCCAAAAACAAAATTGCAAGATCTGCTACTATGTGACATATTTACCTCCTGTCTTTTTACCCAGCTGAAATCACATTCAGTGTTGCTGCCTTTCACTCGGTATTACTAAAGAAGTTTCTCGTCGCAACACCTCACTTGTAATGGAGTTCAAACGTTTCACGATATCTAGGCCAGGTACAGCAGTTCACGCCTGTAATTCCAGCACTCTGAGGGGCTAAAGCGGGTGTATCACCTGAGGTCAAGAGTCCAAGACCAGCCTGGCCATTGTAATGAAACCCCACCTCTACTAAAAGTACAAAAATTAGCTGGGCATGGTGGCAGGCACCTGTAGTTCCAACTACCTGGGAGGCTAAGGCAGGAGAATTGCTTTAACCCAGGAGGCAGAGGTTGCAGTGAGCCGAGTTCACACCATTATATTCCAGCCTGATGACAAGAGTGAAACTTCTGTCTCAAAAAAAAAGAAAAAAAAAAAAAAGTTATGCAGTATCTTGGTAACTTCCTAACCCATGAGCCAGCAAACGTTCTTTGTAAAGGTCCAGATAGTTTATTTAATTACCCAGCTAGCTAGCTAGAGACAGAATCCTCCTTGGTGACCCCAGCTTGAGTGCAGTGGCATAACCACAGCTAACATCTCAACCTGCTGCCCTCAAGTGATCCTCCTGTGAGCCTTCCAAGTAGCTGGGACCACTGGTGCATGCCGCCATGCCCGGCTAATTTGTTAAGTTTTATTTTTGTAGAGACAAGGTCTCATTATGTTACCCAGGCTGGTCTTGAACTCCTGGACTCAAGGAATCCTCTCACCTCGGCCTCCTAAAGTACAGGGATTACAGGTATGGGCCACCCGCCAGCTAGATAGTCAGTATCTTATGCTTTATGGTCACAGAGTCTAGGCTGCAGCTACTCAGCTCTGATGTTGGACAAAGTAGCTATGGGTGATATGCAAATGAAGGGGGTGTGGCTGTGTTCCCAAACAACTTTTCTTTCCGGACACTGAAATTTCAATTTCGTCAAGTTTTCATGCTATGAAATATTCACTCTTCTTTTGACTCTTTTTAAGCTACTTAATGTTAACAACCTACCCTTAGTTCACTGGCCCTTATAATTGCCCGTTTTGCCTACTCCGGAATATTCGAGTTGCTGCCTATTTTTTGTTCTAAATAATGATGCAAAGAACATCTGTGCACACAGAGCATTTTTAAGTGATTTTGGTTTGCTTTCAAAGGGTAGAGTTCTAGGAGCATTATCATTGACTAAAGTAGTTGGTAAAGGAAAAGAAAGCCAGGCGCAGTGGCTCATGCCTGTAATCTCAGCACTTTGAGAAGCCGAAGCTGGTAGATCACCTGAGCCCAGGAGTTCAAGATCAAGCTGGGTAACATGGTGAGAACCTGTCTTTACAAAAAGAAAATTAGCTGGGCAGGGTGGCAAGTGCCTCTAGTCCCAGCTATTTGGGAGGCTCAGATGGGAGGATCACTTGAGCCTGGAGAGATGGAGTCTGCACGCTGGTCTGGGCGAGAGTGAGACAAGAAGAAGAAAGAAAAAGAGGAAGAAAAAGAAGAGGAGAAAGAAGAGGAGAAAGAGGGAGGAAGAAGAGAAAGAAGAGAAAGAAGGAAGAAGAAGAAGGAAGAAGAAAAAAGGAAGAGGAAGGAAGATGAAGAAGGAAGAAGGGGGAGGAGGAGGAAGGAGAAGGAGAAGAAGAAAGAAAGAAGGAAAAGAAAAAAAAGGAGGAGGAGGAGGAAGAATAAAGAGGAAAGAGAAGGAAGAGGAAGAAAGATGATGAACTCGGATCCCAGTTCACGATGCCAAAAGGAAAAAACTGAGCTAGAAGCCGAGTCGTGCAGACAGCTGCCTTCCTTTTTGTTCGGAAGCAGGTAGCTACGGATAAAAGTGTTAAATATTTGCACAGCTATTCTCGGTTCACCTTATCTTATGTAAAGTGCTGATTTCTTGAGCAAGGATGAATACATAAGTGACTGTACCCCTCCCTACTCCTTTTCTCTTGCAGGGTATGGGTTCAGCCACGTGACTACACCCTCCCTCTTTTCCCTTCCAGAGGGCTTTTCTCCTTTAAACCAAGGGAGGGAGAGCATTAGGACAAATAGCTAATGCATGCGGGGCTTAAAACCTCGATGACGGGTGGATGGGTGCAGCAAACCCCCATGGCACACGTATACCTAGGTAACAAACCTGCACGTTCTGCACGTGTGCCCCAGAACTTAAAGTAAATAAATTGTGAACCTTTCAGAATCATCTCTGGAAAAAGGCACAGAGCATAGATTGTCCTGTGGACATGCCAGGTATGTCCTTAACCTTGGCAAAGTAAACTTCAGAATGGATTGAGACCCGTCTCAGATGCTTTTTGGTTTGCAGAACATGAATACTTTTAGGGCAGGAGAGCAACTCTGGGATCTAGAGCTGGCAACCTTCCCTTCAACCCCGGGATGCCCACCTTGGGAAGACAGCATGGAGACCCCGCTGCCTACCTTCCTCACCAGTACAGGACTGGGCCTCAGAAGGGACAGGGATGTGTCTAAGGCTCCTCAAGCCATCCCTGGTAACGACGTACAGCTTAGAGCTGGGTGAGAGAAGAGGACAGCATCAGATGCGTCATTTCCATTCATTCATTAGATAAGTAACACCTCGAGCTGCCAGAGCTTGGCACAGGGGCAAATTCTACCCTGGAGGGGACCAGCCTTCAGGCAGTGCACACGCTGGTGGGTGATACTCCATGGGCACAGGGGACAGAGGCCAAGGACCAGAGATGGTGACAAGCGCTATGAGAAACCCACACGGAGGACGGCACAGCACAGGCTGTCTCAGGGACAGCGGGCGTTCCCTAGCTGCGGTTGGGGGAGATCTCAGCAGAGGCGACATTTGAGCAGAGGCCCAGAGGATGAGAAGGCGCCACTGTTCCAGACAGAAGACGTAGCATGAGCAAAGGCCCTGGGATAGGAACAAGGTGGCCACTTTAGGAGTATAAAAAGAAGGCTGGCTGGGGGGTGTCAGGAGGGAGGTGGACAGTGAGTGAGGGGCAGGGAACAGGGGAAGGAGGGAGGAGGAAGGTGGGCAGAGTCCCCATAGGGCAGGACAAGGCAAAGGTGCAGGTCGGTGGGGCAACCTGGACTCACTCTCACTCCCTCTGACATTGTCCCTCTGAGTCACCTCCCTAGGTGTCACAGACAAGCATGCCCCAGAGGGACCCCAGGAAAGAGCTGAGGCTCTGAAAGCTCTCCAGCTCTCGCCCCTCAGCTGCCCACGTCCCTGTCACAGACACATCCACCCTTTGCAGTCACAGACATGCACACTCGTGGACACACACGCACTACCACAAATGCTCAGACACGAGACACGTCCACTCCCACAGAGCGGCTTACTGTCGCACTCACCGACACGCAGACACACCCTCACGCACACAGCAGCTCATACACGCTCTCTCATATGCCTGATCACATGTGCTCACAGATACAGGCTCATGGTCGCACAGTGTTATCACACATGCATGCTAGTGTCACATCCACACCCATGCACACCTCCATGCACACACGCAGACATGTGATCACACACTCACAGGCACACACACACACACACACACACTCACACGCACTCTCGTGCTGGTGGTTCCCTGCCTGCTGGCACCGGACACCCACCTGAAGCTGAGTAGCTCCACGGCCTCCTCGGGCGTGTTCAGATGCACCTTGAGGTCCCGGCTCTTCTGCAGCTGGATCCCTCCATCCAGGCTGGCAGCGCTGCGGACGCTGGTCACCCACCTCAGCCCAGCCTGCCCCAAGGCTCCCGTTGTGCCCATCTGAGCCGAGATCTGCAACAGGGCACTGAGGGACAGGCACGTCCCAGCTGCATCTCGAGGGCCCTGAAGCCACAGACCCCATCCACTGCCCCCAGCTGTCCCCTCCACCACCTCCATCCCACCCACAGGCTTTACGGACACCAAGCACATGCCAGTCCTCACCTGCACTCATCCCTCTTACAGATGGGGAAACTGAGGCTCAGAGAGGTGACAGCACCTGCCTGGGTTCCACGACTAGGACAAAGCATGAGGCTGGGACACCTGGACCCCAGCTGTCTAAGTCTCAGCCCAGGCTCTTCACCCCACAGAGCACCCAGCCTAAGGCATCCACGTTCCCCATGTCAGACCCAGGACTCCAGGACAGCTCAGCTGAGTGGCTGGGAACAGATGCTCAGCAGTACTGTGACAGGTTCCGGAATCAGAACCAATATTGCACACATTCAGCTCAGGCGCTCTGATGCCATGTGCCCCAGGCTGTTGGCATACTCGCCTTGAACCTTGGCTTCCTCATCCGTCAGTGGGAGTAAGAAGCGCCAGCCTTGCTGGGTTGGGGAGGGGTCGCACCAGTTCAGTGAGCTCAAGGCTAGCTCCTCTCCTCCCTTCTGGGTGGGGTGGATGGAAGGGCATAGAGTTGTGGCATTAGACCAGAATACCAGCCACCTTGCACTGCTGTGTAACCTTGAACCCGTGACCGGACCTCTCTGAGCCTCAGTCTTCTCACCTGTCAAGTGGATCTAACCACCCAGCATCTCTACACACAGTCTCTTGGCACAGGTGGTCTGCAGAATAGGGCTCCCCTTGGACTGTGTGGATGTCCCCTCTGTAGGAGTAGGATCCCACCCCCTAACCTGAGCCAGGTCCCAGGAGCCAGCTACCTGGGCTTGACATAACCATTTACAGAGAAATCCGAGCGCTGCTGGAAGTTGGCGATTCCTCGGACCCGGATGCTGATGGCGGCCGAGGCGTTTAGGGCCAGCCGAGCAGGAAGGCCAGACACTGTGGGCAAGACCAGCTCCTCTGCGGCCAGGCTCAGCCTCCGGTTAATCTGTACCTCTTGCCCCTGCAGCCAAGAAACCATAAGCAGGGCCGGGCGCAGTGTCTCACACCTGTAATCCCAGCACTCCGGGAGGCCAAGGCAGGTGGATCACTGAAGCCCAGGAGTTGGGACCAGCCTGGCCAACAGGGGAAAACCCCATCTCGACTGAAAATACAAAAATTAGCTGGTGTGGTGGCACGTGCTAGTAATTCCAACTACCCAGGAGACTAGGGCACGAGAATGGACTGACCCCAGGAGACGGAAGTTGCAGTTGAGCCAAGATCACGTCACTGCACTCCAGTCTCAGTAACAGAGTAAGACTCCATCAAAAAAAAAAAAAAAGAAAAAAGAAAAGGAGAGGAAAAGAAAAGGAAGAGAGGGGAGGGGAAGAGAAGGGAGGGGAGGGGGAGGGAGGGGAGGGAGGGGAGGAGGGGAGGGAGGGGGAGGGAGGGGAGGGAGGGGGGGAGGGGAGGAGGGGAGGGAGGGGAGGGAGGGGGAGGGAGGGGGAGGGAGGGGAGGAGAGGAAGAAACCAACAGGGGGCACGTGGCCACCCCTGCTGTGAGCCAGGCACCCTCTGAGTACTGAGCACAAGAAATTTCATTTGTCCTCAAAGGGAACGTAATCTCAGTTTCCAGACGAGGAAACTGAGGTCACAAAGATAAACGGCCCACCAAGGCCCTGTAACTAGAAAGGGATGGAGCTAGGTTTCAGCCCAGGCAGTCTGCTTATGAGAAAAGGCTACGGGTCAGGTTCAGTAGGTGGGGAGGAGGATCCTGTCTAAGGTTGCAGGCAGTTGGTACAGACCAGGCAAGCTGGAACCCTGCTGGATTTTCACCACGTTCGCTCCTTTAACACAATTGCTCTATGAATGAATAGTTTGCATTTTTTGTTTCATTTTGTTTTGTTGTTTTGAGATGGAGTCACTCTGTTGCCCAGGCCGGACTGCAGTGATGCAATCTTAGCTCACTGCAACTGCTGCCTCTCGGGTTCAAGCAATTCTCCTGCTTCCACCTCCCAAGCAGCCGGGACCACAAACGCCCGCCACCATGCCCAGCTAATTTTTGTATTTTTAGTACAGAAGGGTGTTTGGCCATGTTGGCAAGGCTGGTCTCGAACTCCTGACCTCAGGTGATCCACCGGTCCAGCCTCCCAAAATGTTGGGATTACAGGCATGGGTCACCTCGCCCAGGCAGTTATTTTGTTATTTTTTATTAGCCCCATTTCACAGATGCAGAATCTAAGGCCATGGTAAGGGAATCAGTAGGTTCCAGGAGATAAGCAACAGAGCTGGGATTTGACCTTCAACAGCCTGGCTCCAAATTTCATGCTCTTAAGTGCTTTGCTAAAGGGTCACAGTGCAGATTTCAAGGGCAGGGGCTGGCAGGAGCTACCTTCAGGAGCTTGATGGCGAGCTCTGCCAGGCTCAGGGACCGGTGCTTCACATGACTCCCTGTGGCCCCACAGTTCACAAAACTCAGCTCCTGCCCCAGCACCTTCATGCTCAGCTGGCATCGCAGAGGCTGCTGGACCCCAGGCCTCTGGGTCACCTGCGGGAGAGTCAAGACAGGTCACAAAGAACAAGGTCAGGATTAGCAAGACGATACAGTTGGCTGTGTCCCTACCCAAATCTCATCTTGAAGCTCCTGTAATTCCCACATGCTGGGTGAGCGGTTCATGGGTGGGAATCATGGGAGTGGGTCTTTCCCATACTGTTCCAGTGCCAGTGTATGGGGCTGTCACTCTGCACAAGCTCTCTCTTCCTTTGCCTGCTGTCATCCACGTAAGATGTGACTTCCTCTCCTTGACTTCCGCCATGATTTTGAGGCCACACCAGGCGGTTGGAATGGTAAATCTGTTTAATCTCTTTGTCAATTGCCCAATCTCAGGTATGTCTTTATCAGCACCGTGAAAACGCACAAACACACAGGGCAAAGCGCCCGTACTTTGGGAGGGGAAAAGGTGGCTGGCGAGCAAGGTCAAGAACTTGTGGGATCCAGATGAGGCTTGCAAAACTAGCTCCTGGAGCATGAACCAAATCCCAACCCCAGATGTGATTCCTCTGACTTGCACAGTAGTGCCCAACACCGAGAGAGTGTGTCTATGTTTTCATCAATGTTCTACTTTAGCGTAATTTTAGATGTACGGAAAAGTTGCAAACTGGTTGGGCGTGGTAGCTCACGCCTCTATTCCCAGCACTTTGGGAGGGTGAGACAGGAGGATCATTTGAGGCCAGGAGTTTAAAACGAGCCCGGATAGCATTTCAGGACCCTGTCTCTACAAAATAAAAAATAATAATTAAAAATAATAGCCAGGTATGGTGGCACCCGCCTGTCTTCCCAGATGTTTGGGAAGCTGAGGTGGAGGATCACGTAAGCCCAGGAGTTCAAGGCTGCAGAGAATTACGATCGTGCCACGGCACTCCAGCCTGGGCAACAGGCAGAGCAAGACCCTGTCTCTGAAAAAAAGGAAAACAAAGACAGTCTGCAAAGACGGTGCAGAGAGTTCCCCGCACCCTTCCCCTGGCGTCTGCATGGTCAGCACCTTCCATCGCCAGGATGCCTGGTGCAAACTAACCCACCCATGTTGGTATGTTTCTAGTAACTAAACCCCAGGGGCCATTTACATTTCACCAGCTTTTTTCCCCACTAACGTCCTGCTTCCATCCCAAGATCCAATCCAGCAAACCCCATGGCATGTAGCTGCCATGTCTCCCTGCTGTCTGGTTTATGACAGTTTTTCAGTCTTTGATCGCTGTTCACGCCATGTACATTTTTTCTAAGTTGAATTTGTAAATAGGGACATTTTAAACTAAAGTGGAAAATCTTATATGAAACTCAGCCCTCTGGCTTCTCTGTAAAGAAAAACATTGGGCGGCCCACCCTTGCCACAAGGGGCAACAAGGAGCCGGAGCTGAGCAGGGGCTGCCACTTTAGCTGAGCATGGGCTTCCTCTGTCTGCTACAGTCCCCACCACTCCCTATTGTCTCTGCAAGACTGAGGCCAAGTGTCCGCTGTTGCTCATCAGTGTGCTCACGCAGACTCTTTCTCGGGATGTGAGTCTCCAGGAAAAGTGAGAAAATAACAGAACAAGGGGATTGTGCATTCTAAGAAAACCTGTTTGTATCTGCCGAACCTCCCTCCTTCAAGCCTCTTGCCGCCCCCAGCTTTAGTCCAAGATGCTTTTAATAGCAGGGATTACTGTCCTGCTCCGGCCCTGGGTTTACACTTGGTGGTTAGGAAGCATGTGACCAAGTGAACCAATGGGCCCAGCCATCCACCTTGGTCACTATCGGATGTACGTGGCAATGACACTTTATAAGAGCAAAATGTTGCCAATAATCTAAAAGTCTATTGATGGGAAAATGATTATGTCAACTGTGGTCCCCACCCATAGAATGAATATTAACATACCTGTGTATGGCGAGCTTCTAGTAAGAAAATACTCAAGAAATAACAAGAGAAAAAGCAGGCTGAAGATACATACATCTTAAGACTAAGCAATTGCATTCCTAGGTGTATATGCCCAACGGGTATGAATACATACATTCCCTAAGACCTAGGAGTCTTCACGGCACTGTCTGCAATAGCCAGCAACTCATGGATACACAAATTGTTGTATGGTCACACAATGGAATACTACACAGCTCTGAAAATGAACAGATTTTAAGTACACACTGCAATATGGAGATATCTCACCAATTTTAAACCAAAGAAGTCAGGCACGAGAAGGAGTATGGGAGTAGCACTATTCACAGGCACTGAACAGCAGAAACCACCCAAACGTCCATCAACGAACGAATGCATGAACGTGGCACATCCGTTAAAACAGGAGTCAGCCTCAGGCAAGAACGGAGTACTGAGCTATGCTGCAATGGGGGTGAACTTCCAAAACACTAGGCTAAGAGAAAGAAGTCAGACACAAAGGTCACATATTTTATGGTTCCATTTGTATGAAATATCCAAATTAGGTAAATCCACAGAGACTGGAAGCACACTGGTGGCTGTGAGAGGCTAGGAGGAGGGGGTGCTGGGGACTGATTCTTTCAAGGGTACAGGGTCTCCTTTAGGGGTGATGAAAATGTTCTGGAACCAGACAGGTACTAATGGCACGACACGGTGAATATGCTAAATACCACGGAATCGTTCACTTCATTTTTAACTTTTATTATTTTTTTTGAGAGGGAGTCTCGCTCTGTCGCCCACGCTGGAGTGCAATGACGCGATCTCGGCTCACTGCAACCTCTGCCTCGCAGACTCAAGCGATTCTCCTGCCTCAGCCTCACAAATAGCTGGGATTACAGGCATGCACCACCATGCCTAGTGATTTTTTTGTATTTTTAGTAGAGACAACGTTTCACCATGTTAACCAGGCTGGTCTCGAACTCCTGAGCTCAAGTTATCCACTCATCTTGGCCTCCCAAAGTTTGGGGATTACAGACATTAGCCTGTATGCCCAGCCAATTGTTCACTTTAAAACGCTTATTTTTACACATGAGAATTTTATCTCCTTTAAAAAAGAATACAGAGCAAATGATTCTATTTATATCATGTTTACAAAAGAAACTGGATGTGACTTCTACTGGCAACCAAGTTGGATTGGATTTAACCTCCCACATGGAGCAGCTGTGAACCCAGATGGCCCAAGACACAGACATCAGGCACCCCAAGACGATGAGCCCCAAGAGATGAAAACGAGCGAGGTGAGCCCAGCTTCCTGCCCGGAGAGTGTCCACGCTGTGGGCGCAGAGAGGAGGAATGGAGGCTGAGTCGGGGGACTCCCTCAGCTCAGGAGCTGGGGGTCTGGGGAGACCCTGGCAGCTGGCTTCACAGGGCAGGATAGCAGAGAGGAGAGAGTGCAGAGAGCATGCTCAGAAGTCTACAGAAGGTCCTATGAGAATCTCTAACATCCTATCGGGCAAAAATTTCTGAGCTATAAAAGCCAAAGCACTATCCATCAAAGAAACCAGTAAACCTGACTTCATCAAAATCAGGACTTCCTGGTATTTTTTGAAAGACACCATTAAGAGAACAAAAAAGACACACCACAGACTGGGAGAAAACATTTCTGAGCTACAGATCTGATGAAGAACTTGTTTCTGGTCAGGTGTGGTGGGTCACACCTGTAATCCCAGCACTTTGGGAGGCTGAGGCAGGAGGATCACTTGAGGCCAGGAGTTCAAGACCAGCCTGGGCAACAGAGTGAGACCCCATCTCTACAGAAAGAGAAAAAAACTTAGCCATGTGTGGTTGCACTACACGTAGTCCCAGCTACTCAGGTGGCTGAGGCAGGAAGACCACTTGAGCCCAGGAGGTCAAGGTTGCAGGGAGGTCTGATCACACCACTGCACTCCAGCCTGGATGACAGAACCACAACCCGAGTCAAAAAAAGAAAACAACAACAACTTGTTTCTGGAATATAAAAAGAATTCTCAAAACTCAATAATAAGAAAACAATTCAACAAAATAAGATGAGTGAGAGATTTGTGCGTACACTTCACGGAAGAAGACATACCATAGCATGTGAGCATGTGAAAAGATGATCAATGTCATCTGTCATTAGGGAAATGCAAATTAAACCCATGAGCTACTACTACACACTATTGGAATAGCTGAAATTAAAAAGTCTAACCATATCAAGTGTTGGTGAGGACGTGGAGAAACTGGAACTCTCGCACACTGCCGGTGGGAATGCAAAAATAGTACAACCACTTGGGAGAACTGCCGAGCAGCTCTAAAAAAATTTCAACATACACCTGCCATATGATCCAGCCACACCTACTAATTATTCAAGAGAAACAAAAGCACATGCCCAAAGACTTGTACATAAATAATTTGTAGCAGCTTTATTTTTAATAGCCAAACCCTGGAAACAACTAGAAAGTCTATCAACAGGTGAATGGAAAAACAAACTGTGGTGTATCTATACAAAGGAACACCATTTAGCAATAAAAAGACATAAACTACATTATACCCCATAGCATGGATGAGTCTCAGAAAAATTATGCTGACTAAAAGAAGCCAAACAATGCTCAACGAAATAAGAGAGGACACAAACAGATGGAGAAACATTCCATGTTCATGGTTAGGAAGAATCAACATCGTGAAAATGGCCATACTGCCCAAAGTAATTTACAGATTCAACGCTATTCCCATCAAGCTACCAATGACCTTCTTCACAGAACTGGAAAAAACACCTTAAACTTCATATGGAACCAAAAGAGAGCCTGCATAGCCAAGTCAATTCTAAGCAAAAAGAACAAAGCAGGAGGCATCACACTACCGGACTTCAAACTATACTACAAGGCTACGGTAATCAAAACAGCATGGTACTGGTACCAGAACAGAGATATAGACCAATGGAACAGAACAGAGTCCTCAGAGGAAACACAACATACTCACAACCATCTGATCTTCGACAAACCAGACAAACACAAGCAATGGGGAAAGGATTCCCTGTTTAATAAATGGTGTTAGGAAAACTGGCTAGCCATGTGCAGAAAGCAGAAACAGGACCCCTTCCTGACACCTTACACCAAAATTAACTCCAGATGGATTAAAGACTTAAACATCATACCTAACACCATAAAAACCCTAGAAGAAAATCTAGGCAAAACCATTTAGGACATAGGCGTAGGCAAGGACTTCATGACCAAAACGCCAAAAGCAATGGCAACAAAAGCCAAAATAGACAAATGGGACCTAATCAAACTCCACAGCTTCTGCACGGCAAAAGAAACAGTCAGTAGAGTGAATCGGCAACCAACAGAATGGGAAAAAATTTATGCAGTCTACCCATCTGACAAAGGGCTGATATCCAGAATTTACAAAGAACTAAAACAGATCTACAAGAAAAAAAAAAAAAAAAAGCCCATTCAAAAATGGGCGAAGGATATGAACAGACACTTTACAAAAGAAGACATACAGGAGGCCAACAAACATATGAAAAAATGCTCATCATCACTGGTCATTAGAGAAATGCAAATCAGAACCACATTGAGATACCACCTCACACCAGTTAGAATGGCGATCATTAAAAAATCTGGAAACAGCAGATGCTGGAGAGGATGTGGAGAAATAGGAACACTTTTACACTGTTGGTGGGAGTGTAAATTAATTCAACTATTGTGGAAGACAGTGTGGCGATTCCTCAATGACCTAAAAATTGAAATCCCATTTGACCCAGAAATCCCATTACTGGGTATATATCCAAAGGATTATAAATCATTCTACTATAAGGACACATGCACACAAATGTTCATTGCAGCACTGTTTACAATAGCAAAGACCTGGAACCAACCCAAATGCCCATCGATGACAGACTGGATAGGGAAAATGTGGCACATATACACCATGGAACATTACGCAGCCATCAAAAAGGATGAGTTCACGTCCTTTGTAGGGACATGGATGAACCTGGAAACCACCATTCTCAGCAAACTGACACAAGAGCAGAAAATCAAATACCGCATGTTCACACTCATAGGCGGGTGTTGAGCAATGAGAACACATGGACATGGGGAGGGGAGCACTACACACTGGGGTCTGTTGGGGGGAAATGGGGGAGGGACGGGGGGTGGGGAGGTGGGAAGAGATAGCATGGGGAGAAATGACAGATACAGGCGAGGGGACGGAAGGCAGAAAACCACACTGCCATGTGTGTACCTATGCAACAATCTAGCATGTTCTTCACATGTACCCCAAAACCTAAAATGCAATAAAAAAAAAATAAAATAAAATAAAAAGAAGCCAAACAAAAAACATGATATGCTTTTCTAAAAAAAAGGACATGTTGGTCAGGTGCAGCAGCTCACACCTGTAATCCCAGCACTTCGGGAGGCCAAGGCAGGAGGACTGCTTGAGCCCAGGAGGTTGATAACAGCCTGGACAACTTAGTGAGACCCTACCTCTACAACATTTTTTTAAAAAAACTAGATAGGCATGACAGCACGTGCCTATAGAGAGGCAGAGGTTGCAATGAGCTGAGATCACACCACTGTACTCCAGCCTGGGTGACAGAGTAAGACTGTCCCAAGGGAAAAAAAAAAAAAAAAAAAGACATGTGTGATCTAGTTTACATAATATTCTAGAAAGTGAAAGAGTCTACAGTGACAGAAAGACTCTCACTAGTTTCTGGGGACAAGGAGAAGCAGGAAGAAGGGATCACTAAGGATCTGGAAGAGACTTTTGGGGTGACAGCTATGTTCATAAGCTTTATCATGGTGATGATTTCTTGAATATGTACATGGGTCAGAATGTATCCAGTCGTACACCTTAACCAGGTGCTACTGTTCACCGTGTCCCAATTAGACCTCAACAAAGCTGATTTTTAAAAAGCAGAACTCACTGATGCTGCCCTAAGTCAGAAGTGTGGTACCCCGGTTAAGGATGGGTATTCACAAGAACAGGGGACAAGGCGGAGGCTGGGGGCTAAAGCTGGTATGCGTGCTGGTGACATGGGCGTGTTGAGATGGTGGACAGGAGAGCTGTACACTTACAGCTTAGGGACTTTCCCATGCACGGGATCAATTTCGATCAACAGCTTTTCCAAATAAAGCCAACTATGAGCTGACTATTCAGATCTGGACCAGCCACTTAGTTCTGCAAGCAGTGGGCAGGGTCAGAGTTCACAAATACCCAAGTTTCAGGTTCCAAAGCCCAAGAATGAAGCGGGGTGGGCCTGCCTGGTGGAGCAGGGTGGGTGTGGCCACCTCCCTTACCTTCTGCTGAAGGTCTCTCATCCTTCTAGCTCTGTCTCCTGGACACTTGGGGCCGGCTGCCAGTGGTGCAGGCCCAGGTTCTGGTCCTGGGGGCTTCTCTGCCTCGGCCTCTCTTCCATCTCCCTCACCCCAGAATGACTTCCTGCCAAACAGCCTGCGAGCAATTTCCTCAGCATTTTCCAGCCGGAGCCCGAGCTGAGAAGAGAAGCCAGGGGCTCAGGAAGGAACAATTCAATCACAGGGGTGATGACAAGCTGTCAGACTGGAGATATGAATGACAGACCCAGAAGGCTTGAGCAGGGCACTCCAGGCTCCCTGGTGCCCACCTGGAACCAGGTTCATGGACACGATCTTGGGAAATCCATTGCTCTGTGTATCCACTTGGTACACGCCACACAGGAAAAATTCTTGCTGACTCTTTTAGGCTTGGGTCAAATGTCACCACCTCCGGGAAGCCCCCCTGAACTCTCATGTCACCTTCTTCCTACCTCCTCTGCCCCACACACAATATACTCAGACTGGAAAGTGTGTCTCCCTCGAAAGATCCATGATGAGGGCAAGGACTCATGTCTCAATCACTAGATACTTGCCCGACTTGGCTTGGGGCGGTTCTCAAAATTTGACAGGTGAATAAACGGATGCTTCCTTCTGTTCCTCCTGTCGTCCACCTGCCCATCCATGTGCCCCTCTGTTCACCTACCCTTTTGCCCTTCCCATCCATCCACCCATCTTTGCTTGCTTTTTTTTTGTTTGTTTTGTGTTTTTTGAGATGGAGTCTCACTCTATCCCTCAGGCTGGAGTGCAGCGGCACCATCGCAGCTCACTGCAACCTCTGCTGCCCGGGTTCAAGCAATTCTCCTGCCTCTATCTCCCTAGTAGCTGGGATTACAGGTGCCTGCCACCATACCCAGATAATTTTTTCTATTTTTTAAATAGAGATGGGGTTTCACTATCTTGGCCAGGCTGGTCTTGAACTTCTGCCTTCGTGATCCACCTGCCTTGGCCTCCCAAAGTGCTGGGATTATAAGCGTCAGCCACCGCACCCGGCCACCTTCCATCTTTTCTATCCTTTGTCCTATCCGTCCTTAATTCCTATTCATCCATCTGCTTTCCCTTTCTTATGGACACCTCTTCTTCCTTCCATCTAGTCTTTCTTCTCTCTTTCCATCCAGACATCTTTGACAGCGTTTGCAGAGAAGTCACCAGAGTCCAGCTCTTGGCAATGACTGGTGGGTGGATGGATGGATAATGGATGGATGTGTGACTCAGAGGATGGACTGATGGATGAATGTGGGTGGGCATGGATGGCCAAGTGGATGAAAGATGGATGAGTGGGAGAACAGATTAATAGATGAGCAGGTGAGACAGTAGACAGAGAGATGGATGGGAAATTACATGGATGGATGGACAGATGGGAGGGTGGGTATGTGGATGGATGGCTAGGTGGGTGGAAAGATGAATGAGTGAATGGACGGATGGGTAGGTGGGTGACAGAGGGGTGCTTTGGTGGATGGATGAATGAATGAACAGACGGATGGACAGATAGGTGGATGGATGAATGATAGGTGGAAAGATGGATGAGGGGTGGGTAGGTGGGTGGATGATGGGTGGGTAGATGGATGGATGATTCATAGATGATGGGTGAGTGGGTAGATGGATGAATGAGTGATGTGTGGATGAATGATGGGTGGATGGGTGGATGGGTGGATAGAGGATAGGCGCATGGGTGAATGGACGATGAGTGGGTGGGCAGATGGATAGATGATGGGTAGGTGGGGTGGGTAAATGGGTGGATGGATGAGAGAGATGACTGGGAGTGGATGGACAGATGAGCAAGTGAATGAATGAATGAATGAATGGAAGGAGGGATGGAGGGAAGGAGAGAGGGGGGAGGGATGGAAGGAGGGATGGAAGAAGGTATGGATGGATGGAGGGAGGGAGGGATGGTGGGAGGGATGCATGGAAGGAGGCTGGAGGGATGGAGGGAGGGAGGGGGAGGGATGGAGGGAGGAAGGCATGTGGAGTGAATGGACAGATGTATGAATATATCTATGGGTGGGTGAACGGACAGATCTATGGATGTATCTATGGATAGGTAAGTGGATGACTAGATATAGGGGGTAGGGGAGGGCTGAACAATGCAGACAAGGGACAGGCGAACAGACAGGTAAGTGACTGGGATATTCGGCCCCAGGTCTAGGAGAGGCCCCGCGAAGGCTGCAGCAAGGCTCCCCTCTAACCTCCAGAAGGTTGAAGGCACGGTCCACGAGGTGGATGGTCAGGTTGACCGTGGCAGAACGGGGAAGAAAGGAGACAGGAGAGAAGAGAAGAGTCCCCTCCAGGTTGGCTCCCAGGTTGCCAGACACTAGAAGTAAGAAAAAACATCAGTACATTCTGCACACTCACAGAGTAGGGTCTGGCTACTACCACGGGGCCGTACCCTGACACAGGGTCAGACACCGGATGCATCTTCTCACCCCTCCCTGGCCAAGATGGGCAACAACCTTAAGCCTTTGCAAGAAGAGAGGGAGGCCAGGACAGAGGGCCACACACACCCGCCTCTGCTGACAGGCAGGGAGGAGGTGCCCAGAGCACCTGACCCCCAACCCCCCAGGCTTCCCAGGAAGGCTGGGGTGATTTAGGGGACTTAGCAAGAGACTCCCTTTTTGATTTTCTATTTAATTACAACAAAGACGCAGTCTCAGTGTGGGCTAATCTCTCTTATTAACGTAGGGAAAAACAGTCCTCAAAATTCATGGCCTTCAGGAAACCATGGAATCCAGGACAATTTAATAAAATAGTGTTTCCACCAGGCACAGTGGCTCATGCTTGTAATTCCAGCACTCTGGGAGGCTGAGATGGGCAGATCGCTTGAGGCCAGGGGTTCGAGACCAGCCAGGCCAACATGGTGAAACCCCATCTCTACTAATAAAAATACAAAAATGAGCCAGGCATGGTGGTGCACACCTGTAGTTTCAGCTATTCACGAGAGGCTGAGGCAGGAGAATCGCTTGAACCTGGGAGGCAGAGGTTGCAGTGAGCTGAGATTGCACCACTGTACCCCAGCCTGGGTAACAGAGCGAGACTCCATGTCCAGAAAAAAAAAAGCCGTGTTTCATTACCCGCCTCTGGGTATACGATATTTCTTTTTAGGAGTACCTTCTCTTTACAGGGAGTTAAACTGATTTTCTATTAATGGTAGTGATAATTTTTTTAACCTAAATATAAATTACAAAGAGCCAATTTAAAGAAAAGATAGTATTCAGTCGAATGTCATAAAATAATTGATAAGCCTTTTCTCTTCCAACAAAAGCAGCAGGTGCTATTGAAATATGGCAAAACGAATTTTTGAACAAGCAGCACGGAACTTCTTTTTGAGACAGGGTCTCACTCTGTCACCGAGGCTGGAGTGCAGTGGTGCAATCATGACTCACTGCAGACTCGACCTCCTGGGCTCAAGCAATCCTCCTGCCTTAGCCTCCCAAAGTACTCGGGTGAGCCCTTCGGGTTTCAGCCACCACACCTGACTGGCCTGTAAACATTTGATCCTTTGACACAGCATCTTATCCATATGCTGTCGGGAGCTGGAGCTCCAGGGTCTCCCAGGCTGTGTGTTCCCAGACCAGGACAGGGGCCGCCAGGATGGCCATACCTGAGCGGAAGGTGACATCAGAATAGGATGAGTGTTTCCACATTTCCGGGTGGAACTCCTGGCTGAGGATGTCCTCAGGGAGGGTGTCCCGGAGGGCTCGTTTCAGGGGGTCGTGCGTCTCCAGCAGCTGCAGGAGGTGACTCCATACAAAAGAACCCACTGGAATAGAGTCGTAGCCAGCGGGGAGGGGCCATGAGGAAAGTGCCAGGAACGCTGTCCAGAGGAAGGGCCCTCCCGACCCCCGTCCCAGTCCTGCAATTCCCACACACGGGGGCTTCTCAGGAGCCTGCCTATGGAGACCTACGTCTGATCTCAAGAAAGAGCAGCAACGAAGAATCGTGCCTGAACAGAACTTGGAAATTCAGCCCATGCATGGAATTCTGACACTTTCCAGAAGACAAAGGAAGGTATTACAGGCTTGAAAGTCAGACCTTAGTCTGGGCCAGGCGCGGTGGCTCATGCCTGTAATCCCAGCACTATGGGAGGCCAAGGTGGGTGGATCACGAGATCAAGAGATCCAGACATCCTGGCCAAAATGGTGAAACCCTGTCTCTACTAAAAATACAAAAATTAGCTGGGCGTGGTGGCACATGCCCGTAGTCCCAGGTACTCGAGAGGCTGAGGCAGAACAATCACTTGAACCTGGGAGGCGGACGTTGCAGTGAGCCGAGATCACACCACTCTCTCCAGCCTGGCGACAGAGTGAGACTCCGTCTTTAAAGAAGAAAAAAAAAGAAAAAAAAAAAAATAAGCTGTGTGACCTCAGGGTGGTCCCTCTGTCTCTCTCAGCCTGTCTCCTCATCCGTGAAAATGGGAAGTCAGACCTGATTTCAAATCCTGGTTTCACCATGTACCAGTGTCGCCTGAGATGGTCACTCCAGCTCTTGGAACCTTTGTTTTCTCATGTGAAAAAGGAACTAACAAAGTACCTCACAGGGCTTTTTGGGAAGATCAGTTAAAAGCAGAGCCCGGACCTAGAAGACTAAGTATGTTTCAGGATTGCTTGGTCAAGTGTGACATGTGATCCGTGAGGGTCCCTGGAGGTATAAAGACCAAATGAGAGCCTAATGTGACTAAATCCGACGGCGAATATCAGAGTCCTACAGGGAACCCCCAACCCTCGCCATTGTCCCAGGCTCTCAGAAGGTCCAGCCAGGGGCTTCTGGAACAGTCTATCACAGAATAGAGCAGAATGTGGGTTTTTAGGGATAAGGTGCCCACTCATTCCCACTGGGCAATACATCAGGTGGTACCCCAGGGCCACTGCGGAGGCTGAACCCCTTGGCCGATCCCAAGGAGAGGTGTAGCACCTCATACCCCAGGCCTGAAATTGCCAACAGAGACAGCTGTGTCTTTGAATAGTGCCATCTCTTCAGAAGGTAATTCAACAACATCACATCAGACTTTTCAACATGCATACCCTTTGCCTTGGCAACTTATCTTCTGGGAAATTATCCTAAAGTGAGATTAACTCAAGGGCCAAAGGTAGCTGTGCAGGAAGATTTGTGGCTGTTGTTTCTAATGGCAAAAGACCAGAAATAGGCTAAATGCCTGTCACTGGAGACTGGTAAAATGGTTTATGGTACACCCAGCAGAATACCCACACAGCCATAGATGAGAATGTTTAAGAGCCATAGATGAGAGATGAGCTCCCAGACATGTTAAAGCCAAAAAGAGCAGGCTGGGCCCAGTGGCTATCACCTGCCATCCCAAGCACTTTGGGAGGCTAAGGTGGGCGGATCACCTGAGGTCAGGAGTTCCAGACCAGCCAGGCCAACATGGCAAAACCGTCCCTACTAAAAAAATACACAAGTTAGCCTGGCATGGTGGCATATACCTGTAATCCTGGCTACTCAAGAGGCTGAAGCAGGGGAATTGCTTGAACCCTGGAGTTGCAGTGAAGTGAGATTGTGCCACTGCACTCCAACCTGGGTGACAGAGACTGGTTTTTTTTTTGTTTTTTTTTTGTTTTTTTAAAAAAAAAAAAGCAAGGAGCACAGTAGCAAGTAGAACACCATCCTGAGATGCTGTTGTTAAGGAGATACATGAGTATGTTCATCTATGTATACCAAGTTCTGATGTGACACACAGGAGAATTTGGTGATGCTTCTAATGGCAAAAGACCAGAAACAGCCTAAAGCAGAATCGGGTCCCATGGGGGACGTGGTTCACAGTGAGTATCTTCAGGACACAGGAAGATATTGGGGGGAAGAGGAAAGAAGACTAATTTTTCTCATTTGTCCTTTGCCTATGCTTTAAGTTTTTGACCATGTAGCTATACTGCATTAATAACAGCAGCAGTAGTGGTAACAACATTAAAAGCAACAGTCACACATATGGCAGTTACTACGCATCTTAAATGCCTTTGTGTATTAACTTATTTTATGCTTGCATCACTATGAGGGAGGTACTAGCATTATCCCTATTTTATAGGTACAGAAATGGAGGCTCATGAAGGTTTCCTTACTTGTCCCAAGGTATACAGGAAGGAAGTGGTGAAGCTGGGATTTGAACCTGGGCTCTCAGGTTCCAACCTCTCACCCCACTGTAAATTATAGAAATTTTTTTAACTATCAGTTGAACTTCTTTTTTTGAATTTACATCTTTGGGTCCAGGTGCTAGTATAAACAGAATTGTCTCCTTCCATAAGAGATCTGAGATTTGCAGATGCTGCCCCTCTTCTTCGGTCTCTCTTTAGGATACTGTGTCATGATCTGGCCAGAGCTAAAAGAGGCCTCCCTGACTCCCATCCCATTTTACAGATGAGCAAACTGAGGAACAGAGAAGAGAAGCAACTTCTTCAAAGTCATCCAGCAGCAGAATGGGGACTGGAATTGCCATGTAGGGGAGGGAGGAATACACAGCCCCTCATCTAGACAGTATGGTAGAGAAACAGGGGGACAAGACAGAAGGATCCCAGAGGAGTGGAGGGCGAGGATGCTCTCAAACCCCCTGCACTTTCCAGGAGGTGCCCTACCAGCCCACCCCTGCCTGCCCACAACCCCTCCCACACGCACACCCACGGCTCACCCTGGGTGGACAGCTCGCCTGCCTGGGTGTGCCGCACCTGAGCAAACACCTCTTCACTGGGGCATCTCATCAGGGCCAGGTAGGCATTGATACGGATCTCAGCATCCTCCTCCGGGGATTGGTACAGATGGGAGAGCACTGATCGCTGGCTTGGGCAGAAGGCAGGCCATCACCAAAGGCCCACCTACCTCCACCCAGGAGGATAATGTCCCTAGCTCCAGCAGGTGAATGTGCTGTCTAGCCCCAGCTATCCTGATATCTCCCCACAGGAGGCTTCCCTGACACACTCTCACCTGTGGCCCAGTTGTGGGAGGTAGCAGTTCACTGACCATGCCTAATTCCCAGTCTCTACCAGCCCTAGCCTAGCACCTCACCAATTCCCCAACAAATGGGCGTGGCTACAACCCCATAAAATGATTTACAAAGACAGCCCAGTGTCTTGCCACAAGGGAGGTCTTTAAATGTCTTGCCATTCCAGGGCCCCTTCCTAAGCAAGCCACCTCCCCATACTGTGACTCCCTCAATACCTATTGGCTTCCTCCACAGTCAGCTACCCACCCGTCCAGCCAGTCACCCACCCACCCATCCACTCATTCATCTATTCCTTCACCCATCTACCCATCCGTCTATCCATCCACCTATCATCCATCCATCCACCCATTCATCCATGTTGCAAATACTAACTAAGCAGCAACTGTGCACCCAACACTGTGCTAGGTGACAGCCCTAAGCAAGACCAACCCAGCCCCTGTCCACCTGAAGCTGGCGTTCTAGTGCAGGGAGACAGTCAATGAGATTAGCATGTGAAATATACAAAACGTTAGGTGGTGATAAACCCTATGGCGGGAAAAATGAAATGGGGAAACAGGACCGGAGCCATGGGGGACCTGGGAGGTTCAATTTCAGGTGAAACTGTCAAGGGAGACCTCACAGTGAAAGTGACTTTTAAGGTACGACCTGCAGAAGGTGAAAAAGAAAGGGGCATCTGGGGGAAAGTGTACCAGGAAAGGGGACAGCATGTCCAATGGGCCTGGGGCAAGACAGGGTCACAAATGTTTGAGGAAAAACGGAAAGAGAAATGTGCTGTGGAGGAGGGCTGAGAGGTGACAGGGGCAGGTGAGGCCCAGAGGTCAGTCCCTCAGGGACTGGGAGGCCAATGAAGGGACTGGGACTTTGACTCTAAGTAAGAAGGAAGATACTGGCCCAGGGATTAGCAAATTTCTTCTGTAAAGGGACAGCAAACTCTTTCAGATTCTGCAAGCCATTCAGTCTCTTGCAATGACTCAGCCCTGCAGGTGAAGCAGGAAAGCAGCCACAGACAGCACATACATAAGTGAGCATGGCTGTGTTCTAATAAAACTTTACTGACAAAAACAAAGAGGGCCAGGAAGTGGCCCATGGCCCATAGTCTGCCAAACCTTGTACTAGAGGGAGCATGGATGGCATCAGTAATTATACGGTTATTTGTGCATTTGATGAGTAATCTGCTTCCCACACTAGACACAGGCTTAGACCTGGATACCTGCTCACACAAGTACCCAGCCCAAAGTAGGTGCTCATTAAATACATGATGAATGAATGAACAGTTGCAGAAGTGAATTAGCAAATGGTGAGACCCACCATCACTCAACCCCACCCAGTGAAACACACAAGAGCTCACGTCTACAGAGCAGGGGACCCTCCGGAAGGCCTGGATGGCATGCAGCCGGATCTCGGGGGTGCTGCTTCGCAGAGACGCACAGGCACTGAGTGTGGGGGTGAGAGCCACGGCTGCCAAGCCCGCGTTGCCGATCGCCTTCAGCACAAGCTGGAGCTAAATCAACATGGAGGCAGGACCACGAGGCGCAGTGGCAGGGCAGGGGGGGGTAGGGAGGATGGTGGGATGGGAGGGAGAAGAGGGCAGGTATCAAATGGGGCGGGGGAAAAGGGACGGGGGATGGGGGCAGGGAGGAAAGGGGGTGCAGTGGGGAATGGGGGTGGGGGAATGGGGGAAAGTCAGGGCTACATTCCACTAAAATCATTTACACAACAGCACAGTGTCTTGCCACACAGGGAGTCTTTAAATGTCTTGGTGTTCCTGGGCCCCTTCCTAAGCAAGCCACCTCCCCGTACTGTGACTCCCTCAATACCTACTGGGTACCCACCCCCACCCATCCATCCACACACCCATCATCCATCTGGGGGGAAATGGGGGTGCAAGGGGGGAAGGAGAGAATGGGAGGGAGGGTAAACCTACCCCACCCTCTCCACCTGGGGCTTTCCTGCTTTGCTTGAGCCCCACTGCAGGTACTGGACCCCATAACCCAGGACACTGGATGTCCTCACCTTGTCGGCTTCTGAGGGCTCCCGGAAGGTACAGTTCTCACCCAAGGCCTCTCCCAGGATGCTCACTAGGGAGCCGACTCCAGGCAGCTGCCCACAGGGCCCATCCAGAGAAGCACAGAGGTTGTGCACCAGGGCTGAGATGCCCAGGAAGGCGCTGGGACTGGCCCACGGTGTCTGGAGCAGTGGCTGGGGACAGAAACCAGTTCCCACCCTGAGAAGGTGATCAGCACCCTTCACAGGCCTCACCATGGCCACACACCCACTCACCTGGGCACTTCCAAACAATGCAGAGCCGAGTCCCCCACTCAACTGGGGACAGGGATGTTTGGGAATGTCTGGAGATACTTTGATGTCACACGTGGAGAGGGGGAGGGCCACTACTGGCCAGGCTCGCTGCTAAACATCCGCTAACACACAGGACAGTCCCCTCTCCCCAAATAATTATCCAACCCCAAATGTTGACAATGCAGGGCTAGGTGACCAGTGTTCTGGCCTCTGGGCAGGGTCTGATGCTTTGTCCAGGGTTCCCTACCACGTTCCACTTGGTGTCTGCCTCCCAGGACACGTGGGATGTGCAAGAGACAAAACCTACATCCTCTCTTTGCCATCAACTCACAAAGCAAGCTCGTGCCGGCCTGCTCGCCTCCCATCTGCGAAGGCACGCAAGGGAGAAGCCATCTCTTCTGGGACCAGGGGAGGCTCAAGATGCTATCCTCTCTCTGTGCACAGCAGGGACACGGAACCCAGGAGAGCTGGGCCACACCTCCAGGCCCTGCCACCGGCGACAGCCAGTGTCCTTTAAACAGCATCACCCGCTTCCAGGTGTAGGATGAGAGGGGGCTGGAGACAGCTCCCAGGCCACCGTGCCGATACTTGTCATTCCCCCCTGGGACCGCCCTGAATATCAATAACCTCAAGAACGCAGATGGAGTGTGACAGCTAGATCAGTAGAGAGCAGTGAGTTCACCACTGTCCTTGTTTTTAAGACCGTTTGTCTACTTAGAACTTCAATCATTTAATTTTTGAAATGGCTGCATTTAACCCTCAGCTTACAAATCCAGTGAGGATCCTGTGATGGGCCCCTTCAGAGGAACATCATGACCTTTCCTGTAGGCTAGGTGAGGTGGCTCACACCTGAAGTTCCAGACATCCGAGACTGAGGCAGGAGCATCACTTGAGGTCAGGAGTTTAAGACCAGCTTAGCCAACATGGCAAAACCCGTCTCGACTAAAAATGCAAAAATTAGCCGGGGTCAGTGGTACACCCCTGTCATCCCAGACTCAGGAGGCTAAGACAGGAGAATGCTGGAACCCAGGAGACAGGGGTTACAGTGAGCCAAGACTGTGCCACTGCACTGCAGCCTGGGCAACGAGCAAGATTCTCTCTCTCAAAAGACCCTTCCTTTTTCTCTGAGCATCTCTGTCCCGTACCCCCTCTTCCTGCCCTGCCCTGAGATGCAAGCTGGACCCCTTGGGTCTGGCTCTGGGGAACAGGAGACTGCTAGGGCCCCACCCACCCAGCCCCACCACGGTTCATCTCCCGTGGACACCATTCAGCAGCAGCCACCAGGCCCAGGCAGAGTCCTCCCAGGGTCACTCCAGCAGCCCGACAGAGTCCACCACTCAGATGCCCAGCTACTCGACCTCCAGGGCACTGAAGGCTCCAACGAAAGGAGGGCAAATAGGGGCAAACAGGAGGGGGCTCAGGACATAGCTGGCCCCTCCAGGTCCCTCAGAGAAATCAGAACAACAACTGACTTTTTGTTTTTTTGAGACAGAGTCTTGCTCCGTCATCCAGGCTGGAGCGTGTAGCGGTGCCAACTCAGCTCACAGCAACCTCCGCCTTCCGGATTCAAGCAATTCTCCTGCCTCAGCCTCCAGAGTAGCTAAGATAGATTACAGGCGTGCGCCACCATGCCTGGCTCATTTTTTTATTTTTAGGGATGGGCTAAAAAGAAAATCATGTTGGCCAGGCTGGTCTCAAACTCCTGGGCTCAAGTGATCTGCCTGTCTCAGCCTCCCAAAGTGCTAGGATTACAGGCGTGAGCCACCGCGCCTGGCCGACAAATCTTAATAAACCAACTGTACTCACTACAAGCCAGATTCTGCTGATAAGATGTCACACACATTGCCTTTCTTAATCATTTCCATTTTGCAAATGAGAAAGCCGAGACGGAAAGGGTAAGGAATTTGCCTCAGATAGCCCAGCTGTAAATGGTAGAATTGAGATTTAACCCAGAAGGGTCTGGCTCCCAGGTCCGGCATGACCCCAACACACTGCTTCTCAAAATGAAAATTCTGGGTTCACTCCTAAAATCTGGCCCTGGGGCACTGGGTGTGAACAGTGGCATCTGTGCTAGACTCACGCCACCCTAGAACAGAGAATGCTTGGCAGCTGTGGGGAAATAAAATCTCCATCCAGCTCTGTCCCTGATTTTTTTTCAAAGATGAAATCTTGCTCTTGTCACCCAGGCTGGAATACAGTAGCACAATCTCAGTTCACTGCAACCTCTATCTCCTGGGTTCAAGAGATGCTCCTGTCTCAGCCTCCTGAGTAGCTGGGATTACAGGCACCTGCCACCACGCCCAGCTAATTCTTGTATCTTTAGCGGAAACAGGCTTTCACCACGTTGGCCAGGCTGGTCTCGGACTCCTGACCTCGGGTGATCCCCTCGCCTCCCAAAGTGCTAGAATTTCAGGTGTGAGCCACCACGCCCGGCCTGCCCAGCTCTGTTCTTTCCTTGGCTTCGTGAATCTTCACCAGGTCTGCATGACTATGCTAGTGTGAACACACCGTATGAGAGTGTGAACATGAGCATCTGTGTGTGTGCATGTGGGCGTGTGCTGTGGAATCCCAGCGCTTGTGGGTGTGTATGTTCCCATGCAGGGGTGCAGGTGTCTCCATGCACTGGAGAACCCTAGAACGCGTGTTTCCTGGTGGAGACCTGTGCACACAAGTCCCCCACACGGGCATCTCATGTGTGTCCTGGTGGGTGTGTGCACACGCCCACATGTCCAGGTATGTGTGTGTATCCTGTGTGCCCACACCCAGCCCAGTGTATCATGGTGTGCCCATGCATGTGTCCAGGTGTAGGTGGCTGTCTTCACATGTCCCATTATGTGAGTGTCCTGCTGTGTGTACGTACACATCCCGCCAGGTGTTCACGTGTGCACACATAAGGGCGTGGATCTACACCTCCAGGTATCAGTCTTGGTGTGTATGCCTCAATGTGTGTGTGTGTGTGTGTGTGTGTGTGTGTGTGCGTGCACACGCACGTGTGTGTGTTGACAGGTCTATGGTATGGGTGTGTGTTCCTACAGTCCCCCATGTGGATGTCCTGGGAGAGTCTGCCTTGGTGCGAGCCTGGATCAGAGTGTGAATCTGTGTGTGTACATATGATGCGGCATGTGTGTGCATGACCCTGTGTGTCTGTGTGTGCAGGTCTGTGTGTGGACACATAATCCAGCATGTGTGTGTATGTCCGTGTCTGTGTCCATGTGCCTCAGTGTGAGCCTCCATCAGTGTGTGGGGGGGTCTGTGTGTGTACACATGATTCAGCATGTTTCTGCATGTCCCTATGTGTCTGTGTGTCCCTGTGCCCCGGTGTGAGCCCGCATCACTATGTGTGGGTCTGTGTGGGTACAGATATTCCAGCATATGTATGTCCCTCCATGTTTGTGTGTCCCTGTGCCTCGGTGTGAGCCTTCATCAGTGTATGTGGGTCTGTTTACACACGATCCAGCATGTGTGTGCATGGCCCTGTGTGTTTCTGTCCCTGTGACTTGGTGTGAGCCTGTGTGTCTGTGTGTGGATCTGTGCATGTACACATGACCCAATGTGCGTGTGCACATCCCAGTGCCTCAGTGAGTGCCTGCTTCAGTGTGTGGGAGTCATATCCTGTGTGTACACATGTGCTTAGGATGCATGTGTGGGAGTCACGGCGTGTGCATCTCACTACGTTTTCCTTGTGAAAGGATAGGAGTGTGTGTAGCCTGGAAAAAGCACATTCAATGTTTCCCTGTATTTGGGAAAAGAAAACAAAGCTGTTTTCCTAACACAGAGCAGGGCAAGTGGGCTTGGCTGGGAGGGCAGGGGTTATAAAAAGACTGAGACAGGCTGGGGCACGTGGGAGGGGCCGCCTGCTGGAGGTTCCCGCCTCTGCCTGCTGTGCCCAAGAAAGGTGGCGGGGGCGCAGACAGGGCAGGCTCAGGCCTGTCCCAGACCAAAGCTGGAGCCAGAAGCTTGGTCAGGCCCTGCAGGGCTGCGAGGCAGGCTGGTGCCACTTGGCTGGCAGAGAGCCCAGATCTGCGAGCCACTTCCAGTGGCCCCACCAGGACGGCTGGGCCAGCATGATGCCTGGGTGCTGACAGCAAGCCCGGCAGTAATGACCCAGTTGGTTCTGTGTACAGCTGCCCTGGGGATGCACCCAGAATGGCCAGCCTTCCCCGTTTTCACAAAAACCAGAGAGCACATCGCAGAAAGAAGAATGGACAATTTTGAAAAGGAAAAATACATTTTAAAAGAGGAATAAAAAGGGAGGGAGGAGAAAAAAGCCCATCTTAATGCAAAAATCTCTAACTTAAAAAGACTGACTTACAGTTAAAAGTCTGTTTAAAATATTCACTTAATTTATTTATTTATTTATTTATTTTTTTGAGACGAAGTCTTGCTCTGTACATGATAGCTGACTGTAACCTCCACCTCCTGGGTTCAAGCAATTTTCTGCCTCAGCCTCCCAAGTAGCTGGGATTACAGGCACCTGCCACCATGCCCAGCTAATTTTTGTTTTTTTGTAGAGATGGGGTTTTATCGTGTTAGGCTGGTCTCAAACTCCTGACCTCGTGATCCACCTGCCTCAGTCTCCCAAAGTGCTGAGATTACAGACATGAACCACTGAGCCCGGCTCTTTTTTTTTTGAGACGGAGTTTCGCTCTTGTTACCCAGGTTGGAGTGCAATGGCGCGATCTCGGCTCACCGCAACCTCCGCCTCCTGGGTTCAGGCAATTCTCCTGCCTCAGCCTCCTGAGTAGCTGGGATTACAGGCATGCGCCACCATGCCCAGCTAATGTTTCGTATTTTTAGTAGAGACGGGGTTTCACCATGTTGACCAGGATGGTCTCGATCTCTCGACCTCGTGATCCACCCGCCTCGGCCTCCCAAAGTGCTGGGATTACAGGCTTGAGCCACCGCGCCCGGCCTCTTTTTCATTTTTAAAGGTGGAAAAATAAAATTATCCTCAAACCCGTGACACTTATTGAACCGATTTCACCTTTCCAACAGGATTCTAAAGCTCAGACATCATACCCCAAACCAGCCCTCCCCGAAAAGGTAAGAAAACATCTGGGGAAAGAAAATACAGGAAGCGTTGGGACCTGGGAGAGATGAAGCACCAGCTGGAAAGCATCAGGAAGCTGGACTTCATCAACATGAACCGCTTTTGTTCATCAAAAGACACCATTAAGAAGCCTGGGCACAGTGGCTCATGCCTATAATCCCAACACTTTGGGAGGCTGAGGCAGGCAGATCACATGAGGTCGGTAGTTCGAAACCAGCTTAGCCGACGTGGTAAAACCTGGTCTCCACTAAAAATACAACAATTATCCGGGTGTGGTGGCATGCACCTGTAATCCCAGCTATGGGGGAGGCTGAGGCAGGGAGACTCGCTTGAACCCAGGGTGTGGAGGTTGCAGTAAGCCAAGATTGCGCCATTGTACTCCAGCCTGGGCAAAAGAGACTCAGTCTCATAAATAAATAAATGTATTCTGAAATAAAAAGTTCATTTAAATACTCTGTCTTTCTCTGCTTGCCCCTCACTCCCCACTCCCCCTCCCCTCCACCTTCTCTTCCCAGGCTGCGTGAAGACAGCCCACATCCCCAGAACCTGCCACAGCTCAGGCAGAGCCTGAGGAAATCCCTTGGGGAAACTGCCCTACCTCTTTGGGCCTCAGTTTTCTCAACTGCAAAATGGGGTTGATAAGAGCACCTCTTCCAGTAAGAACATCTCAATTAAACAAGACCTGCATGTATCGGTAGAAATTACTGACCTCATCTCACACAGATTTCCTCATCTCTAGACTCATTAAATATGTGTGTTTATAATAATAGTGGCAGCTGTAATTTCAAGTGCTCAGATTTCGTGCCCGACACCAGGAGAACCACTTCACACACAGCATTTCATTCCTCACTACGAGGCCAGCATGGAGGTACTACTTCCATCCTCCTTTTAGAGATTAGAAAACAGCCAGGCATGGCGGCCCATGTCTGTAATCCCAGCACTTTGGGAGGCTGAGGGCGGATCACTTGAGGTCAGAAGTTCGAGACCAGCCTGGCCAAGAATGCCGTCCCTACTGAAAAAAGAATTAGCTGGACGTGGTGGTGGGCACCTGTAGTCCCAGCTACACTGGAGGCTGAGGCAGGAGAATCACTTGAACCTGGGAGGCAGAGGTTGCAGTGAGCCGAGATTGTCCCATTGCACTCCAGCCTGGGTGACAGAGCAAGACCCCATCTCAAAAAAAAAGAGACAGAGAGATCAGAACAGGCTCAGAAAGGTTAAGTCACTTGCCTGGGATCACACAGGTGGGAGGCACACTGCTGACACTTGAACCTGGATCTCTCTGATACCAAAGGTGCCCTTGAACCTGCCGCAGTAGCCCAGGAGGATTAGTGGTCTGGCCCCCTTCGCTGATTCCATGAGGGGCTAACACAAAAGAATTGATCACCCCCACCCCTACCCAGTGTCTACCAGCAGCCAAGCCAGGCAGGGAGGACACGGCGGTGCGGGAGGGGTGCAGAGACTCACCAGCAGCACGTGGACCATGGCATCTGTGGGCTGTGGGAAGAAGGCCAGTGATGAAAGCCACGCCTCCGCCTCGTCTGGCTCCACCTCCCCGGATACGATGAGTTCCTTCATGAGGCCCACGCAGTGCTCCGTCCCACAGGAGCGCAGTGCATCCAGCAGCGGCTGCCTGAGATCATCAAGGTGACCCACCTGTGCTGAGCACCTACAAGCCTCATCTCACCAAAGTCACCCCAGGGTAAACTGAGGCTTAGGGAGGTACGGTACAGACATGCCCACCCTTATACACCTTGAGAGGAGATGATCTGGGTCTGGGGCCCCGCAGCCTGGCGGGGGCCTGTCCTCTTGGGACCACAGCGCCCAGTACAGGCCCTGGCAGCCCTACCCACCCAGGAAACAGTGGTTTGGAAAAACACAAGTTCCCCACCCGGTGCTCTGCTGAATCCCAAGTGGAAGAGGAACCAACAGTCAGCCAACAGTCTATAATTTCAAAGTAGAATACTCAGCACAACATCAGGACATTTCTTTCTGTTTGTTTAGGAGACAGGGTCTCACTCTGTCACCCTGGGTGCAGTGCAGTGGTGCAATCACAGCTCGCTGCAGCCTCCACCTCCTGGGCTCAAGTGATCCTCTCACTTCAGCCTCCCAAGGAGCTGGGACCACGGGTGTGTGCCACCACATCTGGCTAACGTTTTCATTTTTTGTCGACATGGGGCCACTGCTACGTTGCCCAGGCTGGTCTCAAACTCCACAGCATAGGAGTTAGTGCCTCAGAAATTTCCCTCTGAGACTGGGAGTCTCATTACCCCCCTTACTGGTCCCAGATCAGGAAGGACTAGGTGGTGGAATCCCAGCCCTGCCCAGCACCCCCCAAGCTGACTCTCCGACCCGCCCCCCGCAGGAGGGTACCCTAGGCGCATTGGAATGCTAATTCCAGCAAGAGGGTCCCCGTCTGGGGAAGGGAACAATGGCGGTCTTTATGCGCCAGGCCCTTCAGCTTCTGGTCCCAGGCAGGATCCAGCTTGGGCCCCGTGGGAACCTCCAGGCTCCCCACTTAATCTCCTTCTTGGCGCACATTCTTGGACGGAAGGGCAAGTCAGTGTCGTGTCTCGGGGATGAGATAAGACATCAGCATCCACCCCTCAGCACTAAGACTCCCTATAAGCCAGGGACACCCCCAGCCAGCTCCCGGTCCACCCCCGACCCGGAGAGGGGCCTTACGCATTGTCTCGGCATTTGAAGGAAGAATGTCGCCAGACTTCCATCAGTTCACCCCCAGAAAGGCCCTGGAGCTGGGACACCAGTGTCAGGAACAAGTCCATAGCCTAGGATTCAGAGGGCGCAGCATGAGACACCCAGCAGTGCAGGGGATCCCCAAAGGTCACCTCACCTGTCCCCTGCTTGTGAGCACAACTGTGGGGAAAGTGGGGAGGACCCGCTACCTTGTCCCGAGGTGCCCTGATACCCAGCGAAATGAAGCTCCAGGTCCGTCTTCTCCCCCACTGCACCCCCAGCCCCTACAAGCACACAGGCTGGTTCACTTTTCTTTAATTTAGCAGGTATTTATTGAGCATCTACTATGTGCCTTGCATTGCACTCAGGATATGGCAGTGGAACAATAGACATATTGTCAGAATCTGTGGCAGCTAATCAAAGCCCAGTGAATGTTCACTATGATTGTAATCTAATCGTTCTCATGAGTCTATTTCAAATATTTAGCAAGGTGGCCAGCTTTTCCTATATAATATACTTTTTTTTTTTTTTTTTAACAGACAGGGTTGTCCCCATCTCCCAGGATGGAGTGCAGAAGCACAATCACTTCTCACTGCAGCCTCACACACCTGTGCTCAAACGAGCCTCCCACCTCAGCCTCCCATGTAGCTGGGAATACAGGCACACATCACCACACTCAGTTAATTTCTTTGTATTTCTCATAGCGATGAGGTTTCCCCATGTTGCCCAGGCTGGTCTCAAACTCCTGGGCTCAAGTGATCCTCCCACCTCAGCCCCTACAAGTGCTGGGATGACAGGCGTGAGCCACTGTACTCCACCTTTTTCGCTATTTCTAATGAAAAAAGAATTTGTTTTCTACAATTATTACCAGTGACAGCTAATAAAGGGCATTATGGGGGTTGCAGAAGGCCCAAAAATTCATAAGAAATAAAGAACTCAGAGCAGCCCCCGGGTTTAGGAGACGTTTGGTTTGGGAAACTTCCCTCCTGGTACCCCTGTAGTCTCAGGCTCACCATATTGACCTAAACCCAAAGCCACAGAAAGAGCGACAAGGTAAGAGCCAGGCCAAGTCAGGTGCCAGCTTCCTGCAGGGAAGCCCCCATGTTTCCCCAGGCTTGTCTAGGGCCAGGCTGTAGCCCTCAGCCACCAGGGGTCCTCCAAGGCTGGGACCCGCTTCCCTGACCCTGGGCCTCCCTGCTGTGTGCGACAGTGCCGGAATCCCCGCATATGAAGCTTGATCTCAGCAAGACGCAGACTGCAAAACAGGCCCTCACTGGTCACTCAGCCCACCTGCCAACATGTCTGCCCGCCAGAGTCCAGGCAGCCTTCCCAGAATATGCCTTGTGCAGGCAGAGCCAGTGGCTACCCTCAGCTCCACCTTTCCTTCTTCCGACACGACCCACAAGCCAGCCCCTGCTGCAGGCTGACTGCCACCATCTGGCCCTGACCACTGGTGGCCTCAAAGACTCTCTTGCCCAGTGAGGGGCAGCTATCCAAAAAAATTTCAGTTCCAGGCCTGCTTCCTTCCTTCCTAATGGGCTTGGCTACATGTCTCTCTGGCCCGTGGCTGCCTTTCCCTGACTGCCCTTGGCACCCTGGGCTCAGAACACATGTGCAGAAGGACACCAGGAGATGGTACCTGCCCAGGACCACTCCCCCTGCTCTGGGCATGCCTCTGGCCCCAACTGTTACCCTGAGAATGAGCCTTTCAGAGCCAGGCACAACAGAAGGGCTCATGAGTGGCTCATCCTGCTTTCCGTCCATTTGTGGAAAAAGAAATTCAAAAGCAGGAAAGCGAGCAGACCTAGGCAGGCTATGGATGGAGAAAAAGGGCTCAAAGCTTCTGCCTAGAAATCGAGTCCGGGGCCAGGCACAGCAGCTCACGCCTGAATCCCAGCACTTTCGGAGGCCAAGGTGGGTGGATCACTTGAGGTCAGGAGTTCGAGGCCAGCTTGGCCAACACGGTGAATCCCTGTCTCTACCAAAAATACAAAAATTAGCCAGGCATGGTGTTACATGCCTTAATCCCAGCTGTTCAGGAGGCTGAGGCAAGAGAATCACTTGAACCAGGAGGTGGAGGCTGCAGTGAGCCAAGATCACACCACAGCACTCTAGCCTAAGCAAGAGAAAGATTCCACCTCAAAATGGAGGGAAAACAGACAGACAGATATTTAGGTCAGTAAAAAATCTGCCACCCCTATCACCGCCAATAACAGACAATGCTAATAATAAGGCTGGGTGCAGTGGCTCACGCCTGTCATGCAAGCACTTTGGGAGGTCAAGGCAGGCAGATCACCTGAGGTTAGGAGTTTGAGACCAGCTGGCAACATGATGAAACCTCGTCTCTACCAAATATACGAAATTAGCTAGGTGTGGTGGCACGAACGCGTAATTCCAGCTGTTCAAGAGGCTGAGACAAGAGAATCAATTCAACCCAGGGGGCAGAGATTGCAATGGGCCAAGATCACTCACACCACTGCACTCCAGCTTGGGTGACAGAACAAGACGCTGTCTAAAAACAAAAAAAAAAAAAACAGTAGTCATTACTACACCACTAGTTACTTAGTAAGGAGGCTTTACTATGTACCAGGCACTGGTTGGTCTAAGCTCACAGAGAAGGAAAGTGACAATCAGAGTGTTTGAGTCAGATGCCAGCAGGCACATGCAACTCAGTGGCAGAGTAGAGACTTGAACCCAGGAAACCATCTCCTAAACCCACACTCTTAACCAGCATCTGACATGCAAGGGCTTAAAAAAAAAAAGTCCTGATTTGTAGCGTTTGCTGATTCGCATGGTGTAAATACGGCGACCGTGGTCAGTTTCAAGCTACCAACATACAATTGCTAAGGACAGACCTGGGAAGAAATGTGCAACCTTAGCACATGTATTTCCACCACACAGTTACAATAAACATGACTAAGCTCTAATGCAAAGACAATAGTAAACTGTAGTAAAGTAACCAGGTAGACGTGGTTTGGAGTACTTCATACCTTTGTTTCTAATATAACTCATTTTTTTCTTTTTTTCGGAGAAGAGTCTCACTCTGTCACTGAGGTTGGAGTGCAGTGGTATGATCACAGCTCACTGTAGCCTCAACTTCCCGGGCTCAAGCCATCCTCCCATCAGCTTCTCAAGTAGCTAGGACCACTGGCATGTACCACCATGCGTGGCTGGTTTTATGTAGAAATGGGCTCTCCCCATGTTACCAAGGCGGGTGTCAAACCCCTGGGGTCGAGCGATCATCCCACCTCAGCCTCCCGAAGTGCTGAGATTACAGGCATAAGCCAGGGTGCCCGGCCTATTTACTTATTGATAAATATTAAATGCACATAATTTCAGGGTACCTGTGGAATAATTTGATATATTTGTCTAATCAAATCAGGAATAATTACAGTATCAACTTAACTGTTTGTCTTTTCTTTACGCTAGAAACATTCAAATTATTCTCTTCCAGTCATTTTTTTTTTTTTTTTTTGAGTTGGAGTTTTCACTCTTGTTGCCCAGACTCAAGTGCAATGGTACAACCTCAGCTCACCGCAACCTCCACCTCCTCGGTTCAAGCCATTCTCTTACCTCAGCCTCCAAAATAGCTGGGATTACAGGCATGTGACACCACGCCCGGCTAATTTTGTATTTTTTGTAGAGATGGGGTTCCTCCGTGTTGGCCAGGCTGGTCTCGAACTCCTGGCCTCAAGCCATCTGCCCACCTTGGCTTTCCAAAGGACTGGGATTACAGGCCTGAGCCACTACACCCAGCCCTGGCTATTTTTAAACGTAGGATTAATGTTAATTATAGTGACCCTAAGAATCTATCGAGTATCAGGGTCCGATTTCTTCTACTCAAGTGTGTATTTGTACCCATTAGTCAGCTACGTTAATACAACTTAATTTTTTTTTTGAGATGGAGTCTCATTCTCGTCGCTCAGGCTAGAGTGTAGTGGAACGATGTCAGCTTGTTGCAATGTCCACCTCCTGGGTTCAAGCGATTCCCCTCCATCAGTCTCCCAAGTAGCTGGGATTATAGTCAGCCGGCTAATTTTTGTATTTTTAGTAGAGATCGGTTTTACCACGTTGGCCAGGCTGGTCTCAAACTCCTGATCTCAGGTGATCTACCCACCTCAGCCTCCCAAAGTGCTGGGATTTCAGGCATGAGCCACCACGCCCCGCCACAACTTAACGTTTAAAACAGCAGTGCTTAACACCAGCCTGCAGGGCACCTGGCCATCTCCTCACCCGCTCTTGTGAGCCAGTAAGAGCCAGGCCTGTTTCACCACTGTCTACGCTGTCTCTTGACTGCACAGTCAGCCCTTAGTAAACACACCTTTAACTCACCTCCCTGTTCTCAGAACACCCAAGATAGGTGATGAGCCACGCCCTCTCCCAGGCGTCCTTCCTGGCAGCCCGGGAAAGGTGGCCCCGCGGGCTCCCTCTCTGTCCCCTCCCACCCACAATGCCCCCTTGCTTCCTCCTCCTTTGTTCCTTAAGGAAGCTCGTAGCCATCCCACCCACTGCCGCCAGCTTTGGAAACTCAGGGCCTCTGCGAAGGGCCCAGCTGGGGGTTTGCTTTCTATTGCGCGCCGAGTACTGGTTTTGTTTCCAGACTGAAAAACAAACCTTGTCTCCTGGCCACCATCAATGGGGAGGGGCAAAGGCATTTCAAGCCGAAGCTCATGAGGTCTATCCCCCTGGCAACCCAGGCAGACCCTCAGCCCTCCCAGGAGCTGCTTGGCGTACACTGATGGGTCCCTGCAAAAACATTTCCAGCAACAGGGTCCTCAGCACTTCGCCCTTCAGCCCAGGGGACCTCCCCAGTGGCAGTAACTTTCTTTTCAGTGCTCTAAGTAAGACAGCCGCACAGTGCTCTCTCTGGCTAGCACCATCAGGGTCCCAATGTGGAGACCCAGGCCCACAGTGAAACTTGCCCTGAGCCACCCCTGCCAGGGGAGATGTCCAGGCAGTGGTCAGGATGCTTTCGGGGCCAAAGGATGCAGGCCTGTCTTCCCATCAAGCCATGAAGTTCAGTGGTGCAATGGTTAGAGCACAGGCCAGAGAGCAGCAGTCCCCTACTGGGGACAACTGTGCTCCCTAGGGACATCTGGTTGTCATGGACTGCAGGTGGGGATGATGCTGGCATCTGTGGGAAGAGGCCAGAGATACTGCTAAACATCATACATTGCACATGACAGCCTCCTCCTCACGCCCCACAAAGCACCACCCAGCCCTCGGTGTCCACAGCACCCAGGGTGAAAAACCCTGCTTTGGGCCAGGCTGCCGGGGATAACAGCCCAGCTCTCACTTACTAGCAAGGTGGTTTTAAGCACATTTCCTACACTCTTCAAGCTTCAGTCTCCTCACTTGTAAAATGGACGCAACGATAAAATTTTCACTGAGATGATTAAATTAGATTATGCAGGTGAGGTCCAGGAGCTTATTGTCTGAGCATACACTAAGCGCTCAATAAAACTGTAAAGCCTTGGCGGAGCATGGTGGCTCAGGCCTGTAAACTCAACACCTTGGGAAGCTGAGGTGGGAGGATCATTTGTGTCCAGAAGTTCAAGATCAGCCTGGGCAACATGGTGAAACCCTGACTCACCCAAAAACGCAAGAATTAGCCAGGTGTGGTGGCATGCACCTGTAGTCCCAGCTACTGTGGAGGCTGAGGCGGGAGGATCACTTGAGCCGGGGAGGTCAAGGCTGCAGTGAGCCATGACTGCACCACTATACTAGCCTGAACAACAGAGTGAGACTCTGTCTTAAAAAAAAAAAAAAAAGAAAAACTGTAGGACATTGAATGGAGGCCCCCAAAAAGATATGTCCATGTCCCAAGCCCTAGACCTTGTAAATTTCCTTTATTTACAAAAACAATCTTTGCAGATGTAATTAAGTTAAGGATCTCGAGATACGATCATCCTCGATTATCTGGATGAGTCTTCAATCCAATGACACATCACTTTCCTTCCCCAGGGACGGTGCCACATTAAACCATCTCTCTCATGCTTTCCATCTTTTATGTGGATTCAAGGCTCTCTCTCAAAACAAGCCAGGTGGGGAGGAGAACTTGAGTCATCAGAACGCGGCCGCAGGGTCTCGGACACTTGATGATCACCGATGAAGGAACTGCCCTTAACTCTCAAAGCCACAGCCACCTCTTGACTTGAAACAGCTGGGAGTTTTGGAGAAGGCCTTGGCCATGTGTTTTTCTTTTTCTTTTTTTTTTTTTTTTTGAGGCAGAGTTTCACTCTTGTTGCCCAGGCTGGAGTGCAATGGTGCAATCTCAGCTCACTGCGACCTCCGCCACCCAGGTTCAAGCAATTCTCCTACCTCAGCCTCCCCAGTAGCTGGCATTACAGTCATGCGCCATCACAGCCAGCTAATTTTTTGTATTTTTAGTAGAGACGGGGTTTCACCACATTGGCCAGGCTGACCTCAGGTGATCTACCAGCCTCCGCCTCCCAAAGCGCTGGGATTACAGGTGTGAGCCATCACGCCCCACTGTTTCTAACTTTGTTGTGGGAAATCCTCAGTGCTAAGACTCATATGTGACTAGGCCTGGGAGGTTAGATTGTGAATCAACAGGACTGCTGTTTGCTCCTAGACAGACAGAGGAGAAAAGGCTTCCCCTCTGCTCACATCCAACCTGGAGCAGGACACTGGCTTGGCACACACCGTTCTGATTTCCTTGCTTCTGCAACCAGGCAAAGTTGTGCAGTGCACAGCCTACACCCATACCTGACAGCCCGGATACTAAATATCTGAGAGGATGGGCCAGGATGTGGCCAAGAAAAAGGTGTCCTAGGAACTCAGGGCCAGGAAAGACTCTGGCCTGGGGCTGCAGAAGCCACTTACCTCCAAGCTGGTTGTCTGAGCCAGGCATAGCCTCCTCACTGAATTGTCTACAGCAGCCACCAGGGCCTGGGATGGAGTCTCCTCCCACTCATATAGCAGGCCGCTTGGGGTCATGTCTTCATCGCCGCCATCATCTGGATCTGGGATGGGAAGAGGTGGATGGGATGACCACATGGGGAAACCCCAGAGTGAGCTAGGAAGTCCTCTGGGAGTTGCCCCCACCCCGGCCAGTGCTTCCTTCAGCATGTTTCAGGTGACAGGTAAGAGCAGGCGTCCCCAAACTACGGCCCGCGGGCCGCGTGCGGCCCCCTGAGGCCATTTATCCTGCCCCCCACCCCCGCACTTCAGGAAGGGGCACCTCTTTCATTGGTGGTCAGTGAGAGGAGCACAGTATGTGGCGGCCCTCCAACGGCCTGAGGGACAGTGAACCGGCCCCCTGTGTAAAAAGTTTGGGGACGCCTGGGTAAGAGGGTGTCTAGGAGGGAAATCATGGCAGCGTCACTGCAAACAGCCTCAAATGAGAAGCAACCCGTGTCCCCACCAGCGGGGGATGGGCACATAAACCACAGCCCACTCACACCAGGGAACACTGAGTACCCTTTAACAGAAATAGGTCAGCAGGACACGCCCTGCCTTCAAAAAACCTCCAAGCCATCGAGGGACCAAAGCAAGGTGCAGAACAGTGTATGGGGCAAGAATAACAACAGGCCAGGCACGGTGGCTGAAGCCTGTGACCCCAGCACTTCGGGAGGCCAAAGTGGGCAGGTCACCTGAGATCGGGAGTTCAAGACCAGCCTGACCAACATGGAGAAACTCTTTCTATGCTAAAAATACAAAAAATTAGCTAGGCATGATGGCGCATGCCTGTCATCCAAATACACAGGAGGCTGAGGCAGGAGAATCGCATTGCACTCCAGCCTGGGCAACAAGAGTGAAATTCCATTTCAAAAAAATAAAACAGACTACTCTCTGCCAGGCACAGAGTCTCACACCTGTAATCCCAGCACTTTGAGAGGCCAAGGTGGGTGCATCACCTGACATCAAGAGTTCAAGACCAGCCTGGCCAGCATGGTAAAACCCATCTCTACTAAAAACAGAAAAAATTAGCCAGGTATGGTGGCACGTGCCTGTAATCCCAGCTACATGAACCTGGGAGGTGGAGGTTGCAGTGAGCTTAGATCATACCACTGCACTCCAGCCTGGGCAACAGAAGTGAGACTGTCTCAAAAAAGAAAAAACCTAACAAAACAAAATGTAAAAGCTAGACAACGCAAAAAGACAGTCGCCAATCTATCTGTCGGTACACAGGATTTGTCTGGGAACGTATACTAGAAGCCAGGAATGGTGGCAGCCCCTGGAGAGGGTAGGTACTCGTGTGTCCTTTTGTATCATGTCACATGTCACCTTGTCAAAAAAATCTTTCTCATGCCTTCAGTCCTGTGGCTGCTTCCTAAGAAAGATGGGTTATAGCAGAAACTGCCCTCTGTTCTGCACACGGCTGTGGTGTTCAACTTTCCTGAGCCCTGCATGGACCCCCACACCCCAGACAAAGACCTACCCTCGAATCCGCAATCTACGCCTCCCTCAGCTTCCATGCTCCTTGGCAGAGGTGTGTGCCCTCTAGATGCTGTCCAATACCACCTGGCTGCCGGCAGGCCTGAGCACTCACCCTCGCAGTGTATCCAGCTTCCCACAGGTGTACACATCCACCCATCTATTCCCAAACCTCCCCTAGCCCCCAGGGAGCCTGGGACACAGAGAGGTCATTCCTGCCCCAGGGCCTTCGCACTTCCCGTTTCCTCCCTGAATGACCTTTCCCGCATCTTCCCGAAGCTGAGCTTGTCTTATCCTTCATCAAAATCATTACGTCCTCGGACAGGCCCTCTTGGCCCGCCCTGTCTAAGTCACTGGCTTTCATGCGGCTGTTTAATTTCATTCCTGACATGATCACTGTCTCCAGCCACCTTGACTGGGTTTTTCCCCATCTGCAGTTTCCCACTCCCAGGCGGGTGGCAGCCTCAGGGTGACGGGGATGGAGTTGACCATGATCACAGCCCTGTCCCCAGAGCCCTGGCAGTGCTTAGCACATAACAGGTGCTCAGACAAGCATGAATGAAAACTCCTGGGCCGGGAGTGGTGGCTCATGCCTGTAATCCCAGCACTTTGGGAGGCTGGGGTGGGCAGATCACCTGAGGTCAGAAGTTCGAGACCAGCATGGCCAACATGGAGAAACTCTGTCTCTAATAAAAATACAACATTAGCCGGGTGTGGTGGCACACACCTGTCATCCCAGCTACTCGAGAGGCTGAGGCAGGATAATCACTTGAACCTGGGAGGCGGAGGTTGATCGAGGCACTGCACTCCAGCCTGGGCAACTCCATCTCAACCACCACCACCACCACCACCACCACCACCGCACCACCACCACCACTCCTGATGACCTGCCAAGGATCTGCAGACCTGGAGAGAATTCTCCCACAACAGCTGGGAACCAGAGGACTCTCCCTGGAACAATTACCCAGGGAGAAGGACAGGGCCACACCAGGGCCACCTGAGCCCAGCACAGAATTTCACGGAGGAATAAAGGCTCATTTCCAAGTGTGTCTTTGGGATCAGGCCTTAAAGAATGGGGCCAGGAGGATGTGAACTAGTGCCCACAAAGGCCATGTGCCAGGTGCTTAAAGGCAATGAAGGGGTCTCACTCTGTCACCCAGGCTGGAACAGGGACACAATCACGGCTCACTGCAGCCTTGACCTCCGGGACTCGGGTGATCCTCCCACTTCAGATCCTCAAGCAGCTGGGATTACAGACACACACCACCATGCCCGGCTCTTTTTTTTATAGTTTTCATAGTGATAGAGTTTCACCATGTTGTCAGACTTGAACTCCTAGGCTCAAGCAATCTGCTCACCTTGGCCTCCTAAGGAACTGGCATTACAGGCTGGAGCCACAGTGGCCAGCTGACCATTTTCTATAACTTTCTCCATTATCTATGGGGTAAGTGGTGACCTACCCATATATTTACAGCTAAGGAAACTAAGGCACAGAGAGATGCTATCAGCCCAAGTCACACAAGAGTCAGAACCTGAATCCAGTTGACTCCAGAAGCTTCCTGGAAATGACAATGGAAATATGGAAAAAACTCATCCATACAATGGGGTATTATTCAGCAAGGAAAAAGAAATTTCAATTCATGCCATGACATGCATGAACCTTAAACATTGTGCCGAGTGAAGAAGTCACGCACAAAAGGGCACACTTTATGACCCATTTATATGAAATTCCACAATAGGAAAATTCTTAGAGGCAGCAAGTAGGTTGCCAGGGTCTAGGGAGACGATGGTTAATGACACAAGGTTTCTTTTTAGGGTGATGACAATGTTCTAAAGCTGATTAAGGGGGAGCACAGTGGCTCACACCTGTGATCCCAGCAGTTTGGGAGGCCACAGCTGGAAGATCACTTGAAGCCAGGACTCTGAGACCAGCCTGGGCAACACAGTGAGACCCGTTTCTATAAAAAATTTAATTAGCCAGGCATGGTGGCGCACAGGTGTACCGGGAGGCTCAGGCCGGAAGAATCCTTTAAGCCCAGAAGGTCAAGGCACCACTGCATTCCAGCCTGGGTGACAGTGCAAGACTGTCACTTAAAAAAATTGAGTTGATGTTTTCTGTAAACATGGAAAAAGAAAAAAGTTCAAGGCTGGGCACAGTGGCTCACGCCTATAATCCCGGCACTTTGGGAGGCTGAGGCAGGCAGGTCACCTGAGGTCAGGAGTTAGAGACCAGCCTGGTGGTGAAACACTGTGACTACTAAAAATACAAAATTAGCTGGGTGTGCTGGCACATGCCTGTAATCCCAGCTACTCAGGAGGCTGAGACAGGAGCATCACTTGCACCCAGGAGGAGGTGGTTACAGTGAGCTGAGCTCAAGCCACTGCACTCGAGCCCGGGTGACAGAGCCAGACTTCATCTCTAAATAATAGTAACAGTAACAACAAAAACAGGGCCTGGCACGGTGGCTCACGCCTGTAATCCCAGCACTTCAGGAGGCCGAGGCGGGAGGATTGTTTGAGCCCAGGAGTTCGTGACCAGCCTGGACAACACAGTGAAACCCCACCTCTCCAAAAAACAAACAAACAACAACAACAACAAAAAACAATTAGTCAGGCATGGTATAGTCCCAGTTACTTGGGGGTTGAAGTGGGAGGATCACCTGAGCCTGGGGAGGTTGAGGCTGCAGTGAGCCATAATCAGACCACTGCCCTCCTCCCTGGGCAACAGAACAAAATTGTGCCTCCAAAAGAAAATTAAATTTTTTTTAATTTATTTTTTGAGATGGCGTTTACTCTATCGTCCAGGCTGGAGTTCAGTGGTATGATCTTGGCTCACTGCAACCTCTGCTTCCTGGATTCAAGTGATTCTCCTGCGTCAACCTCCCAAATAAATGGAAATACACGTGCCCACAACCATTCTTGGCTAATTTTTGCATTTTTAGTAGACAAGGTTTTGCCATGTTAGCCAGGCTAGTCTCGAACTCCTGATCTTAAGTTATCCACCCAACTCAGGTTCCCGAAGTGCTGGAATTATAGGCGTGAGCCTCTGCACCTGGACAGAATTTTTCTTTAAATTTAACTAGTGACAATACCTTCTAATGGGGTTTTGATGAGAATGAAATACACAAAGTGCTCAGCATGGCCACTGGCCCATAATCCTTCCAAAAATCCCAGCAGTAAGAATAACCATTCTTATTTCATTATTAAGGAAGACAGTTGCCAAACACGGAAAAGAAATCCTCCCCCCAGATACAGGCCTCGCTTGTTTCTTTCCAAGCAAAATTGTAGGAGGGCACCGAGTCTCAGGGAATGCTATGCGTTAGCAGCAACTTGCCGGATGATCAGAACACCTGAGTCAGTTTGCCCCTGAAATGAGCAAACTCAGAGGTCACTGAATTTAGGGTTGAGAAACTGAAGACTCCATGGGAAAAAGGACTCTACCAAGTCAGAGCCATCTGATCTGAGCCTGCAGAAAGAGCCTGGAGAACCTTCTAGAAGTGGCTGACTCTCCTGGTGACGATCCTTTTCAGAAATGGCTCAGAGACATCCAGGCCGGGACAGAGGGACGGAGCCTGGACCTCCTTGGACCCCTGTGGCCAGACCACCCTCATACCACGGCCAGGGGTGGCCACCAGGGAAGCCCGAGATCACCTGTGCCCGCTGGATCTCGGGCCATCTCGTGCAGCAGGCTGAGTGAGGAGAGGGTCCGAATCTGCACAGCGCTTGCCTTCACAGACAGCGGCCCCGCGGTGTCCAGCTCTGTGCAAGAGGCCTCCTGCAGCACGCCAGCCCGGAAGCTCTGGACGCAGGTCAGACGGGAGGCCAGGCCAGGCTGCAGACCAAGAGAAGAGACAGCTCAGGCCAGATTCTAGCCAGCCACAGGACCCAGCCCTGGGACCAAGGGAGGAGGGCCGAGGGCCGCATCAGAACTGCAGGCCCTCACCCCTCTCACAGTGAGGCTGGGGAGGAGACGCGCAGGGCTGCATCCCACTGTCACCCAGCCCTGACTCGCACCAACGGCAGCCCAGACAAAGGTGACAAGGATGAGGGGAAGCAAGAAGGTCCAGCAAGTGACCAGCAAGAGAGGAATGACGGAGCCTTAGCTGGAAAACATTCCCATCAGCGGAGGCCCACCTCCACCTCTCAGATGCTGAGACTTTTCATAAGGACTCAACATGAACAGGGATCGTCTCTCAGCCTGCAGATAGATGTTTGCTATTTACAAAGCACTTGCTTCTTCAGGGAGCTGGAGACAGAGGTGGGGAGGGAGGCGTTAGGACAAGGACAGAGGGGCGGGTCACTCCCACAGCTCCAGCACTTGAGGAAGCCAAGGCAGCAGGATCGCTTGAGCTCAGGAGTTCGAGATCAGCCTGGGCAGCATAGCAAGACACCCTCTCTACCAAAAATTGAAATCAAAAAAATTAGCCAGGAGTGGTGCCTTGAGCCTGTAGCTCCAGCTACCAGAGAGGCTGCGACCGGAGGATCGCTTGAGGCGAGGAGTTGAAGGCTGCACTAGGCCACGATCACACCACTGCACTCCAGCCAGGGTGACAGGGTGGGACTCTGTCTCTAAGGAAACAGATGCATACATGTATACACGCATACAGTGGCATTTCCAGAAGGAAGGCGAAGAGGGGAGGGAAGAGGAAGGGAGGAGAGGAGGTCAAGAAAGGACCAAGAAGAGAAGGAATTGGAGGAGAGGAGGAGAAAAGGGGGAGCTGAGGAGGGAACCCCGAAAAGGGAGAGAAGAGAGGAAGAGGGCGGTCTAGGACAGCAGCTGTCAGGGGCCCCGCCCCGCCCAGCACTTACGGCCACTCCAGGCAGGGCCTGAGAATGCAGCGAGGAGCGTCCCCTGCGCAGGGAGCATCGAGCCAGGTCCTTGGTCTTGTGCAGCCAGTCCCCATGGCACTGGTATGTGGTAGGACACCGGCCCAGGATGTCCACCTGGGCGGACGTGGTGGGGGACAGGTCGGCCTTCTGTCCACCCCACCCCCGCTCCCCGCCCTTTCCCATCTCCTGGCCTCACTTCATCCAGAGTCTTGGAGCTGCAGGCCCCCGCGTGGCCCTGCAGGAGGCTCAGCACGGCACGCTTCACGTTCAGCACCCAGCGTGGCTCAGCGGGCCGGGGACACAGGCGGACCACACGCCCAGAGTGCAGGATGAAGCGGAGCGGGTTACGGCCCAGGGCAGTGCTGCAAGAGGGCAGACAGGGGTCAAGCAGGACCCTACGGTGCCCCAGGTCACCTGCTGACTGCCAGAGGCCACAGCATGCCTGCCCTCCTGCAGGCCAGCCCCCATGTGGAGCGCTGGGGAACCCCACATGGGGAACCCCACATTCCCCCCCTTTCTTCTGCAGCCGGGCTCTGGGGCAGCCAAGTTGGCTCTAAGCCACCCCAGCCTTGTCACCCCTGGGACAAAAGGACAGGTGTGTGAGACAAGGGTCAAAGAATCAAAGGCCGAGCCCCCAAGATTAGGCAATCATTCCAAAGCATCTCACTTAACCCCAAGAAGGAGTTGAAGGCGCTCTGGATGTACTACCCCAAATTATGCCACCTGGGTATACTGACTTTTTTGCAGAGTCTCACTCTGCTGCCCAGGCTGGAGTACGGTGGCGTGATCATAGCTCACTGTAGCCTCAACCTTGTGGCTTTACATGATCCTTCTGCCATGTGGCCACCATCCCCTGCTAATTTTTAAACTTTTTGTAAAGATAGGTTTCTGCTATGTTGCCCAGGCTGATGCCAAACTCCTGGGCTCAAGCAGTCTTCTAGCCTTAGTCTCCCCAAAGCGCTGGGATTACAGGCGTAAGCTGCCACACCCAGCCTCTTGTCTATTTTGAACTGAAGACTGTATTTGCTGAGAAACAGCAAATGTGGGGAGACGCTTTCTGAACTCCCCCCTCTACTGCCTTAAGACAGATCCCCCAAAAGGAACCTAATTGTCATTAATCCTCTCCAGGGAGTCTCATGACCTGGGAGAGCAGCTTTCATCCTCAGAGAGGATTCTGCAAGGTAACACCACACCCAGACAAACTTCATCCCACACTAGCACATCTCCTGTCTCTTATTTTAATATAATTTTATTTTTGAGATGGAGTCTCCTGTCTCCAGGCTGGAGTGCAATGGTATGATCTCGGCTCACTGCAACCTCCACCTCCCAGGTTCAAGCAATTCTCCTGCCTCAGCCTCCTGAGTAGCTGGGATTACAGGCATGCGCCACCATGCCCAGCTAATTTTTTTTATTTTTAGTAGAGACGATGTTTCACATGTTGGCCAGGATGGTCTTGATCTCTTGACCTCATGATCTGCCCTCCTCAGCCTCCCAAAGCGCTAGGATTACAGGCGTGAGCCCCCACGCCTGGCCTCTCCTACCTCTTCTCTTAAAGGTCCATTCCTCTTTTCTAGCAACCATCTATTCCCCTCTAACTTGTCTCCCTCCCTCCTTCCCTTCCCCTGTGAAAATTGTACATAAGCTCCCAAATTGACCATTCTGGGGGGCCTTCACTCTTTCATTCTGGAATGTCCCTGTGCATGTAAAAAATCTATCTAACCACTTCTAATGTCGATTCATTTCTAGGCACAACTACAGAACACAGGTAGGTAAAGAGATCGGTTCCCCCCACTACAGATCCCACCAGGGAGGTCAGCAGCATCCCTCCACCCACATTCCAGATGAGGAAGCACGCTCAGAGCAACACAGTGTCTAGCTCAGGGCCCCAGCTGGGATGGGAACCCAGCCAGGCTCCCGCATCACAGGCTGCAGAAACCCTGAACTGGAAGGGACTTGAGACTCTGTCATTGCTGAGACAAGGAAACGAAGTCCCGAGACAGGGGCCTTCTTGAGGGATGTCACACAGCAAGCCAGGGGAGGAGCTAGGACCAGAATTCAGCCCGATGCTCTTCCCGCCCGCCCTTTGCCTGGTATCTGCAGAGGGAAGGATGGGAAGGTGGGGGTGGGGGTGAGGGGTGGTGAAATCCTCTTCCCTGCGTGGAGCTTGGAAGGGCAAGAAAAAGATGCTCCAAGATGACGGGAAGCTGCCGAGTTTCCAAACCCTACAGGCTGGCAAGACAGAGCCCCGGGGAACAGATGTGTCACCACCTCTACTTCTGGGGGAGGGGCGTCGGGGGGCGGCAGTCACGCTCCAGCTCCAACTAGAGCCTGAGGGTCTTAAGGCAGTCCCCTGGGTCTCAGGCCTTGATAGAGAGAAATGCTAATGGCACCCACCACTCCCAGAATAGCGAGTGTCAGTCTCGCCTCCAGGAAGTGACAACCCCTGGCCCCGCTGACTTAGCATTTCTGATGAGGAGCTGGGGACAATAGTCCCCTTGGAGGAGACCCTCCCCTTGCCTTTCAGTGGGGATCTGTCTGTCCCTCAGTAGCATCCCCCATCCTGGTATCCTTAGACAAAGGCTTTATTTCTTAACAAATGAATTCGCAATAAAAATGGAAGACGAGTCTGCAGAGAAGGAGCTGTCTTCAGACTGTCGGCCCCTCAGAGCTTTGAGGCCACCGAGGCCACTGTCAGGGAGGCCTGGGAAACAAGCCACAGGGAGAATCCCAGGCTTGGCTGGGTCACAAAAGGGGAGCTTAGCTTGGGGTGGGAGAGGATGGGGGTCTCGGCAGAGCGGGGGAGGGAAGAGGCAGACGCCACAGGCCCAGCAGTCCCATGAGCTGGAGTCTTCCAGAGCACCCTCAACAATGACGCCCAGGCGGTGACTGACAAGCATGAAATCTGAACACGCTTGGGGGGACAGCCAGAACTACAGGACGTGTTCCTCCTACCAGGTAAGACACCGTGTGGAGTCACCTAAGGCTGCTACATGAAGGCACCTGCCCCCCGACAGCGGTCTCCTTTGGTGCTTGACAAAGTTAAATAAATACAGAGACTTCTTTCAACTTCAGTCCACGATGGCATCTCTTTGCTACAGAGGGGTCACCCTAACTGTTTGTCCTAATTCAGTGCACCCAGAGCTCGACAGCTGTTGAAAGACGGTAGAGGGCTCACACCTCCAGTCCCATCATGAGCAGGTCCCGGGCCCAAAGCCAAGTGTCTTACCTCAGGCTCTCCGACTCCTTCAGAAGCTCCACCTTGGACCCCAGGATGGATGTCACCTCGAAGTCTCGGAGCTGAAGCAGAAAGCATGGTGAGTTGGTGACCTCTCCCAGCACACCCCATGACCTCGCCAGCACCCCACCTACAAAGCAGGTCAAGGGCCCAGCAGGATATGTAAACCCATGTTGGGGGCAAGGCAGAGAGATCCCTCCCTGGACCAGGTACGAAGCCCAGGTGGTGAAGGCTGAATGTCTCCAGGGGTAGATCACTGAGATAGCTAAGTACCTACAGCTCCCTGCTAAACATCTGGAAAGTTCTCATTCTACCCAAAAAGACACTGGGCAGTTTGGTTGAGGGATTCATAGGACTCTACAGCATCAACAGGATTATGTTCCATCGTAGAGCAAACAAAGGCTTAGCCCATAGCAAAGACTTGGATATCCCAGCATCACCAAAGGATGGGGGCGGGGTGTGTGTGTGTATATGTTGGTTGCAAAAGGTAGACTTCCTAAAAATGCAAAATATCCTCCCTAAAAGAACCGATTTCACTGTTTAAATTTAATACAGCCAGTCACAGTGGCTCATGCCTGTAATCCCAGCACTTTGGGAGGCTGAGGCGGGTGGGTCACTTGAGGTCAGGAGTTTGAGACCAGCCTGATCAACATGGCAAAACCCCATCTCTACTAAAAACACAAAAATTAGCTGGGCATGGTTGCAGGCACCTGTAATCCCAATTACTTGGTGTTAGGTAGAAAGGGCCCATTCCCCATGCCCGGGACCCACATCCAGCGGACCGCCTCCGGAGCCCATCCCCTCTTGCCACATGGCTCTTCCTTCTTTGTTTAACCTCTACCAATCACTCCATAACACCTCACCTGTACTCCCCACCTTAGCCCGCCAAAGCTAAGCCAATCCCTGCACTCCACAATACTCCCCCTTCGCCCATGCCCAACCGCCACCAATCACTTCACAACACCTTGCCTAAACAGGCCGCCGCCTCTATAAAAACCCTCTCCGGCAGCTGCTGGGTGCAGCTCTTCCCTCTCCCGCTCGAGTTGCCCGCAAACCCCAATAAACCTGGACTCGGCTTAACAACTCCTCGCTCTCATTTGCTTTGGGAAGGGTCTCTGCGGGTCGCACACTTGGGAGGCTGAGGCAGGATAATTTCTTGAGCCAGGTGGGTGGTGGGTACAGTGAGCCACGATTGAGCTACTGCACACCAGCCTGGGAGACAGAGCAAGACTCTGTCCCCGCCACACCAAAAAAAAAAAAAAAAAAAAAAAAAAAAAAAAAAAAAAATTAATAGATTTTGGCTGGACACAGTGGCTCATACCTGTAATCCCAGCACTTTGGGAGGCTGAGGCAGGCAGATCACTTGAGGTCAGGATTCGAGACAAGCCTTGCCAACATGGTAGAACCCTGTATCTTTGTTTTGTTTTTTTTTTTTTTAAATAAAAATTTTTTTTAAAAAAACGGAATGAAGGTCTGCTACGTGCCACAATGTAGATGAACCTGGAAAATGTTATGCTAAGTAAAATAAGCCAGACACAAACAGTCACATGTTATGTGATTCTACTTCTATGAGGTACCTAAAAAACAGTCAAGTTCATAGAGACAGAAAGCAGAATAGAGGTGACCAGGGTCTGCAGGGTGGGAATGGGTACAGAGCTATTTAGGACGATGAAAAAGTTCTAGGGATGGAGGGTGGTGACGGTTGTACAACACTGTGAAAATACTTAATGGCACTGAATTATACACTTAAGATGTTGCAATGTTGTATTCTATATTATAATCACAGTCAAAAAAGAATACAAATACAAATATGCCAGACACAGAGGAAAGCATCCTGTACAATTCCATCAGAGAGAAGTTCAAAGACAGGCAAAACTCATCTGTGGTGATAGAAATAAAAAGGGCAGGCTAAGTGCAGTGGCTCATGCTTGTAATCCCCGCACTTTGGGAGGCTAAGGCAGGCAGATCACTTGAGGTCAGGAGTTCAAGACCAGCCTGGCCAACATGATAAAACCCCATCTCTACCAAAGGTAGAAAAATTAGCTGGACATGGTGGTGTGCAAATTCCAGCTACTCAGGAGGCTGATGCAGGAGAATCGCTTTAACTGGGGAGGCAGAAGTTGCACTGAGCTGAGATTGTGCCATTGCACTCTAGCCTGGGCAATAGAGTAAGACTCCATCTCAAAAAAAAAAAAAAAAAAAAAAAAAAGCAGCTGTACCTTTGGGAGAAATGACCAAGCAGAAGTATGAAGGCGGCTCTGGGGGTTCTATTTTGTTTCCTGCTCTGATGATCACTACGTAGATATTTGGTTTATGTAAATTTCTTGTTTTGAAGATTTGTGATTTTTACACTTTTTACTCTAAAAATATGTTTAATTAATTCACCTCCAAAGGGGCCAGAAACTTTCCATTTTCATCTAGAATATTGGAAACAGACCAGTTCTTTATACCCTTACCAACATTTGACATTGGCAACTTTTCTTAAATGCTTAAAGCAAACAAATGAATAAAACTGCAACAGAGCGCAATTTGCTTTGTGAGAACTGGCCCTGCAGATAAAAACAACTGCAAGCGTTTTGAAGGATGTAAAAGGATGGCAAAGACTAATAAAGCAGCAGTTTTGACATTTTGGACACTTTAAGAAATCAGAGGCAGCTCAGGACCACTCCATGAAAGACCCCATTCTATGGTCTACATGAAAATGCAACAAAAGAGTTTTGAGAAACTCTTGTTAGCAAGCCCTCCAGCCAGTACAAAAACGCATCACAATACAAGATGAGACTCCAGCGGAAACTAAAAGGCCACTTAACGGCGGGTAAGAGGATTTATCCAGGAAAAAATAGGAGGGTTATGAGAAATGGGACGAGGCAAATGGGCAAGCACTTCCACTTGCAAAAACATTGAGGAGCTTCCAGAAAATCTTAATGAAAAGAAACCTGCAACCACCAAGTGGGCCTAGTGCACAATTCTGCCTTAACCCAGGACCTACCACCACTGCACCTCAGTGTTTGCCTTTAACCTGAGCCTGTGGACCCAGGTACTGCCAGGCCAGTGTCTAGCAGAAAACAGACCAGGGCAGGCCTTCCTGGGAATAGACTTCTACCTGGTCTATTCCATTGTCCAAAGGCCTTGACTTGGTTTGACTTTGCTCACCCTTAGACCTTCAGATGTGGCTCTCAGTCCACCCCTAGGTCACAATACGTCCCCATTCTATGGCTCTTCTCACTCCAAGGAATTCCCCCAACCTGCCCTAAAAATATTCCTGCCTTAATCTCTGCTATTCCCCCAGGGGCCCTCAATGGCACCTCTTACAACCAAAATGGCACCACATTCCCACATTCCTCTCCAGGGCCCTCACTTGCCAAATGTAAGATTTCTCAGAAAGTTTCTCTGCTTCTCAAGCAAACTGGAAATTGGAGGTGAGGGGCTGTGGTTTCCTCTGGGTCCCCCCGCCCAGTGTCAACGTGACCTCCCAGTTGCCCAAAGATGCTCACCCGTAAAGCCATCTGGCATGGGCCAAGCACATCAAGGACAGCCAAGCCCTGGAGGCCAAGGCCACTCCCCTCCACCGGAACCTCCTGCAGGCTGGTGCTGGTATTGGTGGAAAAGCGATAGATATACCTGGTGCCCACATGGAGAAGGGGCCCAGCTGACCCTGGAGGGCAAAGAGAGAGAGTAATGTCACCTTGGCAATCTGCAGCCATCTGGGACCCCAACTCCACTTCCAAGCATCCTTGCTTGAACCTCTCTCTCCCTCCATCTGGGCTCTGAGCTTCCTGTCCCCAGCTTGGGGAAAGGTTGAATAGCTGCATACTCTCATAAGGGTGAAAAAGAAACTAAAGATAGTAACAGTAAGTGCTAGCCACTGTTATCATGGGCTAAGCCTTCTTCTCATATCAAGGTTTCTCGGCCTGGGCACTATTAACGTTTGGGGCCAGGGAATTCTGTTTGTGAGGGCTGTCTTGTGTGTTGTCAGGAAATTTAGCAGCATCCCTGACCTCTACCCACAAGATGCCAGTAACACAGCCCAGTTGTGACAACCAAAAATGTCTCCAGACTTTGCAAAATGTCCCCAGGGGAGGGAGGGCCACAATTACCCCAGCTGAGAAGCATTCATCTACAGTAACTCATTTAAGCCTCATAACCAACTTTGAGATGAATACTATTTTCTCTATCTTACAGAAGCAGCTGAGGCTCAGAGAGGTTAACTGACTTACACAAGGTCACAAAGCTGGGATTCCACCCTTGACAGTCTGACTCCTCACCTACCACCTTGAAGCACATCAAGCGGCATTAGGGGGCTGTTATCCTGATCTTCACAGAAGACAAAGCTGTAAAGCTGGCCAACCTTGGGGGGATCTCGGGGTGAGGAGAGTAACTGCTCTGGGGAAGAGCTCATTTAGGGAACACAGAGGTCTATAATTCTCGAGCCAAATCTCTAACCTCCTATTGTGGCCAGGGGATCAAGTGTGAAACCTAATTATGACACCTCACCCCTCCCTAGGGCTTGTGATTGAATTGACATTCTCATGTCAATTTCCTTGAGACAGAACCACACCTCATATTCCCAAGATGCTTCTCTCTTTCCAAAAAATTTCTTCCCAAGGCTTTTTTCATCGGCTCCACTCCAAAATGCAAATGGCATCACCTGGCCTAAGACATTTATTCCACCTGCGGCCCACAGGTATGAGGAAAAAGTCCGGGCCTTGGGGGCTGGGATGGCTTAAGGCCTCTTACTCTAAACTTGCCTGTCGTTTAAGTCTTTGGGTGGATTTTCCAGAACTGGACTTGGTCCTCCCAACTGGTATCTTTGGGAACATAGCCAGGGCCCTCTGCGGCTGTCTCTGATCCCATCTGACGGCTTCACCCTCGGGCCCTGTACTAGGCTCAGGCTGCAGGTCTAGGGGTGTGCTCAGCCATCCCGAGAGCATCACTCACCTGTGCATGCAGTCATGCAGGCGGCCGCCTGCCCCACCTGCGAATCTGGAATCTCTGAAATTGCAAATCAGATGGAACCAGGATGAGGCCAGAAAGACGAATAGGAGAACCCCACCCTACGGGCCACTGACCTACTCAAGGAATAAGACATTTAAGGGTGCAGGGGGGCTAATGGGATGAGAAATGATAACGCCAGCTCTCCCTAGACTTTGCAAAATGTCCCCAGGGGAGGGAGGGCCACAAAGACTGGAAGCAATTTCCCTGCCTGTCCAATTTGCTCTTCCCCATCTTGGGTACTGGCAGCATCACCCCTGATAGCTCAAGGTGGCAATCATTCATGCTGCCACACCCTCATCACCACCTGAGTCCAATGTTGGTAAGCTCTGCCAATTCCGTCACCCAATGCCGGTGTCCATTCTTCCCATCCATCAGTCCATCCACCCATCCACACTCCCATCCATCCCCCTACCTGATCCCTGCTCTATCCATCCATCCACCCCCCACATCCCCTCCTATCCACCTCCCCAACCTCCTCCTATCCATCTGCCCCCAACCCCCTATCCATCCACCCATCTACCCACCACTCCCCCATCCATCCATCCATCCATCCATCCACCCACTCCCCCTCTCATTCATCCACCAACCCACACCTCCCTGCTATCCATCCACCCACCCACCCACTCATTCACCCACTCCCCCTCCTATCCATCCATCTATTAACCCACCCACTCCTCGTACTCATCCATCCACCCACCTACCCCCAACCCATCTTCCATCCACCCACCCATCCACTCCCCCTTCCTATCCATCCATCCACCCACCCACCCACCCACCACTCCATCCATCCATCCATCCAGCTCTGCATCTCCCCTCTATCCATCCATCCATCTATCCATCCTGTCCCCCGTCCCCCATCCCCTCCCCTCAGAGCCCCTCCCATTCCTCCTCCTACGCATCCCTCCCCTCTGCTACCCACTTGCCTCCGCCTCTGTGGCTCACTCTAGGCAAGGCCACACCTCCTTCTGGCCAGATGACTGAAGGAGCCTGCTATTTTCCCTGTGTGCATGACTCATCCTCCTCCCAGCAGCCAGAGTCAGTCTTTAAAAACACAGGTCAGATCACATCACATCACTCCCTGCATCACAGCTCCTGGGGCTCCTCCCCACCACACCCCCCTCAACACCCAGACTTAGAGTAAAACCCTAACCTGGCAAGCAAGCCTCTGCCTGCCCCTCTTTCTTACCCTCCAGACATGCTGGCGGCTCCTCTCCAGCTCAAGGCCTTTGCACATGCCATTCCCACCTGCCTCAGCTCCGTTCCTCCCGCCCTCCATGTCCCAGCATCCCTTAGGTCTCGGCATTAATGTCCCTCCTTGGCCCACCCTGACCACCCTGTCCAGAGTAGGTTTCCTACCTCCATCTCTACATAGCACCCTGTTCTCAATGGAACCCTTTCAAAGTTGCTATGTGATTTAATTATTTTGGCTGTCCTATTTAGCATTGTAACCGCCAGCTCCTGGAATCCAGTAGACTGGAAAGATTGGATAAATGAATACCATCAACACTTTCGCCACTTCATTCATTCGTCGTGTTTGACCTCCCTGACAGGCCAGCCAAGTCAGAGCTCTTCTTACTCCCATTTCACAGATAAACCACCTAGTCCTGAAGTGACTTGCCCAGGTGCACACAACTGGTTAACGGTAGAGCCTTGGGATGTGAACCCAGGCACTCTGGCTCCAGAGTCCCCAGCCGTACCCTCACCCTGAATGAATCAGAGGAAGTGAGCAAAGGCATCAATGAACAGAGAACTAGCAAAGGCAAGACGAAGAGGCTGCTGCAGGAAATGGCAGGAGCTACTGCCGCTCTCTGCTGGGTGTCTCCCTTCTCCCGCCATCAAAGGGGTAGAGGACAACCAGGGCATGAGCAGACGTGGTGAGGTGGCCCCATGGCCCCAAGTTCAGGCTGCTGAGGAAACTGCCAGGGATTTCCAGAGCGCTCTCTCCCTGGGAAGGTCAGCGCCCCTCCCTCCCTCCCTTCTTCTCTTCCTCCCACCAGCCACGCAGCCCTTCCACTGCCACCTACTTTTTTTTTTTTTTTTTTTTTTTTGAGACAGAGTCTCACTGTTGCCAGGCGCCACGCTGGAGTACAGTGTCGTGATCTCAGCTTACTGCAACCTCTGCCTCCTGGGTTCAAGCAATTCTCCTGCCTCAACCTCCCAGGTAGCTGGGACTACAGGCGCACGCCAACACACCCAGCTCATTTTTTTTATTTTTAGTAGAGACAGGGTTTCACCATGTTGGCCAGGATGGTATCCATCTCTTGACCTCATGATCTGCCCACCTCAGCCTCCCAAAGTGCTGGGATTACAGGCTTGAGCCACCGTGCCTGGCCTGCCACCTACTTTTAAGCCTTGTTTCCCCTTCCTGCCAGCCACTTGCAGGATCTTTCCCAGCCACCATCCACACCCTCCTGTGCCTTAACCAGGCATCCATCTGTAGCCATTTCCATGGGATGGCGTTTCAGTAATACCCCCTTCCATCCTCAAAGCTACCCCAGTGCACCTCGACTGGTCATTGCTACATAAGCTGACCTGTTTAATCCCTCCAAAAACAAATTGTTTCTGGGCACGGTGGCTCATGCCTGTAATCCCAGCACTTTGGGAGGCCAAGGTGGGCAGATGGCTGGTGCTCAGGAGTTCGAGACCAGCCTGGCCAGCATGGCAAAACCCCCTCTCTCAAAAAAAAAAAAAAAAAAAGTTAGCCAGGCATGGTGGCATACATCTTGGTCCCAGCTACTCAGGAGACTGAGGTGAGAGAATTGCTTGAGCCGAGAGGCTGAGGTTGCAGTGAGCCGAGATCACACCACTGTACTCCAACCTGGGCAGCAGAGTGAGACCGTGTCTGAAAAAGAAAAAAAGAAAAAAAAGACAAAGAAAAACAAATCATTTCCCCAAAATGGGGAGGGGTGGGAACTGCAGTGCATTATAGACTATTTTGTTTAGACCTGCTGAAACAACAGAACGTGGTAGGGTATTTGGCAGGGTTTCCCCCCCCCCCCAAATATTCTGACACATCTATCAAATCCCGCTTTGCATTCAAGTAGAATATCAACAGATAAAATCGCATGTCAAAGACATTCAACCCAATCAATTTCCCTTCCAACTTTCCTTCAACTCTTTGATCACTCAAACACTGGGCAGCAAGTTAAACCCATGTGTGCATAATCATGACATTATCGGTTGTGCACAAGCCCGGCATTCCGCTTGTTTGCTCAACAGACAATCCCCGAGTCTGCTTTCCTGCTCCGCTAGGCTGCAAAGCAGCCTGGTCCGCCAGCCTCCATCCACCATGACCTGCAGAAGTGAGCTGAGCTTCGAGAGCCTTGTGCTTGAATTAACACTGTACCCCACCCCTTCCATTTCCTGAGCACTTGAAAAACACATATAAAATATTTCATAAATCTATTTCATAATAGATTAACCAAGGACGAGACAACATTACACACTGGCAATAAATTCGTCAGTCAGATCCGACTAACTTCTTGAAAGAGACCTGAAATGGACTGAAATCAATGTCATCTCAAGCCAGCAAATGCAATCAAGTCCCATTTCAGCTTTCTCAGCTGTCAGTTCTGATCCATGTGCATCCTTTCATGAAGCCAACACAATTTACCGAGTACCTATGGTATGCCAGTGAGTGTTATATGCTGAAATAAAAGCCCAACTATCAAAACAATTATTTACAACTAATAAAAGACCCCACAATCTGGCCTGTGCTGTCCAGCATGTGGCTATTTAGCATCTGAAATGTTACTGTTACAGAGAAACTTTTCGTTTCATTTTATTTAAATGAAAAACCAATACTCAATTCAATTATTAATAGACTTTCAGCCATGTGCAGTGGTTCATACCAGTAATCCCAGCACTTTGGGAGGATTGCTTAAGCCTAAGCGTTTGAGACCAGCTGGGTCAACATGGTGAATCCCGTCTCTATAAAAAATAGCTTTTAAAAAAGAAAACTTTCAAGTATGTTTGAAACAACTTAGCACAGTAACTAAACATACTTTCTCAACTCTGTATTTTAAGACAGCTAAAGAGATCAAGTATTTGCAATGAAAACTTAGCGTTCAAATTGAAATATGCCGTAAGTATGAAATACACATGGAATGTTGAATAGGAAATAATACATATCATTAATACTTTCTACTGATATTTTCTAATTATATATAGGATATATTAAGTTACATAAAATGTGTTATTAATTTCCCCCCCTTTTTTTTTTTTTTTTTTTTACAATTTTAAGTGTGGGTAGTAGGAAAATTAAGATAAGTTGCTTTTTGTTGAGACAAGATCTCACTCTGTCACCCAGGCTGGAGTGCAGTGGCCCGATCTTGGCTCACTGCAGCCTCGACACCCCCCGGGCTCAAGCTCAGTGAGCCTGGAAGGCAGCGTTTTCTCACTCCGGGCTTCAGATCTGGTCTCCACAGTGTCCCAATCCCCCTTCCTTGTCTGAGTTTCCAGAGGATGCTGGTGGAGGAAATGAGTGAGAGAGGAGGATTCACCTGTCATCTCTGGCTCTTGTGCCCCATGAAAAGCAAAGCAAAAAGTGGCAGTGGAAAGGCAGGTCAGCAGGCATCCATCTACAAAAGCACCACCCCAGACGCATCTGGGCTGCCCCTCACTTCTCTAGACAGAACCAGGAACACGCATCAGTTTTACTTACTCTCCGCAGTCACTGCCACCGGCAGCCAGAGCAAGACCACACAGAGGAGCCCCATGGGGGCTGGCATCACCCCTCGGCCAGCCCTGGGGCCACCAGCCTCAGGCTCCAGAGCAGCTCAGCTCCACGTGAAAGGAATCTTTTCCCCAAAGAGAAGGGCTCCACTTCAACCCACTCTCCCAGCCCAGGAGGGGAGAAGGGGAGGTGGGGGGCATTCAGAACAGAGATCCAGCCAATCAGAAGCCTCCAATAAAGTTATTAGCACCCCACCCAACAGAGAGGAGGGGAGGGGGGCCCCTGACCAATGAGGGCAAAAAAAGCCTAGGGGAAGAAAAGGAACGTGACTACTCTTCCAGCCTTGTCAACAGAAATCGCTGGGCAGAAGGCAACACAGTGTGCTGATGGTTTCTTATTAATTGCAGTATAATTATATATATATTAACAATACAAAACTGACCATTTTCACCATTTATTTTAAAAGACAGGGTCACTGCCAGGCATGGTGGCTCTTGCTTATAATCCCAGCACTTTGGGAGGTCTTGGGGCAGATCACAAGGTCAGGAGTTCAAGATCAGCCTGAGCAGCACAGTGAAACTCAGTCTCTGCTAAAGACAAAAATTAGCTGGGCATGGTGGCAGGAGCCTATAATCCCAGCTACTTGGGAGGCTAAAGCAGGACAGTCACCTGAATCTGGGAGGCAGAGTTTTCAGTAAGCCAAGATCGTGCCACTGCACTCCATCCTGGACAACAGAGCTCGACTCCATCGCAAAAAAAAAAAAAAAGAAAGAAAAAGAAAAAAGAAAAGAAAAAGGGGGCTCACTGTCACCAAGGCTGGAGTACAGTGGTATATTCATGGCTTACTGCAGCCTCCACCACCAAGGCTCAAGCAATCCTCTCACCTCAGCCTCTCAAGTACAGGCTCTGTGCCACCATGCCCAGCTAATTTTTTTTTTTTTTTTTTTTTTTTTTTTTTTTTTGTAGAGACGGGGTTTTACTATGTTGCCCAGGCTGGTCTGGAAGTCCTGGGTTCAAGCAATCCAGTCACCTCAGCCTCCCAAAGTGCTGGAATTACAGGTGTGAGCCACCACACCTGGCCCATTTTAGCCACTCTGAAGTATGGAGCTTAGTGGCATCGTGTCCACTCATGACATTGTGCAACCATCACCACTATCTGGTCGTGTACTCTGATGTTGGGTTTGTCTTTCCCAGTGCTCAGGTTAGGAAAAGCCAGTGGGAGGTCTGGCTCAGCCTTTGGAAATGGCTCTTATCACAACAGCAGCAGGTTTTGCAAAGCTCCAGGTTCACCGCCTCTGAGAGGACAAGCAAGTAATTCAGGAGCCAAGGGTCTGCTCACACCTGCTCAGGGCTCATCTGCTTCTCTCACTTCCACCCACAACTCTGTTTTCACGGTGTTTTTTGTTTTGTTTTTGAGATGGTGGGTCTCACTCTGTTGCCCAAGCTGAACTGCAGTGGTGTGATCACAGTTCACTGCAGCCTCGACCTCCTAGGCTCAAGCGATCCTCCCACCTCAGCCTCCCAAGTAGCTGGGTCTACAGGTTCATGCCACCATACTTGGCTCACTCCTCTCATTTAAAGTGCACAACTCGGCTGGGCACAGTGGCTCACACCTGTAAGCCCGGTACTTTGGGAAGCTGAGGCAGATGGATCACCTCAGGTCAGGAGCTCAAGACCAGCGTGGCCAACATGGCGAAAACCAGTCGCTACTAAAAGTACAAAAAAATTAGCCAGCCATGGTGGTGGTGGCGGTGGGTGCCTGTAATCCCAGCTACTCGGGAGACTGAGGCAGGCCAAGTGCTTGAACCCGGGAGGCAGAGGTTGTCGTGAGCCGAGATAGCGCCATTGCACTCCACCCTGGAGACAGAGTGAGACTCCATCTCAAAATAAAATAAAAATAAAGAAGACAACTCAATGGTTTTTAAGATAGGGAGTTTTGCAGTCATTACCGCAACCAATTTTATAATATCTTCACTGTAAAAAGAAATCTCATACATAGTAAGCAATCACTCCTGGCACCCCTGACCCTTGTCCCTGGCCACCACTGATAGGCTTTCTGTCCTTACAGATTTGCCCATTCTGGACATTTCACATAAATGGAAGGGGTCAGTAGGTGGCCTTTTTGTCTGGCTTCTTTCACTCAGCATGACGGTTTTGGGGTTCAGCCACGTAACGTGAAATAGCACGTCATTCCTTTTTGTGGCTGAGTAGCAATGCACTGAATGGATAGACCACTTTCTCTGTGTAGCCCTTTATCTCTTGATGGACAGTTAAATGTACTTTTAATACAATTTTCCTAGAGTCAAATTAAGACAGTTGACTGGTTGACACACCATGTTTTATGAAAACTTATTTACGCTTTTAGACTTGGCCAATTTTCTTTTCATATTTTGAAATCAATGATTCCACCTCCCCTTTCCCAAGCTCAAGCATTTTTTTTTTTTTTTTAAAGATGGGTTTTGCTCTTTCTGCCCAGACTGGAGTGCAATGGCGCAACCTCGGCTCACTGCAACCACTACCTCCCAAGTTCAAAGCGATTCTGCTGCCTCAGGCTCCTCAGTAGCTAGGACTACAGGCATGTGCCACCACACGCAGCTATTTTTTTTTTTTTTTTTTGTATTTTTAGTAGAGACGGGGGTTTTACCATGTTTGCCAGGCTGGTCTCAAACTCCTGACTTCAGGTGATCCACACACCTTGGCCTCCCAAGTGCTGCGATTACAGGCTTGAGCCACTGAACCCGGCCCCCAGCTCAACCATTTTCTCTAGCAGGGTTCAGGAGCCCCCAACCCACAGGAATGAAGACCTAAAAGACCCCTCAGCTCACAGCTGCTTGGGGACTATGTTGAGTTCTGGTGTGGCTGCTAAATGCTGTGAGGAAAAGCCAAAAACCACATCCCAAGGGGTGCTGGCTTAGAGGAGCCAGTGGGGAAATCAGATCCACAGGCAGGAGACTTTCAGCACACCATGGACAGACCTCACGCCAAGAAAGGAACAGTTATTGTGCCAGGAAATCGTGGAAGAGTTTACAAAGGAGAGATTTCCTTGGATCACAAAGAATAGACAGCATTGTTGTTGGGAAACTATCGGGCACTAGGCAAAGCATTCCTTGTATAGTAACTCATTCAGTCAACTCCTCCGGCAAAATCCCTGCAAGGTGAACTAGATCATCCCATGATACAGATGAGGAAACAGATGCACAGAGAGTTTAAGACACTTGCCCTAAGTCACACAGCTCAGGAGGATTTTCACCCCATCTGGCGCCAGAGTTCCTGCTCAGTTAGCTCTGGCAGCTTTGCTCCATCACTTTTCTCCATCTTCTCCCCCACTCCCCACCCCCAGCCCCCCACCCCCAGCCCCCCACCCCCAGCCCCCCACCCGCAGAAGACTCACCACAGGCCTGGATTCCTCCCTCATTCCAAGCCAGGAGACTGAGCAGAAACCTTGCAATCCTCTATGCCGTAGTTTCTCATCAATGCAGCAGCATCAATCACAGGAGGTAGTGGCTGCAAATGCAGATTCCCAGGCCCCTTCCAGGCCAGGACAATCAGACTTTCTAGGGTGGGGCCCTCCCTGCAAGCCATTCTGATGACCAGCCAGGTTTGCATTGCCCCAGCGTACCCGAGGACTCCTGCGAAGTGTCCCTGTACCTCTGGCCTCACTTTGTATCCACATCGTCACTGGCCCAAAACCCTGTAAGCTGGTTTGATAGAGTGTGGGGACACAGGACTTGATTTGCAAAGACTCAGACCCTCCTGGATAAGTCATCCACCACAGACAGCTTCCCCGCCCGCCGGATCTTCCCATCTCCCGGTCCCCCCACCAAAAAGAAAGTCCTTCTTCTACCTGGAGGAAACTTAAGGGGTTGGGTTTGCCAATGACTAAGGATAGAGCTTCCAGTCAGTGTGAGTTCAGCCAGAGTATGGATGGAAACCCATCAGGCTCAGGTCAGCATCATCAGCATTCAGAAGCCTTTTTGGTGGGTGCAGTGACTCACGCCTTCACTCCCAGCACTTTGGGAGGCTGAGGTGGGAGGACCGTTTGAGCCCAGGAGTTCAAGACCAGCCTGGGGAATACAGGGAGATCCCATCTCTACAAAAATAAATAAAAGCCGCTTGTGACAGTACACACCTGTAGTCCCAGCTACTCAGGAGGCTGAGGCAGGAGCATTTCTTGAGCCCAGGATGTTGAAGCCACAGTGAGCTGTGAGCACTGCGGCCTGGGTGAGAGAGCAAAACTCTGCTTAAAAAAAAAAAAAAAGAAAAAAAAAAAAAAGAAAAGGGCAGGCTTTTCATTTGTGTATTAGCCTCTTCTCACGCTGTTATCAAGAAATACCTGACGCCAAGTGCGGTGGCTCACACCTGTAATTCCAACACTTTTGGAGGTTGAGGTGGGCGGATCACCTGAGGTTAGGAGTTCGAGACCAGCCTGACCAACATGGAGAAACCCTGTCTTTACTTAAAATACAAAATTACCTGGGTGTGGTGGTGGGTGCCTGTAATCCCAGCTACTCAGGAGGCTAAGGCAGGAGAGTCACTTGACCCCTCGAGGTGGAGGGTGCAGTGAGCCGAGATCGCACCATTACACTCCAGCCTAGGCAACCAGAGGTCTCAAAAAAAAAAAAAAAAGAGGGGAAGAAAAAGCAATCCCATTACTGGGTATATATCCAAAGGATTATAAATCATTCTGTTATAAGGACACATGCACACAAATGTTCACTGCAGCACTGTTTACAATAGCAAAGACTTGGAACCAACCCAAATGCCCATCGATGATAGACTGGACAGGGAAAATGTGGCACATATACACCATGGAATACTACACAGCCATAAAAAAGGATGAGTTCACGTCCTTTGGAGGGACATGGATGAACCTGGAAACCATCATTCTGGAAACCAGCAAACTGACACAAGAACAGGAAATCAAACTCCCCATGTTCTCACTCAGAGGTGGGTGTTGAACAATGAGAACACATGGATACCGGGAGGGGAGCATCACACTCTGGGGTCTGCGGGGGTGGGGGAGGCAGGGGAAGTAGGGAAGGGACAGTGCAGGGT